TACATAGATACTTATCTAGATTCCTAGTTATTTTATGCCTTGTGTCACCTTATATCTTGAGACACCTATGTCATGTTATCTCTCTATCATCATACTCTTCCATTCTCATAGACAGCAACACTTTATCAAACATCACAATTCATCATATTGAAATTCAAAAATCCCATCCCCAACCCATATCTTCAAGAGGTTCAAACGAAGGAAACAGTAGTCATCATCATCCAGAAAAAAAAATAAAAAATAAAAAATTTCCCATTTCATCTTCAGAAAAGATCAGATAAGATAGAGATACAATATTCTTGGGAAGGGTTGGGGTATGTCCAAAGCTCATGATTCAGATGAGAGTTCGTCACGGGTTTTGAAACGACAAGAAGAAGAAGAAGAAGGAGAAGATCATCATAAGAGTAAGAAGAGGAAGCCCACCAAGAAGAAAAGGTCAGAAAAAGGTGCATCGTCTAGCAAGGAAAATGAAGATGAGGAGTGCAAAACACCAATATTATCAGAAGAACAGAAAATCCCGGTCGTCGAAACCTGCCCACCTGCGCCGGCGAGGAAGAAAGGAGGACTTGTTTTGTCGGGAAAACGTAAGCGGAAAGTGTCACAGTTGAAGTTCTTCGAAGAGGTCGGAAAAGAAGAGGTAGACTTTTTCTTCCAATCAACTTCTAATACTACTCCTACTTCTGTTGGGACTTCTTCTAGTAGTGTTGTGCCTCAAAGTACTACTACTACTACTACTACTACTACCACTTCTAGTTCTACCACAACTACAATTTCTAAGAAGAAAAGAAGGAAAAAATCCAAATGAAAAAAATATAGGAGATGATGATCGATGATCGATGATGATGATGATCTTCCTTGGGGTTTGAATATTCATCATTTAGTTCCCTTTGTAAATTGGTCGGTCTTGATTAGTTGCTAGCCTCAAATTTTATGCTTGAATTTCATTTTTATTGAGAAACTTTTACAGCGATGATATATATGTAGAAACTAGTTTATGATTTCATTCTTGGGTCATTTTTCTTTTTGTTTTTTGGTTTAGTTTTTTTTCCTCTCCCGTGGTCGGGTTATTTAGCCGATCAAACAACGAGGACAGTAAGTCCTTTTTTTTTTGTTTGGTTAATTTCAATTGTAGAATATATATTACACACACATATGAATCTCAAGATTTGTTGTTGGTTTTGATAAGGTTTATGCTTCACTTAGATCATGGCCACCTTTCAACTTAGGTTCATTTTAATCCCTGAATATGTACATGTGTTGACAGAATTTTCATCAATAAAAGGAAAGAGGGAGACTATTGGTTACACTTCAAAATTAAAATTCCATGATTTCAGTCTTGGTTTCAAGTTTTGAATTTAATTACGTACTTCAAGATTTTCTTTTTCTATTTCTCCATAAACCCACAACTTCATTCTAGCAAATTAAGTTCTAAAAAAGAGAATCCGATGAACTCTTCATCATCATGATACGTTATTTGAGCGCTTAATTACCTCTTCATCATGAAGTAAAAGGAGGGAAGGAAGAACAATGTGTAGATTTTTTGTTCCATGCTATATTAAATTATTTAGTACAACGAATATTTTGGGACGAATGGAATAATCAACAAACAATCCTGTAAAGATTGTGGAGCAGGAGAAGTTTGATATGAATTTGTCACAAGTCCTATTCAATAGGTCTAGCACAAAATACAAATGAAATAATGCATCTAGGCCGCGGAAATTTCTTGGTGGGTTTGGCGTACGTTTATTTTTTTTTTTTTTTGCCTCGGTTGTCAAAGATTCCCTACATTTCTGCTTCATTATGGTAGACAATTGAGTTTTACCTCCATTTGCCTTGTCTTTCCCATGCAATGTACCTTCTTTCTTCTTCCATTTGTTTTTTTTTTTCTTCAGAAATATTGAACAGTTTATTAGATTGTGTGCATTTATTCTAATTTCTAAGTTCTAAGGTATCCTATGTTCGAGTAATTATGGGTATTTTAAAACGGTGACTACTGACACCGATCAAGTTGACATATTTCTTGTGAGTGTAGTTATATTTATCTTTTAGTCCTCAGTCCTCACCCTTCCATTCTTTCTTGGAGTTACGTATTCGTAAGAATTATGTGTGTTTGAACTAATTTGATTATTATTTAGGGAGTCTAAATTAGATTAAATGTATATAATTTCCCCCTAATTATAGGTGTAATAAGGATTCTTGTGAGACCATCTTTTTCAGATTACGCAAAAAAAAAATAAATTAAAATACATTAGTCGAATCACTGATAACAAGTCTATCCAGATTGAAAACTTGAAACTTAAACCTCATTTTAAAGTTGATATGTTAATTAAAACATCTATATACTTTTACCTTCATTGCTATTTGCCAGATTAAGATTCAAAGTGTTATGTTCTTGAGAAATAGGAAAATGACATGTATAGTGACAAAAAAAAAATAGTGATAAAAAATAGTGTATAGTGAAAAAAAAACAGTGATAAAAAGTAGTGACTGATGTGGAGTAATTATGACTACTTATTTTTTTACCACTCTCCGGTTGAAATTTTATTTTTCCCGTTAAATTATCTTTTCAGCTTTAATTAATAAATACGCTTATATAGTGAGTGTAGTGTAATGTTTTTTCATTAGTCACTATGCAAATTCACTATATTTTGTCACTATGCCTATCATTGCACATGAAGGTGTAAAAATAATGGAGGTTCATTAATTTTGGATGCATGTTTGATTGTTTTCTCCAATTAAATTATAGGTTGGTCTTGTTTCAATTAATACATGATTGTCAAATATTAAAAAATTAATATCTAATTTCTTTGTCCTAAAATCATTTTTCAGTTTAAGAATATTCTCTTGTGGCACCACAATTAAGAAAGTGAGATGAAATGTTTATACAAGTATACAAAGACAAAGTTAAGAACCACTCTCTCCGGTACTTATTATAAAACATTTTGACTTTTCTTAGGTTTAACGTAGTACATGTTTTTAATTGACAAAAAAACCTTAAAAATATTTTATAACAATCTAGAGAATATGACAAATGTGAAAATATACTTTTAACGTTTTTTTATTAAGTAAAAATGCATATTGTGTGATACCTAGGATAAATCAAAATGCTTTATATTAAGGACCGGAGGGAGTATTTTACTTTTTACGAGGATGTAACGCACAATCATAAAAGTGTTTGGACGTCAACTTATATTTCATTTTGCCACTTAAAAGTGGAAAGTGTTTTAAATTGAAAACTAAATGGGAAATAAAAATGTTGTTTGAATGGTATTTTGAGCAAAAAGTTGTTTGGATGTTGGTTTTGAAAAAAAAGTATTTTGAACTACATTTTGAAATATCAAGTACGAGTTATCACTAAAAAATTAAATACTGTCAATTATAGTCACTGCATAAAGGAACTTTTTCAAAAACAATCACTCAACAACGGAATCCTGTCAAATTTGTCACTGAACTATTTGCAGTTCTAAAATGGTCATTACATTAATAAAAAGTATTTCAAATTAGAATTCAAAATATAAATTAAAAAGTGTCACTGAATTATTTTTCTTTTTCATGAAGTTTTGTGTTTGAAAGGTAAAATGAGTGAAAATGTAAAATGAGTTGATGTCCAAATAAACACAAATAAGCTTGAGAGGTTCTGCAAATGTGTGATTAGAAATGGACCGAGCATATGGACTTGTCCAAAGCTCTTTGGGCTGCACCACATAAACTGGGTTTATACTCATCCGCTGGCAATAATAATTCTTTCATTTTTTGTACTTTAAAAGTTGGTGAACCCGGCCTGCTAACTATTATATATAAACAAAGCCTTTAATTTCTCTTTTTCCTGTTAAGAACTTACACATAAATAATGATAGGAATTACAACAAAATATAAGCTAAGTTTTCTTTTAAAAAAAGATTGAAAACTTTAATGTCATAATAAATTCACCTAGATTGTGTAAAATGGCTCGAAGTCTCAAAACAGAGAATCCTATGCGAGCTAGATTAAAGTAGCAGCAGAAGAATTCTAATGGTAAAATATGGTCGATTGTTAATTCCACACTCGGAAATGGTAGTAAGTGGTAGCTACTAACAGTAAAAAGCAGATTGTGTTGGGCCATTACGTGCATACTAATTCAAACAGATCAGGCGGATAATATAGATTTTCGCTAACGAGTATCTAATATGTCATTGAATAATTTTGTAAGCACATTGAATTTTTTTTCTTATGTCAAATCATATCTAACGAGAATCATGATTACATTCACGTTGAGGATAAAAAAAAAACAAATTTAAATAAACGACAATTGATATAGATTGCTTATAGTCACCAGACAGATCAGTGACGTTGGTCTAACAATTAAACACCGTGATTTCACCAAAATTGTTCACATATGTCGGACGCCAAAGAAATGTTACTTTGCAATTAAAATTAGCCCCCTTCAAAAACAAAAATATTTAAACACAAGTAACCGACGTTAGTACTTCTTCCGTCCTATAATTATTGTCTAGTTTGAGTTCTCATTTTTAGCTCAAATTATACTAAAAATAAAAATTTAAACAGGACAATAATTTTGGGACAGAGGAGTACTATTTTGAATCCATCAAGGTCAAAAACTCAAAATCGATCGATCCTTTCCAGAACGGTAGTTTTTCATCTATAACCATCTAAACAGCACTTGGATTATTTTTTTCCCCCACCATTTTAGCTTCCCAGTAGTTCCAGAAATGTGTAATCCTCCACTTTTTACCCACGTATCCAATTCAACTCGTATCAGCACGACACCTGTTTGTCAACGTGGCCGACATTTCGCACCTTCCCCAAAAAGATTAACGGTCCATCTTTATCATCCCTACCGTTCCTCTATAATTTCACATTTTGCAATTTGCCAATTCTGTAATCTCAGATTTTTAAACAAGCCTTGTGAAGCGGGAAATATTAGCAAGTACTATTTCTAACATATAGCAAGTGAAAAAAAAGATTCCTTCATTTTTGGAAGGAGAGAAAAAAAGGAAAAAATGCCACCAAAGACACGTTCTTCTGGTAAGGTAATAGGCACGGTGGTGACCAAGAAAGTGATTGAAGAAACGGTGAAAGTTGTGGTTTCACCAAACCAAACTGGTGTCGATAACAATATTAGTAGTGCAAATCTTACTAATATTGTTGATCAGGGAATTAGTAGTACTAGTAGTACTCATGTTGAGGTGATTTCTTCATCAACAAAGGAGAATGAGAAAGTTGAGGTCATTTCCACTCCGCCTGATTATGTAGTAGAAACTCCACCTACTACTCCTGCTACCAAAACCATTGTTGTTGAAGAAAGCGGATTGAAAGGGCAAAAGAATCACAAAGAAGAGTTGGACGAAGTTCCAAAACAACTTGATAGAGAAGCAGAAGAAGCAGAAGCTGCCTCAAAAGATCAAGAATTGCAAGAACAAGAAGAAGAAGTAGATGAGGATGAAACTCAGCCTGCGGAAGATTATTCACAACCACCCATATTTGTTCCTCCTCCTCCTCCTCCTGCTCCTCCGCTTGAAAAGATTCAGGAAGAACTGATGAATGAAAAAGGCGGTGATGTTGGAGGTCAACCCGGGATTTCAACTCCACCAAGAGAGGAGAAAACCCTAGGAAAAGAGGGTGCAAAGAAAAGGAAAGCCACTGAAGATGGTGGTGGGAAGAAGAGGAAGAAGAAGAGGGCAAAAGTTGGAAGTGGAGGAGTAGGGATCACAAGCATTGTGTACAAGAGGTATGTTTACAGGGTGTTGAAACAAGTGCATCCAGATTTAGGGATATCTTCAAAGGCAATGACTGTTATTAACAACATGATGAATGATATGTGTGAGAGGATTGCTGAGGAGAGTTCAAGGCTTTCCAATTACAGTGGGAAGAAGACGCTTTCTTCATGGGATATTCAGGATGCTGTGAAGTTGGTTCTTCCTGGTGAACTTGGGAAACATGCCATTGCTGAGGGGTCCAAAGCTGTTGGGCTTTATGTTTCCACTGTTCTTGCACAACAGTCCAATAAGAAGACCAAGAAGCCCAAGTCCAGTTAGGCTGACTTTTCCTTTTCCTTTTCCTTTTCCTTTGTTGGTGTGATTTTCTTGTGAAGCAGATAAAAACAAAAAAACAAACAAAAAAAATTGCGGTAATCTTGTTTAGATTAGGTTTTGGTTGAAACTTGAAAGCCACTATCATGCATTTTGGGGTTTTGATGTTTCACTGGGCACTGGCATGTTAGTTGCTGTATGGATTATTTTGTAGCTTTGTTTTTTTTTTCGTAGATTTATAACTGGCTGTGTGTTAATTTAGTGTTTCACGCATTAATTTGCTTTTACTCCCTCTCCCTCTGTTCCATAATTATTGTCCATTTTGTCCAAAAAATTTTGTCCTAAAATTATTGTTCAATTTGATTTTTTATAGATTAAGTTACACATTTGTCTACAATAAAATCTTAGTGGTTAAACAATTACTTATGTAAGGGTATATTCGATTGTTTAAGGTAAAATATAGTTAAGTTTGACAAAAATAAAATCTTTCATTTTAGTAAAACTGGATAATAATTATGGGACGGAAGGAGTACTATTTTCGCCTAAGTGAAATGCGATATTACTAGGGATATTAGTAAACTAACTACACGTTGCACGATGATTTTTTCACACGAAGTTGTCCATTGAATACGATGATTTGTACTTGGTAGTCTCTGGTTGGTGGACTGCTTGGAGTTTTTCAACATTTTTTTTAGAGAGTCTGAAGTCATTGGTTTTTACTAATCTGAATTCGAACCGGTTAGGACGGGTAGGATGCCTCAAGAGAGGCTTCTTCTTCTAACAAAGGTTCGAACTTGGGTCATAGTTAAAATGCAAAACTCTCGGTTTGAATTCGAGTTATAGTTAAATTAGCACAATACTTTTGTCATTTAGACTAGAGTTCATAAATATTCTTTCTTCCCCCAATGATCATCCAAATTTCTTGACTTTCAAAACGTTACACCAAACAAAAAGGTGCGAAAATGGTCATCGCTTATTGGTAAAGGACGTCATTCATAAGTCCTATAATCTAAATTTTTTGACTAAAGGTCGTTGACGATTGACCTAAATTTCATTTGCAGCAAGTCATTTCTAAGTCCTAACAACCCCAAATTCGAGTTCCAGCTATTGGCCCCAATTTCATTTCACACTCATGGAACCTGACTAAATCAGCCCTGCCTATGGTAGAGAAACTATCCCCAAAAAACAAACGTTATTCACACCATTCTTCCATAGTAATTACATCAGCTTGACCATAATTATTTATGAACTTATATTCCCAGCCACAACCCCCATCGAGTAAATTATTAAACAAATTATCTTCTTCCTGTTGAGTAATAACAAAACGCACTAGCAAGCGTCATATCCAGCTAGATATACATAATGGTCTCATCTTGTTGCTAAATTATATTAAGATAAATTATTGATAACTTTCACTAAGGATCGAGGATGTATATTCCAGGCATTTTAGTATATATATATATATATATACACACACACACACACATATATATAGACTATATTATTACTAAACGTGCATTTTTTTGCATAATAATTAAATAAAGTTGGTGTGTGAATAAGTATACAATGCCAGTCGGGTATGGCCAACTTGTTACCTAAAACGGTTTTGTTTCATTTGCAACTTGAGAACCTAATTAATTTACTTTTTTTTTTAATTATAAAGTATGAGCAGGCCAATCATGGGTGTGAATCGGAGTAAAGTAGAGGCCTTTTAAAAGTTCATCTTCCACCATCAACCTCGACATTTCCTACTCAAACCATAGTAATAGATTCTTGGAGGATATCTCTGATCTTGAACTCAGGTTTTTCTTTTTTTCTCTTTCAATTCAATTCCAATTTCGACATTAATTTCAGAAGCTGGGGAGTGATAGAATAGAGGATTAATTAAGATTTACACACACTGATTGGGAGCTAATTTCCATGGAGCGGCGGAACAAAGCAAGAAGCGGAAGAAACCATGGAAAGTCACCGGCGGCAGAGGTCCTCTATAATAAACTTTTCACTGCATCTTTCGTTTTCAACAATACTACTTGAGCTCAATTAGCCTTATACAGCTGTCATATATTCTGCATCAAAATGTGAAAATTTTACCCTTCTGGATAATTATTTTTGACAGGGAATCAGAAGACAATCTGGTGTTGGAAGCAGATACAAGGAGGAAGCCATTGACGAGCCCTCTGTCAATATTAATAACTCCTGCCTTGACCAATATTCGAGCCCGAGAGATTACCTCCTTTTCCAGGATTATGTCTTTTACGATCGCCAAATATGTACGAGGTACGTGACATTTGATCGCTTTAAGGAAGGAATGACAACAAAATTAGACGGTAGCATTGTAATTTCATGGTGGAGCAATGTGACTCGAACCAGGATAGCTCACGGCGGTGATCTAGCCTGCTTCGTAAACGGAGACGATCAGATTCACTTGTGCAATCCTCAGACCGGAGAGGTTCGCACCTTGCCAGAAACCTTCAAATACAATGCAAAATCCAAGAACATCGGGTTGGTGTTTGGTTACATATCATCCAAGAAACAATACGTAGTGGTAACTATGGGAACAGGGGAAACAGGGGATCAAGCGAAGTTGCGAGCTAATAAATTCTGCTTTGATCGTACTGATGAAGATGGTATTGACTCGGGATCTTGGAAACAGATCGAAGAATATTGTCCATGTAATTTGCGGGGTTGCGAAAGCGGCATTTTGGTCGGAAATTATGCTTATTGGATGTCTTCTTCTTCCTCTTTACGTGGGGAGAATGCACAGATTGTTGCCTTGGATCTTGAGGGTGACAAGTTTAAGGTCATTGATTGTCCCAAGATTTCGGTTGGGATTCACAAAGGGACTTATGTGATTGATCTCAAAGGAAAAATGTACTTGGCTCGAACGTTATGGTACGATGAGGAATCCTGCGGTGTGGTACAATTGTGGACTAATGATAATTTGATGGACTTGTTGAGTGATTCTTCTGGCTGGGTGAAAGAGTTTGAAATCAAAGTAGACTTCCAAATCTCGTCAATAGAGCCTAATTCTTCCACCCAGGGAGAGTTGATTGTGACTTCATGGCCATCCAGGACTTACCACCTCCTTAATCCCTACGAAAATACTTGTGTTGATATGATGACGACAGGCGGCAACTTTAAAGGTCAAGTTGTGGGATTCTATGGGAGGAGTGCTTTCTCATTGGGGAAGATCCAAAAACACCCACTTAATGGATTACGACCTGATGATACTTAGCCATCCACTATCATGCATTTTTTTACTTTGGGAATTTATGTACTACTCGCACGTATGCATATTCTGGCGATTCAATCACTGTAGTTTTGTTTGTATTGATGAACCCTCTCTCCCTAATGTGATTTGGGTTAATTAAGTCAATTGAGTTTCTGTTTTGTTTTCCACACAAGGTTGTATGTGCTGTTTTTTTTTATATCACGCATTCGGTGTTCGGAATCATTACTCTGGCTAATCTAGATTTGAGCCGGGTTGGATGTGCTATTTTCGTTGTAAGAGTACGTTGTTACTGGAATTGTCCTGTTTTTCGATGGTTACATTTCATCAAATTTTATGATTATTTTACTTTTCCTCAAATATGTTTTTCTTAAAAAATAAAATAAAATAAAATTATGATTATAAAAATTTCTAACCACCACCCTCACTATCGAGTTGGACGGAATAAAGTCTTTAATATACAATCGTCGCGACTTTTTCTTTTCAATTATTTTTTATTACGTATATAACATTACAAACTAGTAAGATCGATTTTCTAGATCATGGTCCCATTTTGTTGCTAGTTTTTTGTGGCTACAAAATATACTCTCTGCGCGGAGGAAGATGAATATTGTTCACATTTTCCACCTCACCAAATATGAGAATTTGTCATTACTAAATACTAATGTAATGGTTGTTTAATTAACTTTGCAATTTGATTTTCAGAAGTATGAACGAGTCAATCTTGACTTTCCGCGGCATAACAAGCAGCTGATTACCCAGCGGGGATGCTTTAGTTGGTACTTGGTAGGTTGAGGCCTTTAAATTCCACTATCATCAATCAGAGTATTAGTATTGGTAGTATTATACTCTCTCTTGAGCTGCAGGAGTAAATTTTCATGGCTGGAAAAATAAAGGAATAAGGAGCAGAAGGGCAAGAAGAAGAAACCGGAAAAAGGCAGCGTTAGCGTCAAGGGCAGAGGTCCTCTTCCACCCAGATATTTTTCCGGAGTTACTGATTTTACTCTCCACCCATCTGTTTCATAATTCTCCCTTCGATCCTAAAATTAATTGTCACATTTAAATTTTCGATTCTAGTAAATTTTCTTGTAATAGAAAAATAAAAATCCAAATCATACATTTATTGCATCAACGCGCTATGAGATTTTACATGTTCTAATTTGGTGATACTCTTATTGATTTTAGCGATTTGTACTTAGTCTTGAGTGTTGTACTCTTTTCGTTCCAAAATGATTATTCAGTTTAAAATTTTATTTTTTTTATTATATGTTGAACTAAAAATGAAACTCTAAATTAGATAATCATCTGAGACCTGCGAGTATTAACATCTTGCATCATCATATTTAAGCTTCTGGTGATCAAGTTCATGAATAAAATGAAGTGTAAAGTTAGATGTTTTTGGCATTCGTCATTCATCCATGGACCTTTAATTCTGATTCCTTTTTTATTGACAGATAATAAGATAACTTGATACGGAGAGTATATACCAGTGTCGACACGTTTGCAAAGCATGGAAGGGAGCCATTGACGATTGCTCTTTCATCGCCATCGTGAGATTGTTACATCGTTTGAATAGATTGCGGTAAATGCGCATCAATTGAGGTTTATATCCCACATTATGCGTCTTTATTTACTTGATGATGAATGAAAGAAATAGACTACCTACATATTTTTTTGGCCTGTTTTATTTTCTTTTAATTTGCGGGGTACTTAATTTGAGCCTATTAAAAATAGTCCAAAATTATGAACCGAAGTTAATTAAATTATTAGGTCGTAAATTATGTTAAGTTGTGAACTACAAAGTGATAATTTGTTAATCATAGTAAACAAATCGCTGTCTTGCATTTTATGGATGACATTGTAGGTTTATTGACAGTGCCCAAAGTTTGGAATTAAAGACGTGTTTACTGCCCGCATTAAACGATACGTATTAATTTGATTGATCCCAAAGTAGTACTTTGCAAAACCTTTCAAGTAGTTTCGGCTGGATTCTTGCTATTGGAGGAGCTTCTTCTCATTGGGGACGACCAAATTCCCACAAAAATGGAGCTTTGCCTGGTGGCCATGTGAACAGTGAACTTGACAAACACAAGGAAATTATATGCAAGGAAGTTGGCCTATTATCTGAGTGTTCGTTCTCCCGCACTGAGTCGAATAAATTCCAAGACTTGCTTTTACTGTTTTCACGACTCTTTCAAGTTTACGTTTGTTTTTTTATAGGTGAGATTATTGTGATTTTGTTTGGACTAGGTTTCCGCTTAACGCGAACTAGGGAATGTACTTTCATGGCTTTCAATTTATAAGAGGAAAAGAAGAAAGAAAGAAAGAAAAAGAAAAGAAGAAATGCACTATCGTGGCCTTTTGTTTAAGCAATGGACTATTGTCGATATAGCTTTTTATTTGCTGTCGACGTGATTCTAATAGTGTTGGTTTTGCAATGATGATCACATAATCGAGTAAATCTTTTGTACAGCCACTATACCACGTTAGCATATCTTATATACAACAAACGGGAAAGATAATATTTTTGCAGAAGAGAGGGAAAAATTTATTAAACCCAAAAAAATTAAATATTAATCTCGATTGGTTGATTGCACTAAAAAGCAGTTGCGTACATCACGTATTGGTAGCTTTTCATTTTTATTTTTTCTTGTGCTAGGTGTTAATTGTTCATTTGAAGATAAATTTACACAAATTAATAAAATGACATATCAACATGAAAAATATTTATGAGATCAATACTCCTCTGTCCCGTTTAAATTTTTATTTTTAATTCAATTGTATTAAAAATAAAAACTCAAACAGGACAATCATTTTGAAAAGGAAGAAATAGTAATTAATTTATATCCAAAGCCAAACTTGAAACCCGTTTAATGGAGGACAAATTGACAAGTCTTCTACTGCCTGAAATGGAAACTTCTTACGACTTGGATTTCAACAATTGTTGAAGTTTGGGGTGCACACTTGGGCTTCTCGGCTAACACAACAGAACATCTGCGTGTCTTCTAGCTACTTCGGCCGGAGTTAATGCAATCTATTTCATTCAGTTTATAGATTTTAACTCCAAATTAATCTGAGGCGTCGGAGCTCAGTGTAAATTGAGAAAATAATTAAGAACCTCATCAAACGTGTACAAATTAGATATAAATTCATACTTCACTTGTGTAGTGTCATTATCAAATGTACACCAAAGTCTCTCAACGTACCCAAAACTATGTTGAACCAAAGAAAAAAAAGTTAGCCATATTGATTTGTTCCAAACAGACACGCCAGAATTTTCATTAATGACGATGATTTTGTGTACTACTACTTTAGGTATCAGGTGGTAGGTGGTCTTATCGATCAGTTAACCCTAATTTTGTGTATACCTTAAGTGTGGGATAGCTGCTTTTGCGATATTCCAAAACGTCACGACTTCCAGATTATCCCCAAAATTTGATGAAATTGCCCTAATTTTTAAGTGAAAACCACAATCATTCAAATGATTGAAATTAGAAAATTATGAAGTAAATAAAATGAAGACAAAAAAGTCACTTGCATGGATAAACATCATATATAAAAACCGCGCACCTCTCCATTACCACCACAAATGCTTAAAAAGGCCAAAACAAGGAGCCAGTACACTCTATTCTGCTGCTGTTTTTTTTTTTCTGTGTTATAGCCTACCAATAATCTTTTTTTAAAAATCAACATGTCACATTCTTCACAAACTTACAACATTTTCAAGTAAGATCAAGACACATACAACACCTTCTTTGCCCATCCCGAACAAAATCCCAAGCTCTACCTTTCTTGTAGACCCCAGGTGGACCTCCTTTAACTCTTTGGAAATGGACACCTCATTTTTATACATACTGCCATACTCCTCTATATAATTCTAAAAAACAAAAGAAACTTTGGCATAAATTCCAACTTGACATTCTGAATTTGTAGTAATTTCTTGATTGATAAAAGATTCTAATCTTTATAAGAAGTTACTCGACTTCTAATTAAATTGAATAGTTAAGATACTAATCCTACCCTCCTACTTCAACCTCAACAACAAATTCATGTACCATAAAAATCATCCTCCTTTACTCTTCCATATCTCTTCTTGCAAACTTATAATTAGACCTCCAAACTCCAAACGACCTTCAATCCCTTATCTCCTATCTTCTTCCAAATATCTCACCTTTTTTAAGCCAAAAACACACACACACACACACACACACACACACACACAAGTATGATGTTGAAGAATAGAAGAAGTCTACTGCAAGTCCCTATTGAAGAAGGAGCTTTAGAAAGTTCTGACTTATCTCCAGAACCCATTTTCAGACATGGGATTAATTCCTCTTCAGAAACAGTTAGCTCCAGGACATCAACCTCTAGACTTCAGAGGACCACTCCTTTTGACTCATCCATGGCCTTAACTATTCTAGTCCTTCTTACAGCTCTTTTCTTCATGGGTTTTTTCTCAATTTACATCCGGCGTTTCGCCGAGGAGGATTCCGCCGACCTCCGGCGCCGGAGACACCCTTCTCAGCCGGGTACGACGACGTCTACCGGTTTGCGCAACGGTCAAAAGGTCGGCGGGGTCGATTCGTCCACCATAAAAGCATTGCCACTCGTTTCTTACCGTGGGAATCCAAAGCAGCTGATTACTACTGACTGTACAATCTGTTTGAGTGAATTCGAGGAGGGTGAAACCGTCAAAATGATCCCACATTGCAGACACGTGTTCCATGCTCCGTGTCTTGACACGTGGCTAAGCTCACACGTGTCCTGCCCTCTGTGCAGGGGTACCCAATTTTTTAAGAAACCTGATGATGGTGATGAGCTACGGTTGGATGTGAAGGAGGAACAGGATGATAATGGCCAGGGTGAGTTTGGTGGAAGATCAACGGCTGGTGATGGGGACACGTGGAGGGATGAGGGGGTAATCAGGAGGGTTGAAAGCTGCACAAGCTTGGGAGATCATCAAGTGGTGCTACAAAGAAGTATGAGTTTTTGATAATTGTTCACATTAGAGTATTAATATTATTAAAGACAGGACAATTATTTGAAAATGTAGTTTTTAGTTTAGGTGGTAAGAAAGATTGAAAGAGATAAGTAAGTATTTGTTTTTTTTTTTTTTGGGAAAATTAACAAAAAGGTTTATAGCCTCCTCATAGATGATTCTTTCAGTGGGAAATGAGTTGTATATTTCTTGCACAATACTCTAATTTATTATATTAATTGCTTCTCAAGTCGGACTTCCATGCATCTAATGTACATGTCCAATTTGAATCAATTGCTTTCTAATTAGAGCTAATATACTATTATAGTTTACTCTTGCTTGATTTGAGTTGAGGAATATCTCCATTACTTGCATGTTGTGCTAGCATTTTTAACTAAAATATTCAATTTTTATGTCATCATTATGCCTTCATCTTCGACGTTTACACAGAATGATTAAACAAGTTACTCCTTCTATCCTAAAATTATTATTCAGATTGATGTTTCACTTTTAGTATTGAACTAAAAATAAAAATTTAGTTCAAATAATAAACCAGTTCACTAAATATTGTGACCTATAATGTAAATAATAATCCAGTTCACCAAATATTGTGAACTGTGGTATACGATATAATTACTCGTTTCTGAAGTTACAAAAATCGCACTGCTTCAAAAGTCGGGCTTTTAAGTATCTATACTGTTGCAAAATCCAAAAATCTGGAAGCCCCCTATATAAGTTCCCTGTAGGTGATTTCTTCCATCCTCTCCCTATTTCATATTTGAATTACTTTTCACACTTTACAAATTACTTATTTACAATTCGTTTTGGACAAATTTTACTCTTGAACCCTTTACCTAATTACAAAACCTACTCAAAATATATTTATCATATAATTTTAATATAATATCTAGTACATTGTTATTTGAATATAACAAATAAATTATTATAATAATAATAAATTTATTATACTTAATTTCTGCATTTAATCTATACTAATTATTAAATTAAATTAATTACACCTAATAAATTCAATTAAATTATAAATGTTATTAAATCAGTAAATATAACACAAAAAATAAAACTAAAGTAAATATAAAAATAATGACAATTACGCAAAAAAAAATTGAAAAAAAAAATTTTGCCCAAGGTGGCCGGCCACCGGCCAACCGCGAAGAAGTGGTCACTTGTTGGGTCGGCCACTTCTTTCCATTTGGCCGGTGAGTAAACCGGCCAACCATCAAAGCGGGCCGGCCACCTTGGACAATACCTTTTTTTTTTCAATTTTTTGTGTTATTTTATTTTTTTTTGTTATCATTATTTTTTTGTATAATTACTTTATTTTTATATTTTGTGTTATTGTTCAATTAATTTAGTTAAATTTATTTATAATTAATTAGTTACTGTAGGTTGTGTTATTTAGTTGTAATTAATTTACTCAAAATATAACAAAAATAACTAATTCATTTACGTAAATAATAATTATTAAAGCATACAAATTAATACTAACTAAATACCACATACCTAATTACAAAAACCTACTCAAACTGTATTTATCATATAATTTTAATATAATATTTAGTGCATTCTTTATTTGAATATAACAAATAAATTATAATAATAATAAAAAACTTATTATACCTAATTTATCCATTTAATCTACACTAATTATTAAAATAAATTAATTATACCTAATAAATTCAATAAAATTAAAATTGTTATTAAATCAGTAAATATAACACAAAAAATAAAACTTAAAGTAAATATAAAAAAATAATAAAAATTACACAAAAAAATTTTAAAAAAAATTGAATTTTTTTTTTTGGCCAGGGTGGCCGGTTGTCGGGCCGGCCACCTTTTGAAGGTTGGCCGGTTTATTCACTGGCCAATCGGGAAGAAGTGGCCAGTGGCCGACGAGTGGCCCTTTCTTCCCGGTTGGCCGGCAAAAGGTCGACCGGCCACCCTTACTTTTTCTTTTTTTTTCCCCCAATTTTTTGTGTTGTTTTAATATTATTTTTTTGTTATTATTATTTTTTTATATAATTACTTTAGTTTTATATTTTGTGTTATTGTTCAATTAATTTAGTTAAATTTATTTGTAATCAATATAATTAGTGTATGTTGAAGAAAAAAAAAGAGTTTAAGATAAAATTATCCAAAACGAATTGTAAGTGAGTAATTTCTGAACTGCGAAAATTAGCACCCATTTGTGACAATCTGTCTCCGCCTCTCTCTTTTAGTTCCCCAACCCTAACCCTTATCTTTGCTTTGTGACAATCGATGCCTCAACGATTTAAGGTTCGTTCGTTGCGGTCTGCTTTGCTAAGCGTCGGCAGTGTTATGGCGGATCCGAAATTGGTATTCTCCGGCTGTGAGTTATCCTGTTACGGCATCACGGATGGGGGCTCCTTCGTGTCGTTTCGACTCATGTCTAAGACCCCTATCGATGGCCTCTCCTGTTGCCGCCACGGGGTTAATGCCCTTTGATATTATAACATTTCTTTGTCCACCAGTCTTTAAGAAGAAATCCATCACCATTGAGGTTATCCACCACTCCAACGTTATCACTTTCACAATCACTCCGGAAGATTATGGTACATCCGATGTCCATGAAACCATCTCCATCGAGAATATCATCGGCGACTTCAAAGATATCACTTCCACCGAGGCTGATGATGGTATTTTAGTTTCTTTATTTATTTACCTTTTTTATTTTTTTCTAGTGAATTTGCCTTTTATATCTATTTGTTTTTTAGTTCTAATTAATCCTTTCCCTGAAATTAACTCCAGTTGACACAAAATTGGAGCTACCTTATGCCGAGGTCCTGAAAATGGCGTTACCGGTGTATGATTCCAAAACTGAATTTGATGCTACTATAACACTTGGCAAAGCTGAATTTGTTCGAGCTATCGCCGGCTTTACTGGGAACCCAAAACAGGTTCTGGGACCAGTTTTCCGTGATGATTCGGATGATGCTGCCTGCTTTGACTTAGGTAAATGATTTTGTGGGTTATTTTCTGTTGATGTTATAAAAGTGCTGTTTTGATACTTAAGAGGCTGGTTTTGGGCTTTTCAGTTAAGATATCTGCCACCACTGATTTAGGTATTAAGTTCTCTTCGAGAGGTTGTTCTCTCTATTTCTCTCGGGTATGTATGCACCATATATTTATTGACTGTTTGTGCAGCGCACCTATTTTATATAGCTCCTTTGCAAACAAAAACTTAGGATTTATTTTATTATTTAAAATGTTGCACATTGTAATAGACAGGAAAATGTAAAATAGATGTTGGTTTAGTCTTTAGTTTAAAGTTTTATTATGTTTACTTAGGATTTAATTTATTATTTAAAATGTAATTTATTTATTTATTATTTTTAGTTATTATAGTGAGAGACCCGGCGAGAACTAGGCAGATATTTCCCAAAACTCCTTAGTCAGGTTTAAGTTAGGTGGTGCATCTTTTGGGACGTCACATCATCTTCTTCTGTCGATCTATACGGTCTATATATGGTGTATTATGTACGAATTGTGTGTGAAAAGAGGAGCTCTCACCACTCTGGAATTCATAGATCTGTTTTGCAGTCTCTTCACTCTTCTTCTCTTGGTTAGTCAGTAACAATTTAAAGCTTTTGAAAGAATGGTCATCAGCAAATCAGGCAAGAACTTCAACTTTCAGAAAATGCAGTTTTGCTCTGAAAGTCATACTAGTGAGGAAAAGACCCAGATGGCTTTGTTGATCCAGAGCCCTAAATGATTCGCAACAAGGCCATTGAGCACCATGCCAATCAGAAGCTCCACATTTTCACACACATAATTTATTACTAAAGAAGTCATCATAAAAATGTAATGACTTTCCTCTGTGTAATCAACTCATTCTGTTTATCGCAACTGGCTTCGCCGGACATAAAGCCGGAAGTAATCCACCACCAGCCGTGATGTATATCTACCTGGAAAAGAGAAACCAGAAGTGTCACAACTTAACTTCTTGATGCTGATTAACATCATTAATTCTTCAATATGCCAGAAAAAATAAAGGAACTGATATAAGAACATGGTGTTACCTGGTTAGACTACAAACATTAGAAAAGCTTGCAACTCTGACACTCCTGCAGTATCTCTATGATCCGTATGCATTCTTTTTTATTCCTTTGGTTTCTTCTCTGATGTGGTATTTGATTTATTATTGTACTTCCTACATTTCTTGATCATTGAATCGAATATGCTCGGACCATCTCAACTACTGGTGCCCGGCACATTGGACACTTGTCTTTTCTGTGCACCAAATTCTCGGCACATCTAGAACATGCGCACATGTGTCCGCACCTGTATTAGTAGGATGAAACATCAATTAGACTCTCAAGAGATAATCACTACTGAGGTGGACATATAAACCATAGCTACTAAAAGGTTAAAAATTACCTGTACAGCAAGGAATCAATATTGTGCTCATGGCACATGCAGCAAATTCCTTTCCTCGCATATTCCCAGTTGGACTCATCCTGGGGTGGATCATACTTGCATTCATCTATATCAGATATATATCTTGGTTAATTTTGAACCCCTTTTTTTGAAATGAAAGAAGGTTATATAAACAACGCAGACCCTAGTAAGGTCGAAAACCTCAAAATTGCTGTTACGGAGGCTGGTTAAGCCAAAAGTATAATTTCATGCAGGAAAGAAACTGAAAACAAACGCATCTATTATCTAGAATGAAAAAATAGCACATGAGATGTATAAGTGGACTGGCAGTTGAAAGTAAAGCAATCACCTATTGAAACAATCGACCTATTCAAGGCAGCAGAAACCTCTTGCCTCACTGAGCGCTGCAGCTCAAGTTGCATGTCCATACATGCTTCTAGCATCCTTTGCATACTATTCATCCTCTGTTGAAGTCTAACCATGTCCATTCTCAATTCATTAATGACATCCCACTCTTGCTGCATACAAAAGGGAGACAGAAAAGGAATTGTTTCAAAGTTGGATTCTGGTGATACTTATATGCCAGAACTCAATGAGCTATAGAATCTAAATTTTTTTTTATATATCTAATTTTGGAAAAGCAATTTGCAAGAATCACTTTGAACTTCAAGCCAAAATCTTCATGCTAAGTAAAAGCGGCACAAAGCCTAGACACTATCTCCTTTTTAGTGGCAGAATAAATAAATGGGAAAAGAAAGAAAAAACACAGAAACTTGCTCACTAAAAGCGATGTTAGAACGTTGGAAGAAGCAAACTCTGCAATTCATCAAGCTATGTATTCAGAAGAGTTAGGATGTAAAATCTTCAAATGTTGTCCAAAACCAACGAAAAGTTTCTGCCTTTCTCCTTGGGTAATAATAATATATAAATTGCAAAATGACAAGCAAAATCATCGTTTTAACATTTAGGCCTCACCAAAATTCAGTAATCATTAAAGAAAAAATGAAAAGAATGAAAACACATGACAAATTTCAGTGAGAGGTTGCAAGAGTTCACCAGTCCTAGCTGATGATGAGAACTGTTTTGAGACCAATTTACATGGTGCAAATTCTGGTCCCAGGGAGACTGAGAAGAATCATCTGTAGGCAAAAATCCATCAACATTAAATAAATTATCACCATCCTGCACTTGATCAATATTCTGTTGTTCATTATCTTGCTCATTGAAGGCAGGAGAAGATGATGTTCCATCGGGATCCCAGTCCACAGAAGTATTACCCTGGCGTTCTACGTACGATTGTATTAGCTGGTCAAGACTTGCACGGAAACCACTTCGAAGAAGACTAGAGACACGCCTCCTGGTAGAAAAATAAAAGCATAAATAAAAAAAAAATAACTAAAAAAACTTTTCAGAATCCATAAGTGAAGAAACACTTCAAAAAAGCAACTACGACAAGTACCTGCTCAGCAGCTCTCTTAGTTCTACACTGTAAACATTATCATCCTCTGGAAGATAAAATGCATCAACCCTCCCCAAGGAACCAACTTCCTGTCCTGAAGGTGAATCTAACCAACTATCTATAGCCTCTTGTAAACCATTTTCATGCCATTCTTCATGAGGTTCATGCATATGATTGTGCTCTCTAAAATTATTATCGGGGCTTTCCTGATCCCATTGATTGGCAATGCTTTCTTGCCAAGTTCTGCCAAGGTCTTCTTCATCACCATCTGCCCATTCATTAGATTCAGTATGAGTTAATTGATGCCATTCCTCATGATCCAAGGCTGATTCTTCCTGACCCTCCTCAACCACAGCTGAAGTTTCATGTCCATCCATATCTTGAACTGGATCAACAACAAAATCTTCTACTGGACTATTGGCCTGGTGGACGCTGCTCACCTCACTGCTTGTTTCATCACGAGATAATTCAGGAGCATCTACCAATTGACTGGGAATACTGGCTTCACTCGATGATGGTTCTTGGACCAACACATCAGCATCAGACTCTATACAAATATAGGCACCATTCCCCACTGAATCTAGTTCTTGCTCACCTTCTCTTAGAGGTTGCACCGGCCTTTCAACTGCTTGAACAACAGAATGCTGACCATTTATGTTTTCAGTTGCATTGAACTCACAACTCCCTACAGCTGGAAAATCATTTCCATCTCTTTCTTCATCCGAAGGCTCAAAGAGATCATAGACATCTTCCAAAACCTCCTGCGCCTCATCTGATTGATTGGTACCATGATTATCATGATCCTCATTACAACAGGCATTGCCTGATTCAGAACTGGATGATGACCCATTTATTGAATTGCCGGATCGGGACAAAAATCCTTCTCTGTTTGAGAGGTAAAAAATAATAATTAAAAAGAATCAACAGGTTAAGGTCTTAATAATCAACTTCATATTTTGTCGCGCTTCTAATAATGTTACCAAGAAAGAAAATCTATAGCAGATGAGAAACTCAGCAGGAAAATCAGCAATCACAGTAGATAGATAGGAATATGAAGATCTTGTGTTCTCTTCAATGACAAGTTATCATTTTGCTTCTAGAAAGGAATATAAAGATCCTCCCTATAAATCTCGTGGAAGGATAACTTATACAGTGAAGAGAACACAAGACGAAGAAGCAAAAGGAATTCCCCGATGTATGGACTAGAACAGAATAGAGAACTTGAGCCTTGGAAAGTAAAATCCAGCTTATGGCAAACAATATAATCAATCTCATCTCACTTTGTATAAGAAATGATAACAATTGCAACTTTTATACTCCCATCCTGATCATCAAACTTTGTAAGGGGTTTGGTGGTGAATGAAATTCAGGTTGACTCGTTATAAAGGCCTATTTTCCATTCCACTCAATAATAGAACTGAAAACATAATTCTCCAGATGAGTGAAAATTTCATGGAGTAGTGAAGGTAATTAGATTCACAAGCATTTCAAGATATTAACTTAAAAGCTTAAATAATCACCAAAATGATAAATCACATAAGAAAATTTCTCCAACAACTAGGCAGTCTTTCACAAAAAGTCAGAAAAAAGGGCTCCATTTTCCTCCAATGCATAAAAGTTTTGCTCAAGTATATTGTCGATGATTGTCTTCCCAAGAATTTCCGATCCTAGACAAGCAGGGTTACCATAGTTTCACCATCTACGTAAACTTAGTCAGACTATATCATAAGGTTCATATAATTGCAGAACACGATAATGACATGTGATCCACATAGCTGACAACGTACAGTGGGATAGTCTTAATGTTCCACTAGTTTGTAGCAGATGATTGAAAATATGACCCTTGGTAGCTTCTCCATCAAATTTCTTGTGAAAATTGTCAGCCTCATTCATCAGTTTGATTTTTTTATTTTTTATTTTTGGTCAGAAAAATAGGCTAACAAATCTATCTTTGTCAGAAACCAAAAGTGAGTAAACAAATCAATTCAAGTAGCAGAAATATAACTGCAACTCCCTAACAAACATGAGCAAAGAAATTGCAGAGCGTTAGACTGAGAACTACTCGTAAAAGATCACTCATATGGCCGTAGCATAAAGCGTAGTCTAACTTCAAGCAAACACTAAAACATTAGTCGAGGACAAATTACCTCAGATCAGAAACTGTATTTCTCTGCCTGAGTAAACCCAATTCGCAGGTCTCTCGAGAATGCAGTCTTTCATTTTGAATCAATCTATCATTTCGCAAGAATCTACCTTTGAGCAGTGACTGCAGAAAAGGAAATTTTGAGAAAATTAGCTTGATATGTGATATGACATTAGATAGAAGTCTGACACTAGAAAGAATTACAAATTCACCCTGACCTGAATCCGGTTACGATGACTGAAATTGGATACAGGCCTATGATCCACCAATTGTTGAAGCTCCCTTTTCCTATCCCTTTGTGCCCGTGCAAGTAAATCAAGAAGTGTCTGCCTGCCACACAACTTCCGGATGGCTTTCCGTTCAGGAATTTCTGCAGGACTCACAAGCAAACCATCACGCACTAGTTTGATTTGTGGATTAATTTCAGAAGCTCCTTCATCTGCAGGAGTGTCACAATTTCCTCTCTGTTCACAGTTCACTTGCACCCAGTCCATTATGATTCTGACACGCTCACGCTCATTTTCACCGAGCCACTGTGCCCTTGAGGGGTGGTTTATATGTGAGTTATGAGAGGCAGGGCTTTCTGGACCATTGTTCATCCATTCCCGGAAAATTTGTCGTACTCGTTCCCGTTCAACTTCTCCTAGATCAGCTGACTGCTCTGAATTAATACTATTATTGTCATCATGCTCATTTGCTAAACCCACAGGATGTGGTGAATACTGCTCACTTGCAGTCCGAACATCATTGGTTTCCAATATCTCATTTCCATTGACACTTTCTGGCCCATCTGATAAGAATGTACTAACGGAGTCAGAATTAGACCTATCACTCCTCTGCCGTTGAATCTTCACACGTAATCTCGAATTGGGATTATTCACCACATGCTCACCCTCAAGCTCTCGCCACATTTGCAGAAGCGAGGATGCCCGGGTGCTTGGCCTGTTCTGTTCATCCCATTGGCCAGACTCTAGAGACCGAGATTCCCCATGAAAGGAAGCATCCAACCTGGTGACATTTTGTAAGCCCGCAACGGCCATCCTACTGCCCCAAGAAGCAATGTAAATTTTCAACCCTGACTGATCCTGCTGGATCTAATTAGAAAACCATCTGCACACATGCTTCCAAAGTTTTTCTCTATCTGCAAGAACTTCAAATAACAAACTGGACTCATCAATCTCCATCATCCAATCATCACTAAAGATTTATAAACACCATTGATGGTAAATTGAATGAAAATTTAATATTTCTAAATTTTGCAAAGTCAAGAACACAGAAGGTAACATCTACAGACATGACGGTCAAACTTTACCCTGAGCTCCACAATCTACCTTCTCTGGAGGAAAGAGAAAAAGTCATGTACAGAGTCTTCTTTACTGCCATAAAGCAAATCCCACCACTAAAAGGAAAAGCCACAAAATTCAAAAATGGAGCCAAAGCAAAAAATTCATCAAAAAAGACGCGTTTGTTTCCCTCCAAAACCACTTTATTCCTCTTCATAGATTGCAAAAATACAAACTTTGATCAACAGATCATCAACTGGGAAAAAAAAAAAACCCCCATTCATCAGAATCCAATGAACAACTCAATCAATTCAAATTTGGATCCAAGGAAATCAAACAAACATTAATTAAATCAAACATCCCAACAAATCATCAAAGAGATTCAAGCTAACCTTTTTTATTCATTTCTACTGCAGCTCTGATCGAACCCAGTTGTGTACACTCAAAAAAAGAGCAATCCAAAATGAACCCTTCAAAGCTAAAAGCAATAGTGAATCAGTGACCCATTTTTAGAGGAAAGAAAGCATCTAAGGTTGGAAAGAAAGAGGTGGGATATATAATAATCCAAATACTACTAATAATTTATGAAGAAAAAAAAAAGAAAAAATTTGTAATAAATGAGTGTGGGAGAGAGGGGACAGACACGTCAGAGTTCTTGATGAAAATTCTGTGTAGGAACTTGGGGAAGTGTTTTGGAAGTCTTACCCGGAAATTATGCCTTAATTCTAACGTTTTTTTTTTAACATTCGACGCTGTACCAATCACCAATTAGTAGTAGTACTTGTTTTTGGGAGAGAAAAGAATTTAATAAATTGTCATTTTCTTTCAACAATAAAAATATTTACTCCTATGGAAATTTCCTAAACAGTCTTGAATTTAACGGTAAGTTGTGGAGAAAGCGGTTGATAAGGCCGGGGTGTTTCACACGGTGTCGTTTTTATGGCGGTAGGTGAGGTATGTATTGTTCGGAACAGTAGTAGTTCATCCGTATTATTCTTTCAGATGGCGATTTAACCCTATTGTTCTACTTCTACGGAGAGAGCACTTGAAGTATAATTTAGGTCATAGGCATAGGGATTCCCAATTTTAATATTCAAATCAGGATCGCAGTAAATTTAATTTATGATATACATATACGACTTTAATACTCTTATTCATATTGTCTCTCTAATAATACATGATTTCGATATTTCTTAATTTTTATAACTCTCTATCCTTATATCGTTATCGTTTCAAGAAGAAAATACGTGTGCGCGATAAGTGGTATGGATCTCACATTAGGTTTACGTAGTATAATGGGAGAATTATGTTTTTATAGGAATAAATTATTATCCAGATATACTTTTTAATCTAACTTTTTTTTTGGACTTTGGTGTATTATTTCGCACCTTTTTTTTTTTAAATACTATTAATATATTTACATTCGAAGTGTACGTATTGAAAGCTTGTGTATGTTTATGCCCAAAGGAGAAAAATCAAGACATTTATATAGTTTATTATTGTTATAGTTGACTAATTCATGGGTGCACTTGTACTAAACCTGCAATTGGTCAATCAAAACATTTATATCGTTTTGAACAAGATTGTCTGTGTGATTCACCATCGATTAATTCCACGCAAATTATGTAGCATTAATCTTGTGTAATGCACAATTCTACTAGGTCTGCAATAAAGACGGGAAAAAAAATGAGCTATAAGTGAAATGACATATTATATCTCTTGTGTAGATTATTATTTTTTTTCTAGTTGCATTTTACTTTTCTCTCTTGTTTCTTTCTACTAATCACTTTTAAGTTGTTGGTATTTCAACAATATTACAAATTACGACGTAAACTTTTTTCTTTCTTTTTTTTTTGAGACGGAAAGGAATATTTATCTTTTTTCACAAAATAAATTTCATGAGAACTTATGTTGTACAATGTATGAATGAGTTCATTAAATTATACTGATCATGATGATACGGTCCACAAGCATTTGAAAATTGTACCCTTTGCTTTTCAAACGGCTACGACGCATGTTAAACCTAAAAGCAGCAGCCATGATTGACATTTATGCAATGAACGAAAAACTTAAAAGCCTGCTTCTATTTTATGTTTTGTCCCCAGAAAACATCGACCCACCCCCACCCCCCTTTCCTTAAAACAAATACTCCCCCGTCCCAAAAATTTTGTCCAATTTGAAATTTTACTTTTAATACAATTTGAACTAAAAAATGAAAATTCAAAGTGAACAATAATTATGGGACGGAGGGAATAATTCCACAAAAACTTTTCAATCCAAATGAACAAAGCCAAATTAATCTTCAAAACCCTAATTTGATTCACAAATGTACTTAATTAGTTTTTCTATTCTTAATATCCTCAAAAGCATGTTCACTAGATCGTATGACTTGGAAAAAGGAAGAACGTAGTTGACCCAACATCTGGCGCTAACATCAACCCATCTACTAGTGATCATGATGATTCAAGGTCAAATAAACAAATACTAGATTTATATTAGAATACAGGAAAAAAGGAATTTTAAACGGATCAATGTCACTTGAATGAACGACAATTTGTTCCCTCATTTAACTATGATAACCAAATAAGTATATATATATATATAAGGAAAAGGCAGCAAAATCCCACTAACTAAACTTTGAATTCTCAAGAGACTTGTACCTAATCCTATTGAGAAGTGAGCTGCCTTATGAAAAGGGCACAACTTTGAGTGGCTAAAATGGGCATAATTGTAGGCCTTTGGCCCTTGGGAAAACAATATAATTCATCATCCTCTTGGAGTTAGCTAAGGTAGCGTTCTCTTGTTTTTTTGTTTGATTTCTTTTGGTATAAATTGAATGCAAACATATAATTAAGAAGAGATAAGGCTCGTGCATATTTCATGGTATCATGTTCTACATGTTTGGTCTCACATGGACAACAATAAATTGAACGATAATCCATATGGGTGGAGTTGAGGTTATAATAAATTGTATTATTGGGTCTATCTGTCTTTCATTTTCCCTTTTTCTTAATTTGCCTTATGAGTTATGACCCTTGAAACTTTTGTACACTTTTAGACTGTAAGCAATATGAAAACCTTTTTTTTTTTTTGGTTTGGTTTACCACTTTATCTTTTTGAGAATTAGCTAGCCGCTGCCTAGTTAATTGTGGCTTACTCAATCATAGTATACGTTTAAGGCAGTCTTAACCAAACCAAACGAGGAAAAGAACTACCAATTAAAATAAGAAAAACCCTAATTCACACTAGTCTCGGCCATTGTGATCTTTTCATGAGTATATAGCATACATTTGTTTGTTCTAAAGTTCCGTGTGTTCAACATATAGAAACTCGAGTCATAGAGGCGTATTTCATAATCATGAGATTCATGAATTTAAAACTATAAGTATGATAAGAGACGGGAGAAAAAATAAAATGTATCGTTTACGAATTTAAATAAAAGAAAAAAAAACAGTCCATAGAAATTTTACAATTACAGTATCAATCTTGAACATTATTTGGAAGACTTATCAACCCTACCTGACCAGATTCCAATTCTGAAAGACACTGACTGATTTATTGGAATGAACATTGAATCAGCACACCATATCCTTAATTGTTGGTCACATCGGATCCCTTTTCCCAGCTTCATTATTTACTTGTTCAGAATTTTCATAATGTATATAAATAAAGCTATACTTTTTTTCACCCATAAATGTTATGATCGTAGCAATACTTAAAGAATGTGATTTCATATACTCTCTCATCCCAAAATAAATGTTTAATTTAAAATTTTATATATAGTACAATTTGTATTAAAAGTGAAAGTCCAACCTAATTAGATAATCATTTCAGAATGAAGAAAATATATTACAATTTACAGAGTGAAATATAAGAAAGTATTTTTTTTTGGGTAATATAATGTACTCCGTGTCCAAAATCACTTTCTTAATTAACTTGGATACAAGCTAGCTGATCATCGTGTTTTCTTTTTCGGCTTTTCGGGACATAGGGTTTCTTATCTTCAGATATTTTCATGGAAAGATGTGTATGCTGGAGCCTGAGGGAGGATGTTCAATGCATGATGCAAATAATGGATGCAACATTATGTGATTGTTTCTATCTTCTTTCTTTTTCTGCAGAGATATTTTTTCAGAGGGTGGGGTGAAGGAGAAGAAGATCCAGCTGCGATTGAAACGAGTGCATTTTCCATAATCTCAATAGGCTATATAGGCTTTTTTTGTCATGAGATTCGAGTACCATCAATCAACTCACTTGCATAGTTCAAAGGTGTCAGAAACCGCACATTGCATGTTAACTCGATCATTAATTTCATGGGACGAAATTTTTACAAGAATGATACAATGTTTTTCTTTTCTTTTTCTTTTGAAGTTTAGAAAAATAGTCTGCTTTGTACGTAGAATTATTTACATAAACAATCTAATACGATATGATGATTTGTAGAGTAACATTTTGGTTATATAAATTAGTTTTACTGGTGAGATTACAATACCTTGCATGTGTGGTTAACTCTTAAAGGATAGGTGAATACATGAACCTTTTTTATGCACATTGAATTCGAATCCAATGTTCCGATTTGTTCGATTTTTTTTTCTCAATAAATACATTATACATGATTTTTTATTTTTTTGTTCTTGATGATGACTGAATTAGATGTAGGAGGCATTTCATTATTTGCATTCGATCTTTGTGGTGCTAAAGCAGCTTTTAGATCCCTTAGTAGTCCGACCCCAATGAACATATTATACGACAATAAAACTTTTTTAAAATAATGTTGCGAAAAAGAAAATAAACAAAAACCAAAAAACTTTATGAATAGAGAGGGGGGAAAACAGAAGTGGCCATATGAAGAAATGAACCAACAAAAAAAAAAAACAATGTCCCAGTCCTTACTCAACTTACTCATTAGGATCCAACTACAAAAAAAAAAAAAAGAAAGAAAAGGAAGAAAAAGAAGAAGAAGAAGAATTACAAGAATATATTTTTCCAATTATACCGTAGGAAGCAAGTTACTAGTAATCGACTTCTTTTTTTATCTGCGGGCTCACAATTGAACTTATTAAGATTTGGGCTTTAGTATTTGAGCATTGCAATTTACTTAATGGGCCGAAAGACACTAACAAACTTCCAATGAGAAAAATGGTACTCTTGCCTCTACCAAGGTCCAAGTTTTCCACCTCCCTCCTTCATTTCTGAATACTTCTCAACGAATAATTTATAGGGCTAACGCCTAAATTATGATAAAATATCACCAAAAGGAGGAATGTTATGAGAATCGAATAATAATTCAGTGATTCATTCAAATAAAGCGTTTCTTTGAGTACACACCGATTCGATTCTCACCAAGATCGGAGCAGAATAATCTAAGATGGATTAGAGAGATTGTGATAGAAGTATGGTTGATTAGATAGCGAAAAATGATCACTATTGTAATCTTAAATTGCATTTGATTGGCTTAAATAGTTTTTGTAATGGAATAGCACCAAAATAGAATAACACAACTAAAATGCAAGTTCACTTTGCATAGGCAAATTTTGTGACCTATATATATGATTAAGGTAGGGGTCTCACTTGTTTGTTTAGTATTCTTTTCAATATAATAGACATTTATTTGATGTCGAAATTTCTGTCTGGTTTATAATAGTAATTTAAATATTATAATCAGGATAATAATTTGAGACGAAGGACCTACTTATTTGAGGAGCATAAAACGTACAAAAAGTCACAAAGTACAACATCAAATATGAGAAAAATGGAAAAGGGTACATCTTCACTTTGAAGTTCAACTGAAAAATTACATGGCAAAGAATCACAGTAGTATCAAACAAATTATCCAATTACACAAATCACACCACCAAAACTAACAAAAGAACAAAATATAAACCTCAAAAAAGAAAAAAAAATTAAAAAATGAAGCACATATAAAATAGTTCTTGCAACATTATAGATCAATGTCACAGGGAGTCCGTTCGAAACTCTTGGATGAAGAGAAAGGTACGACAACAGGAGCACACAAAAGCCTCAAAGTACGATGATTTTTGACGGCTCCAACCTTAAACCTGATCTTTGCCTTAACTCTGATCTCAAGTTCAACCTCCCTTGACATTTTCTCCATCTGCAGATTCTTAGCCACCCCTGGAAACAATTCAACGTTAGTAGAAACAAAATTCAGGTTCAGACGGGTCACATTCCTTTTGGGCTGATGAAACGGTTGCAGACTGTTGACGGCCAACGTTTGGTCATCGTAGTAAACCGTGGACTCAATCCTGTCATAATAAATCGAGACCCTGCTGTTGGGGTTGTAAGCTCTGAGCTCGAAATTGAAAGTGGCATTGAGGTGATTGTTGGTTAGATTGTAGTTGTGAATCGACCCGGATTCGATTGTGTAGACGAGCTTTTTGGGTTTCACGGCTAACCAGATGACGATCACGGCTATGGCGACAAGAAGAATCAGGGCTAGCAAGAAAATTGCCAGAGTTCTCAGAAGGGTTGAATGTGCTGGCCTGGTTGCTGGAGCTGAATTCGCCATTTTATTTTATTTTTTTTCGAAGGGGCAAATTCAGCGAAATGGAAGAAGTGTTTTCTGGGATTAACTTGGTGGATAATGTTCCCCTGTTTTATACAGGGGAAAAAGAAAACAGGGGAATTTTTTTCCCCGTTCCAATTAGCTGTTCTTTTTGGGGTCTGCTTTTGGTCACTTTTCTTTTTGTTTTTTTTTTTTTTTGGTTTTCTTGCTTGGTACTGAAGAGATCTCTTCTGGGAATATTTCAGGTTCCGGTCTTGTGTGGAATTGTGCTTATCTTGCAGGGTTAGTAAAGGGATCAAAAGCTTGCTGTTAATGATTAAAGAATCATCAACAAATGAACTGGATGATGACAAAAATTAATATGAGAAGAATCTCATTCCTCTCTTGGCATACAAGATGTTCTAAATCATCCCCAAGTGACAAATTGCTTATCCTGCGCGTAAAATCTGACCTCAAAAAACCATGCTATAATGAAAATGGATCGAGAACTTCCTCCGTTCCTTACAAGGGAAAAACTTTCGTACTTTTTTAGTTCAACAAACAAAAAGTTTTGAGTTTTATACTGTTTTTAGTACAAATTTAAAAATTCAATATGGACTATTTTTTTTGAAACGGGGTAGTATTTTTTTTGCGTTCTTGCAATTTCACCTATCCGCCATACACAATCAGCAGCTATCCTCAGCAAATAAACCATAAATTTAACAAAGCAAAACTGGTTTAATGAACATGTAAAGCAAGACCACAAATGATTTTTCTTTGATAGTACAATGACAAAATTTGGAACAAAACTAATTTTTTCATTAAACCAGGAAAGATGATTAACAAAACTAGTTTTACGTTAAGCAAAACTAATTTGAAAGTTGGAACAACTCAGGAAAGATGATTAACAAAACTGGTTAGCAGCCATCATCTCTTCACTGTCTGGAAAAAAACACTCCACTTGGAACCTTATTATGCGCAAGGTGCATCGTCCATGTGCAATATATTGAAATCTAATTAAATTTAAAAGATTGATGAATTGTAAAACTGCAACATTTAATATTTGCTGGAGTTGATGTATATCGGCTTATGCTCTGAAATATCTCATCAACTTTCTGGGACTTGAATGAATAACCTCCAGATCCACCATACCGTCGGACGGAAATAGATGATTTGGTTGGATCCTTGCAGAAATCGTATTTGAAGCCATTCACTTAGAACAAGATCCAACTGGGAAAATAATCAAACATGTTGCAACAACCAACCAAATTAATTCCATATTTTATTTTCTTTTTCTCTTCCTCAGACCAACAGATTTATTCCCGAGTTACAACGTTGCACAATTGCATTCTCAAATAGAGGAAAACATTACAACATTGTGGTAACTTTCACAAAATTCTTCTTGGCTGAAAGAGGAAAAAAAAAAAAAAACATCAGTGACAAACTGAACATTAAATGACTAATCAAAAAACCGAATCAATGATTAAAAGATAAACTGAATCCATACTTATTAAAGGAGGATCGTAAGGAGGATCGTGCGGATTAATAGTCATAGTCAGCCTCCCATCTAAGCCAAGGGCTATGCAGGTCCAGTCTCCTCAGAGGCTCATATCTATTTAGGGCCTCGGCCACACTTCAAATCAGGTCACAAGCCAAAAGATCCGAGAGGTATTGTTAGTAAGTTGTGTTACCAAATCCTGATTAGGACATTGAAGGGGGCTTTCTTCCTTTATCTTCTGTGGCTCGTCATCAATTCTCCTCCACTTATAGAAATCATGGGCATCAGTACATCGGCACTTTCTTTGGTAAGCTTCCGAGGCATCAGAATCCGTAAGAACAAACCCTTCAATGAGTGTCCTAGTTGCATAAACCACAGAAATATCATGGGATTCCACAACAGGGCTAGTTTCTATAGGCACTTTGGATATCTTAGACATACGACCATAATCAGGGACAACCTTGACGAAACTGAACCAGTAAATGATCCGATAAGCTATCAGATCTTCCATCAGAACAAGCCTTCATCCGGAACTGGCCAACAAAAAATGAATCTGAACTGCTGGCATCCCTCGAATTTGGAGTCTAATCTCTAAAAATTAAAGCTTGGATCAAAGATCGTTAAATCTCAGGGGAGGAACACGGAAAATAGTGAAGGGAAATAGCGTCAGTTGTAAGTTTTATTGAAGGAAAATGGTGAGCAGAGTACAGAAAAAATGAAATGGAGGGAAGCCGAAGGATTGGAGGGAGGCGGCTGAAGGGATGATGAAAATTAGGGTATTGGAGTTGTTTTGGACCAATTCATTGTGAGTTTGTTGTGATTTCATAGTTTTGGGTTTGATTAAATTTTTTTCCCTTACAATTTTGAATCTATCTTACAAAACCAATCCACATATTTTTGTACTGATGTCTGTGTTTTTAGGATCTATAGAGTAATGTATTACCATTGTACTAAAAAAATAATTTACATTGAGTTTTGGAATTAGTACAATATTAATTTCAGTACAAATTTAAAAACTAAAGTGTGAAATGTTTTTTTCATACAGATGGGAATATATCTTAAAGAAAAAAAAAAGTAATGTAATATGTATACTAACACCAAATATTGGAACATTATATTAGCAGATATCATCTTTATTTTTTGAATAATAACATTATAAAATTTTGATCTATTGTAAAAATTCAAGTAAAATTATTAGCGTTATTATTTTATATTTCAGTGAACTTCAAAACAGCTACTCATGACTTGGAAGCTAATTTTGCAACAAGAGACAACGTTTGGCAAAAAAAAAAAAGAAATTTCAAAATACTTCTCAAAAAAATTATAAGAATATTGAAAATCAAAACAGTCGGCTAAACCACGAACTAACCATTTTTTTTTTCACTCAAATGTTGCAAAATATTGTATAAGATGCCCGCCAAATGCGAAATTTTCTTTATTCGTTTATTAAGTCAGTAAAAAAAAATTTCCTGTGAGGACCCTTTTGTCCTTGATTAACAACGAAAAGCGAATTTTTCTTATGAGAAATTAGGAGAAAACAGAGAGCGAGATGAGATGAGATAGAAGAGGAAAATGATTAATAACGAAGAGAGCAATGGTATTACAAAGTTTTCCTCTCTCTAGAGGTCACTTTCTCTCTAGGAGAGATAAGAGAAAACCCTAAAGGGCCTCCGCCAACCTCTGATTTAGCAGATTTCTGAGGCAAAAGTTGCTATTAAGCCAAGAAAACAGAGGGATTTCTTCAGAATATCACCAGAGGAGCAATTGGTAGTGCAATTCCCCAAGTCCGAACATCATCATTCCATCTGAGTTTCGATTTCATCACGAAAGGAAACCGAAGAGTGGCGGCCATCCAAGACTGGCCAGATGAGGAGGTTTTGAGGAATTTTCTTGGTAAGCCTTTTGGAAGGAACAATTCCCTAATTGGAACATAATCATTACGACTCTGGCAACTTTCAGAAAGGTACTTTCTGTTGTTTTAACGGTCTTCGATAAATGGTGACCTATTAGTTTTTTTCGTTTCTTGGAGAACCTAAAGGTTATGCAGAAAGGGCTGATTTACGATTAGGGGTGATTGGAAGCAATACTTGTTTATAGTTTCTTAATTGGTGATTAGAAGGTGATTGGGGAACAATTTAAGATATAGATTATCATTGCTTTTGGAGTAATTGGGAGCTGAACACAGTCTTCAATTCAAGACACGGATTTAATGCTCTCGTGCAGAATAAGTGCCGGAGATTTATATACCCAAAGTAACTTTTTTTAGATTTTAATAATCTTGTATCAAGAAGGAGATGGTGGATATGGGGTTATATAAGACGGCGACGACGATATACTTACCACCACCACTGAGAGATAAAAATCCAACTCCTGAAAATCTTTCAAGCTCTTCAAGCACTATTTCTATGGAATACCTTTTTTCTGATAACTCCTCCCAGAACTTCTGGGCCAGAGGCAAAAGGCAAACAAGTCTCCATCTAAAAGTGATTCGTTTACTAAGGGACAATGGAAACAACATTTATACAGATCACATCGTAGGGGCCTCAGATGTCAACTCCCTTTGGAAGAGGTACAACTGTCTATTAGCCAACATAAGAATTGCCTTTTGGGTTATCTGTTTGATGATAGGAATTATAGCTGAGAAAAGATACAAAGTTAAATAATTGGGGGCATGTTTTAGTTATCCATAAAGTTAAGAACTTTTTTGTTTTCAAGTTTAATGCCCGAGAAATCTTTAAGATGGTGTTGTATAATAGCCCTTTCACTGTTGATGGAGGGGGGGGGGGCTTCTGGTGTTGAGTATATGGTACCCAAATATGTCCTTACAGCAGCTGAGGATCGAACTCATCTCAGTGGGAATTCGGATGTATGGGCTGCCGGTGGAGTGTTTCACTAAACCAATAGCATATCGGATGGCTAATATGATTGAAGAGCCTTTGGAGGTGCGAGCCAGTGAGATTGATGCAAGGAAGGCAACGTTCTTGCGAGCCAAGGTGATAGTCAAGCCATATGACCCTTTGCCCTCAAGTTACTTTCTTGATTCATGGAATGGGAAAAGTATTTGGATCAGTTGTAGTTATGACAGATTGTATAAATACTGTCAGCGGTGTGGAGTTATTGGTCATGTGATTGAAAACTGCTACATTGACCTAAATGAGGAACTAGAGCAATACTTGGATGCAAGTTTTGAAGTTAGTGGCAGGGAGAAAAATGTGGATTATGGGCAAGATGTTAACAATAGCCTCTTTCCACCATACATGAGAATGACAGACGGAAAAGACAAAAAGACGACAAGGATCTCAATAGAGTATATCAATCGGCACTTCTATGTCTTCTAGGGAATGAGGGAAGAAGATATAGAAGATGGTTTTGTTTACAGTCATCTGGGAGAGAACAGTGGATCACAGCCAGAGCAAGCCAACGTGGAGACAGAGATATTATGATTTCAAAGGAGGTGTGCAATCAGACAAGTGGGCCATGACTTAGAGGAAGATCTTATGCAGGTTGATACTCCGGAACCAGTGAGGCCACAGCAGATGGAACGGTACAGTGGTTTTGGTAGAAATAATGGTCCTCCAATGGAGGGTCCAAGTAGATAGTTGACAAGGCCCTGGGGAGTGCAAAACACGGTGCAAACAAGTTTCGTCAGTAACAAAAGCATCAGAGGCATGGCTTATATGTAGGAGAGTAGGTTCTAGGTGGATTCGCAGGTGAAACAGGCGGTACATCATGGGGACCAAGGTGAATTTCGGCCAGCAAGATTTCGAGGATCACATGCAATAAGTTTTTGTAAGGAATCAGGCTGGGAGGCGGATTTGTCACCAATACATAGCAGGTCTTACAGTTGTACTACTGGGTAACAGTTGGGCGAGAGGATTTTCTTGCATAATCGGGCTAGCCTAAGGTATTTGCCTGTAAGCCCAGAGAGAGCTCCTTATCAAATGTTGTCGGCAATGGAAGTGATGAACCAGCTTGCAGCTACACAGGGCCAAACAGACCCAAATTGGAGGAGTGGTACTCAGCTACAAGCTACTCAGGCATATACAAATCAAGGTTGGGCCAAAGAAAACTTACCAGGTATGGGCCGTTTCTCTTCTCAATAGTTTGGGTTATATCATGATGACAGGAATGGTTTTGTCTCAAACAACATGGGCCATCGGGCTGAGGTGGAGACTAAGAGGCCCAGTAACACGATGGTGCCATCTTGTCCTTTCTCGCCACTACCTTCAATAGACTCACTGAATTTGTATAACTGCAGTGAATTGCGAAGGTTAGGCCTAGGGACTGAGGAAAAATTAGAAAGGAGAGCTGAGATTCGTAAAGGAAAACGACCAGTTCAGTGCGACGGTGGAGCAGATCAGAAGATTCAGAAGAAATATAGGCATGAAGAGCAGCTGTAAGATGAAGTTGAGCGCTGCCCTCTGGCACCGGTACAGATTCGTGAAGCTACACACAGAAGAGAAGAGCTACACATGAGATCATCCCAAAGCAAAGAAGTTAGAGATGGGCGAAAAGGTTTGCTGGAAAAATGGGTGAGGGAAGAAGAATCAAAGAAAAGGCCTAGGACTGTGATTGAGGTAGAAAGCCCCAGGGATTCCAACAGCAGCGTAAACAATGAACCAAAGCGTCTGAAAGGTGACTTTTAAGGCTCTGATCCAGGGAGAGGGTATGGAAAAGATTTAAACTGGTTGATTGAGCATTTAGGACAAGTGATGGATGAACGGAATCAGAAGACTGCAATAGTGGCGAATGCATTCCCAGTAACGATGTTATCTAGTGAAGATCAGGACAGAGTGACGATGTCAACCACCCCCGTCGCCATGAGAGTCATATCGTGGATTTGCAGGGGCTTCAACCGGCCGCCTACGAAGCAACATCTCAGGCAACTTTTGCTCCAATTTAAGCCCGAAATTTTATTTTTGCAAGAAACTAAATTATCTTCCAGTTTGTCTTTGTTTAGATGACTAGATGGTTCTTGTTTTAGTAGGTTAGAACTAGTAGAGGCCAATCATTTGTCGGGGTGGATTGGCAGTATTTTGGAATGGGAATTTGGATTTTGAAATCCTAGAAAAATCATCACATTGTATAGCTGCTAGGTTCAAAGATGTAAATGGGGCTCAGTGAGGTTTTCTCTTTGTATATGGGCACCCAGATCAACCTTCTGGGGCTAGCACTTGGAATGAAATTAAACTAGTAGCTTTAAAGTATCAATTGTGTTGGATTATATTAGCGTATTTTAATCAGATTTTGGATCCAGGAAATAAGTGTGGTGGTTTGAAGATGAGGGATCAACAATCTCAACATTTAAGGGGCATTTTAAATGAGCTGGATATGACAGAAGTTCCTTTTAGAGGAAATAAATATACTTGGTCTAATAATCACAAAGGTAAGGAATGGATTCTGGAACGATTAGGTCGGGCTTTTGCCGATCATGCTTGGTTTGATATTTATCCCTATCCATATGTTATGAATTTACCGATTGCGATATCAGACAAAGGCCCTTTGGTTCTAAGTACTGGAAGAGAACAAATACCACAAAACATTTCTAAAAACCATTTTGAAGCTTTTTGGTCTAGAAATGAGGTAGCGTTTGAGATTATTAAGAAAGTATGGTTTGAGAAGGATGATATTTTTATAAGTAATGATCCCAGGATGATGTCAAATTTGTTGGAGACTATACTGAAAAGCCTTGCAAGTTGGAGTAAGCAATCTTTTGGTGGCATGAATTTGAGGATCAGATAATGCATGGATCATCTACAGGAGCTATAGGAGAATAAGGGAGTGATGGAAAATCAGGAGGATATCAACGCTGTAAAGGAAGAGTTGGAGAAGTTTCTGGTGTTTTATACTGATTATTGGTCCCAGCGGACGAAAATTATGTGGAATTAGGAAGGAGACAGGAACACGGCTTTCTTTCATAAATGGGCTACCAAAAGAAAAGAGATGAATTGGATCGGAGCACTCCTGGAGACAGATGGAAGGTGGTGCTATGATGAAAATCGCATATGTGACCTAATGCTTCAACATTTTCAATTAGTTCGTAGGGAAAGAGAGAAGGTCACGAGTTTTGAAGATCTATGGGATCCGCTACAATCCTATATGAATTTAATTGAGGAGGTGGTCACACATGATCAAAAACAGAGATTTGAGGAGCCGTTTATAATCATGGAGATTGAAAGTGTGATAAAAGGGATGGCTCCCTGGAAAGCACCGGGCCCAGATGGTTTACCGGCTGGTTTTTATCAGAAGTTTTGGGAGATCATCAAAGAGGAAGTACGGAGAAAGTTTCTTAGTATCTTAAATGGGAAAACACGGGAAGACGAATGGAATCGGACAAAGGTCATTTTCATTCCAAAAATAGGAAATTCGAAAACTCCTGCAGATTGCCGATCCATCAGCTTGAGCAATGTTAAGTATAAAGTGGTAGCAAAGGTGTTGGCTAACCGACTTAAGAAGGTGTTACCCCACATTATATCGGAAGGTCAAAAGGGCTTTGTACCTAGACGATATATAGGGGAAAACATACTGCTTGCTCATGAGGCGGTGGAATACACTCGAAAGAAACAGAAGGGTCGGAAAGGTGTAGTGGTACTTAAGATTAATATGAGTAAGGCTTATGATCAAGGAATAGCAATATCATTGTGCTGTGCGAGGTACAAGAAAGAAACAGAAAATACCCAACACATTTTCTTGGATTGTGAACATTCGTAGAGGATTTGGAGAAGTTCACGCTTAGGTTTTGATTTTAATGATGGCAATAGAATTTCTTTGACATCATGGTTTGAAGGATGGCTTACTTCGACGCCTGATATGGAGGTGCTCAGCAATCATTTTTTCTTTTCTGGCAAATATGGCTAGCAAGGAATAAAGCAGTATGGAAATTGCAAATCCAAGAGCTAGGCCAGGTGCAATGTTTGGCTCTGACAGAATGGCGGATTTATACTAGAGCTTTACAAATGCCAAGAAGTTCCGAAGTTCAGCTGATTAAGCAGTAAAAATCTGGGGGTCACTTTGTGGATCAAATGAGGGGAGATTTCTATATTAGGACATATGCGGCTTTCCAGGAGAAGAAGAATAGAGGAGTAGGGGTGGGAGATAATCACCAACCAAGGGAAATTTTTAATGTCGGGAGTCGATTCCTTCTACGCAGCTTCAGCAAAAGACGCGGAGGAGAGAGCGTGTTTAATGGGCATGCAAGGGGCGATATCAAAGGAGTTTCAAGACTGCCAAGTACAAATGGATAGTCAGAATGTGGTGGATTATATACAGAGACGTAAAACATGCCCTAATTATCTGTTTTCTCTGATCAAGGATATTAGGCTATGTTTTTCTTATTTCATTACATGTGATGTTCTTAAAGTAAGTAGGGAGATTATGGAAGGAGCACATATGTTAGCTAGGTTGTGCCTTAAAGACAAATCCTATTATTATCTGATGTACTCTTGTTATGATTTTAATGAAAAGTTTGCATTCAAAAAAAAATAAAAAAATAGCAATGGTAGAAATCTAGACTCTAGTGAGAATAGAGTCCAAATGAAGATAATGTGAGGGGTATTTTAGTCATTTAGTTATTTTTACTAATGTTTGATGTCCAAGTTTTACTGAGGGGTTTTCGATATTAACCCTCAATCATATTTTTCACCGCAACCGGAAGGGTATTTTCGCCAACCTCAAAAATGGCATTTATGTGCGGTGTGCGACTCTTCTTCTCTCTCCTCCGTGTCATCTCGTTACTGTTCATTACAAAATGGTAACCTTTTTATTTTTCTGTTTTTCTCCTGAATTTGATGACTTGTATGATATCTGAGAAAAACCGAAAAACCCTTCTTCATCCCCTTTTCATTTTGATTCGACTCCGTTCTAAAACCCGAAGATTTCGTTGTTCGGCAATTTGTTGTGGAAGGATTGCCAATTTGCATGTCCGAGGAGCGCAAATTTGCGGTGTCAATCTGAATCCCTAAACTTTGGATATTGAGAAACACTTGTTAGATTTCTGTGGGATTTGCAAAATCTGGAAGAAGGGTGCGTTGATGTTTGTTCCGGTGAGTGATTGATGGGTTCCCCTAAAAAATCAGGAACTGCTGGTTCAATGGCGAATGGGGATGGAAGAAGTGATGACAACGGCAATGGGAACGAGGATGGGGAACTATTCGAGTCCACAATTAGGCCTGGGATGAAAAGGGAGTTTGCTATGATGATGAAGGCTCAAGCGGAAAGTGGGATTTTTTTCGGTCGGGAGAGAGTCACTAGGTTGAATAGCCCTTTTCGGCAGGGGAGACTCACAAGGTCTCAAAATAGTCCTTTGGGGCAAGGGAGAGTCACAAGATCTCAGAATAGTCCTTTGATTAAGAAAAGCCCAGGGAAAAATGGTGACTATTTTAAGAAGGGTAGAGTAAAGAGTTCTGATATGAGGAAGAAGAAGAAGATTGAGGATGAGAATGTGATTGCTGGTGAAGTCAATGATGTTGAAATGCTGGGGGATGATGGAGAACAAAAAGGGTCAGTTGCTGCGGAGGAAGAAGAAGTAAAGAGTGATATCGTGGACGGAAATAGTGACGATGAAAAGAAGCAGCATCAGGATAGATTACTGGAGGTAAACGAGATTGTGGATAACCAGGGGACGGAAAATCGCCGTGGAAAAGAGAATTTAACCAGTGAAGCTAAGGATGGGATTGTGGAGTATATGAATGAAGATGCACCGGTGCTAGAAGAGGAGGGCGGGGTGAAGGTTGACTCTGATTCTGTTGCTGAAGAAGCTCCTGAATCTCTGGAGAAGCTAGGATTTGAAAATGAAGGTGCAGATTCTGTTGAAGTGGACATTAGGGATCCTGCTGTGGAAAATAACCTTCCTAAGGATGGGATTTCGAAATGTGTTTGCGAAGATTTAATTGTGCTGAAAGAGGACCTTGGGGCCAAAAATAAAGCTGTTTTTTTTGGTGAAGACGCTCCTGAATCGGTGGAGAAGGTAGTACCAGAAGGTGAAAACGGAGATTCTGTTAAAGTTGCCGCCTCAGATATTGGAACTCCTGTTTTGCCGGACAATGGTGTTCCTGAGAGAACTTATGTCAGGCGGTTTACTCGATCATTATTGAAGTCAAAGGTAGAGGAAGTTCCAAAGCAGTCAGGGACAGGATGGATGGTGAATGAAGCATTTTTTAGGTCGACTCTGGTGCCTGAAGAGGAGAGAGGGGTCAAGGTTGACTCTGACTTTGCTGCTGTAAAAGCACCTGTATCAGTGGGGAAGGTAGGACTTGAAAGTGAAGATGGAGAATCTGTTAAAGTCGTGGCATTTGACGCTGGAACTCCTGCTACGGACAATCGCTTTCCTTTGCAATATGCCAGACGGTTTACACGTTCATTATTGAAGCCGAAGGTGGGAGTTCCAGAGCAGTCGGGGGCAGAAGAGATGGTGGATGAAGAAGTTTCAGAGGGTAGAACCTTAGCTTCTACGTCTTGTTCGTGCAAGCTTGAAATGAAAATGTCGAAGAAGGTTGAGCTGAGAAAAAAACCTTCCAGATTGAAAGACCTTCTCGACACTGGTCTACTAGAAGGCATACCTGTGCGATATGTTCGTAGCTCAAGGGTAAATTCTCCTGGACCTCTTCTTGATTTACTATGTTGGGTGATCAATTGTCGAAACATATTAACCTGTGGCTTGTCGTACTTTTATAGATTAGTAAGTCTGGGGAAGCTGGTTTACGTGGAGTGATTCAGGGCTCCGAGATTTTGTGCTTTTGTGATGATTGCCGGGGAATTCGAGTAAGTAATTGTGTTGATGTTGTGGAGTGAGATTAATTAAAAAAGTGCTAATTTTTTAATTTTACTTATTTATTTTTTTGTTGTTGTTTTAAAACGTTGTGGTTTAGACTGTCACGCCTGCTCAGTTTGAGTTGCATGCCGGTAGTTGTAATAAACGCCAACCAGAATTCATTTATTTGGAGAATGGGAGATCCCTGCGGGATGTTTTGGATGCCTGTAAGAATGCTTCGTCTGATTCATTGGAGCATGCTATTGGGGTTGCTATTGATTGCACAGTTACAAAACGTCCTATCTTTAGTGGGGAGTGCAAAGGTTGTTCATAATACTATTAGTTCTTTGAAGGATTTTCCCCAAAAGTACTGCATTTTCTTTGAAGTGTTTAAATTCTCCTTGTGAATCCAGGTCCAACCAGCTCTAATGGCACCGTGATGAGTGATTCTTGTGGCTCAAAAGGGGAGTCTCAGCAGGAGACTACTGAGTCAAGTGATATTAACGGCAGGTAATTGTTATTATCTTTAACCTTGTATTCTCGTTTTGTACATTTACGTTACATCCTAGCTGGTGGCTGAGACAATTTTTACAAGAGCTCATGGAATTTGGGAGTCGAGACAAGAATTTTTGTTGTGGCTTTTTTATCTACGTACATATTAATGCAACTACATGATCATAGACGGACTTCGTCGTTTGTGATATTTGTTAAAAATAAAAGAGCTTGCTGTTTTTCTGATCAGTATGATAATACGTAGATGGTTCTGGTCAACCATATCCGTCCTTACTGTGGTTTGTTCTTGCCATGGTTTGTTTTGGGAAAATCATTGCTATTGTAAGATGATATTCAGATTACAAATCATTGAAATATAATGTTGTTTGTTGAAATATCCTACCTCTTATGGCAAATAGCTAATACAAGACCGATGCAGCCATATGCTCTACATATGTATATTTTTTAATTATTCTTTGAAGGAACAGGGTAACAGATTAATTTTTGTGGGTTTTTTTTGTTAGATTGCTAGATTATATATAAGATTTTAGGAAACTTCTTGTTGCTTGTTCTTTCTTTTCAAATATGCTTTTACTTTGGGAAATGACTATGTTTCAATTGAAAACATAATTGATCAAGATTTGAGACAAATGAATAAATATTTCTTTTGCTCTGCATGGTGCTAATATTTTGTACCACCTAAAAAATAAGCTACTCTCTCCTCTCTCTGTCTCTCTCTCTCTCTCTTGTGTTTTTAGTTTGGAGTCATCACATATCCGGAATTTGTGTTTCTGTTGGTACCTTTCAATTGTGATTTCCTTATTGTAAGCATAAAAAATTGTAGAATAAGTTGAACTAATCTTTTTCATGCAATATTCATCTATGTTTATCCAGGTCACCTGTATCTGTCTCAAGTACGAAATCACATGGTAAAGTGTCATGCATACGCTCAAAACCTCAAACCCAAGGAAAGCTCACGAAGAAGTAAGTATCATTTTCTTATATATAAATTTTGTGTGTGGAATGGTTGCTTCTATGTGCTTAATTTTTTCTTCTTTTTTCCTGTAGGGATTTGGGATTGCACAAGTTAGTTTTTCAGTCAAACTATCTTGAGGAAGGAGCTACATTATCGTATTTTTTTCATGGAAAGGTTAATATATTTCTCCTTGGAATTTCTGGAAAATGGTTGAGCTGCATTGCTATAAGATTAGTTATAACCAAGTTGTCTCTTCTCTGGATCAGCTATTGAATACAGGCTACAAGAGTGGCTCTGGAATTTTTTGCAACTGTTGCAATCAAGTGGTAAGTTTGTTTAACAGTGATTTTAAGATTATATGCTTATTTATTTACTCTTTGAAATATTGACGTGAAAACCTTTCATCCAGGTGAGTCCATCAGTGTTTGAGGCTCATGCTGGTTGTGCATCCCGCCGTAAGCCGTGAGTTTTCCAAGGATTTTTTTTTTCCCCTTTAATATCCTGTCACCTGAAATTTTCACTTGTTTAATGTATATGTTTGTGGTTTATTTAGTAGTTATTTCCTTGCACTGAGTACTCTGGTACTGACGGAGTGCATATATGTACATTGGCAGTTACCTCCAGATATTCACATCCAAAGGGTTATCCCTTCATGAGGTATCTTTGGCGATAAAAAAATATTTGAAAGACGAATCAACAGATCAGAATGACAAATCAACAGATCAAAGTGATGATGTCTGCTCAATATGTGAAGGCATGGGGGAACTTCTGTGCTGCGATATTTGCCCAAGGGCTTTTCACCTTGGTAAGAAATCTTTAACCGCAGTATTGTTGGCGATCTTTTTCAGTTGTTTGATTTTGCACTGTTTGCCTCTGGTGGTTTATTGAACTCATTTTGTGTTGGAGGTCTTTTCCCGTTGTTTCATTTTGCATTGTTTGCCTTTCTGGTGGTTTATTGAACTCCTTTTAAGTCTCTTTATATTTTTCAGTTTTGTTGTATACCTTTCTCATCGTTGGTTGAACTCCCTGTTGAGTTCCTGCACTTTCTTAGCAATTTCAGTGCATTTGCACATTAGGTTCTCCTGCATTTCTTTTTCCTTCTTCCCTAAGCTTCCATCCATCAGCTTGCGAATGGCATGGGAGGTTGTTGTTGGATACTGACCATCTACTATGTGGAAAAGTTAAAGGTTATGCTTTAGTTTAACTGGGAACTGTGCTATGCTGTTCTATTACAGCTTTCCTTTCTTTTCTTTTCCTTTTCTTGTATCTACTAAATTCTTGTTTTTTCGCTTTAACCTCTCTTTCCTGGAATTTTGGTTAGCTAATATAGTAGCTTCTTAGAGATGATCTTTTCCCATTGGGGGAAATTTTACTCCTTTTGTAATGATTCTTTTTCAGAATGTCTTAATCTTGCAAGCGTCCCTGAGGGTGATTGGTCTTGCCGAAATTGTTCGATTTCATCCCAGATGAATATGGATGCAAATGAAAATGCACTTGCTGCTGGAAGATGTCCTGGAATTGATCCAGTGGAAGAAGTTAGAAAGCGGTGTGTTCGCATTGTTGGGGCTAAAGAACCTGATGTTGGGGGATGTGTGCTTTGCAGGTTGGGTTGAAATTTTAATTTCACTGTGATTTACTTTTTTTTTCCAGTCTCTGTAATTCTGTTTGTCACCACAGATGACATTGTCCTCTGAAGGGGTTATTGCCCTAAAGCTGGTTCCTGTCAATTTGAGTGCCTAATCTTGAATTAGATTATTTGTTAGATGAATTGGAGTCCCAATAGTAAATTAAAGGAATACTGCTGGCATTTTCTTTTCTTCCTGCGGTGAATAACATTTTTTGTTCGTTGATACATGCAGGGGTCATGATTTCAGCAAGGGTGAAGGTTTCAACCCTCTTACGGTAATTATTTGTGATCAGGTCAGCAACAATCTTGTGTTTGCTTCCATCATTTTTTGATTTTGCTGAGCCTCTGACTGATGACCACATCATGTCTTGCAGTGTGAAAGGGAGCATCATGTTGGTTGTTTGAAAGAGCATGGGATTGATGACTTAAAGGTATCAAATAGAGTACTCATCTCGATCTATTTAGTAATCACTCCACTAATTTCTTTGATCTCCCTCGTTAGTTTGATTTTGAAGTTTTTTCTGAAAATATGGACAATGAAGATGTCGGCTATTACATTTGTTGTATAATCTTTTCTTCTATGTGAAAAGTGGTTCTGAACTGGTAAATATTGCTTTTTTCCCGTGCATATCACAGGAATTGCCAAAGGAGAAGTGGTTCTGTTGCAGAGAATGCAGGAGCATCCATGCTTCACTTCAGCAGCTTGTAAATGATGGAGAAAAGCAGCTTCCGGACCACCTGCTAAGTATCATAAGAAAGAAACATGAAGCTGATGCTGGCTCTGACCTTAGTTCTGAACCAAATGTCTCATGGAGACTTTTTCAAGGGAAAATGGCTTCTGATGAGGACAAAAAATGGTTGTCCGATTCTCTCTCTGTCATTCAGGTGAATTGTTTTCTGGTCTTTAGCTTTCTTGATCATTTTCTGCTCTTCAATTGCAACTTTAAATTTGGGAAGCTACTAATTAATTTAAGATTCTTATAGATAGGGCCGTGTTGACTTTTCTGTTTGCCACCATTATAATTTGACCATGAATGTCTTGTGCAACGGGCAAGTGGTGTGTGTAAGATAGGCACACGTGTGTTGCATATGTTTTCAAGTGTCTGTTCTGTAAAAAAACCTGGACAAATCTAAGTTAAATTGATTATTTGGGATTTTTCTTCTTCTACAGTTAATTAGTGCTCTATATGTTAAATGGCAGTGCTACAGACTTAGAGTTTTCATCCACTGCAATCGTGATACATTCTGAATATTTTATTTGGATGGTCCTACACTTACAAGATTATGAGTACCTTAGACTCGTGAATGGTTTTGTTGCATTTTCTGCAGGACCGTTTTGATCCCATTGGTGATCCGAAGAAAGAGGGGGATGATCTTATTCGTTCCTTGATTTTTGGGTAAGATTAATGTGTGGATTAGTAGGACCTCTGGTTTTCTTGCCTTGATGTTGTGTCAGGATCCAGTTTTAAGATACCATTGTGCCACTTATCATCCATATTGTTTCTTTTGCAGGGAAAGCTTTAGAAATCAAGATCTGGGAGGAATGTTCGCTGCAATGTTGATTGTAAAGTGTGTATATTAGGCTTTTGTACTTTTTATGCTTGCATATCTTTTGATTGTTTTGCTAATGCATTTCTAAATGTGCAGCTCTAGGGTAGTTTCGGCTGGAGTTTTTCGTATATTCAGCCAGGAAGTGGCTGAAATGCCTCTAGTTGCAACGTTTAACTCATGTCAAGGAAAGGTGAGCCAGTGAATTGTTAACCATGTTAAATAACGTATTGTGCACATGGGGAAATCTTTTTCCTGATAGACTTGCATCAATCTTGAAGTGGAATTGTAGTGTTTGAACCCTTTTCTTTTCTGCAGGGATATTTTCGGGCATTATTTAGTTGTATCGAAAACATCCTGAAATCGTTAAATGTTAGAGACCTGGTGCTTCCAGCTGCCCATGGAGCGGAATCCTTATGGTTGGACAAGTTAGGTTTTGTGAACATAAGTGCTGAACAAGTCAGTCTCCCTTTTCCTCTTGCTTCCCTTTTGCCTACGTGTTAAATTAGATTGACAAACTCACTCTAGTTTGTCATTTGTCTTTCAGCTGAAGAGATATAAACGGGATTATCAAATGATGATGTTCGAAGGGACAGCTGTTTTCCACAAGACATACTCGGAGCAGTCATCAACCTAAAATGTCTGCTGTGCCGTGGGAGTAGGATAGGGCATCTTTATTTAGTTCTTTTGCTCAACAAATGGAGTTGGATGTTGATTATGGTAGATGTACAGGGATGGAGTAGACGTTTTTGGGGCTGCTCCTTTACAGATTGTGTAGATAAAAGATTTACGGTTAGCAAAGATATTCCGGACAGATGACAAGAGTAGTAAACTAAACTTGTTGACGAAATCTTTATAGCGCTATATTGACTACATAGGTCAGGACTCTGTATAGGAGGTGCTATAGTCGCCCTAGCTAAAGACAATCGGTGATTCTTTTTGGCAACTGTACACAGTTAGGTTATACTAGTGGTTTAACCATAGTTTTTGAAGTCTGGAAACGTGGATTGGATTCTGCACATTCTTTTTCTCTCCTTTTTCAGTTTATTGAAATAAACAAATATCGCAATTTGTCCCTTCACAAATTAGATGGCATGAATGATGTGTTCGTTTGTAATGGTAGTAGGGAATGAAATCGTGATTATACTACTCTTTCCGTTCCATATTTATAGTCCTGTTTGGGTTTTCATTTATAGTTCAAATTGTATTAAAAGTGAAATTTTAAACTAGACAATTATTTTGGGACAGAGGGAGTACTGGTTTTTTTTTTTTTTTTTTTTGGCTAAAATAGTGGTTATATATGATTTATGGGATTCAAAACTGTACTTATTAGCGGAGTACCATTAATCAATTGAAGAAAATAAAACTGTTTGGTAGTAATAGGAAATTACGGTGTGATTTTAGAAACAAAACACACATACATACATACATACACACATGAGCGGGAATCCACTTAAAATTTGAAATTCAAATCATAAATATATTTTCATTATTTTATTTTCAGTAGGAAATTGATATTCCTAATCATAATATTCCCGTTTCGGTCCTTCTTCTCTCTATAACTGAGAATAAAAAAAGAATCCCACGCTCTTCAAACGTCACTTTTCCTGTTTTCTCTTCTCCTCCACTGCTCTGTTCATATCCGCTCAAATCCATTATCATCTCTTTGATATTTCACTGCGAAAGGTACAAATCATTTCCCAACCAAATTGATCGTTTTTCGGTTTACCCTGCTTGATTTGGTGATTTGATTATTGGTTCACAGTTTCATTTGGACCCCCGAGCCGCGCCGCCGTTGATTTGTAATCGGAAATTGAAGGATGGGACAGATCCAATACTCCGAGAAGTACTTCGATGATACTTTCGAGTACAGGTAAATTCATTTCAGTGCAAGGTTTTCTTCATTTCTCCGTTTTTTCTTTTTTTTTTTTTCCAATTTCTTCGATGATACATTCGATATGTTCGAATTGTTGATTAATTCTTTCCATCGTAATTTATTATTGATTGTGTGTTGCAGGCATGTAGTTCTTCCTCCCGAAGTGGCAAAGTTGCTTCCAAAAAATCGGCTACTCTCCGAAGTAAGTTCTTCTCCGGTTGAATTAGGGTTTTTTGTTTTTCTTTTGACTGTTCTGATAGACTGGGAATGAACCATTCAATTTGGTAGTCGATTCTTTTGTGGGTAGTCTATTTGAGTGGAAATTCGATGAACTTGGTTGATATATAACTTAATTATTCAGTGAGGGGTTGTGGAATGAAATTTTACTACTTTTGGCAATATAGTTTTTATTTGATTCGAAGTTATTAAGTGATGAGGGGGGGACCCTTTAGACCAACTTGGTTTCTGGAAATCTGAAAAGGTTTTGGTTCCTTGAGACTTGGCATTGCTCTGCCTTGTTTGCATTATTGCTTGAGTCTCTATCTGTAACTGAAAAAGCTATTGAGGAAGCAGGTTCACTTAATTTGCCCTAATTGTTTTGATCCTTTGGATTCCGTTTGGAGATTGTGTACCAGTGCCTCCAATCAGAATGTTAAGTTGCTTGGTTGTTTATTCTTTCAGTTCTTATAGATGCTCCCTGCGTGGTGAATCTGTTTGTTGAGAGCTGATACGTGCAAATATTGTAGATGATTGTTTCTTGAAATGCGTAGAATTGCACCTGATGGTATTCTTTGAAAAACTGCTTTTGTTGGCTTACTAGAATGAATGGAGAGCAATTGGGGTTCAGCAGAGTCGTGGTTGGGTACACTATGCAATCCACCGACCAGAGCCACACATCATGCTTTTCAGGAGGCCACTTAACTATCAGCAGCAGCAGGAGAGCCAGGCTCAGCAGATTGCGATTGCTAAGTGAACAATTTGATTTGATCATTTACTCAAAACTGTTTTTATAAGCATTAGGTCATGTTTCCTCTGGAAATGTACCTTTATTAAGTACTGAATCCTTTGTTATGTTAGAAAATGCTTATATGTGTTGGAGGTGTAAACGGTTCAATACTGCCAGTCCGCCTTGTGCCTTTCAAGGTGGGGTGTGGTTGGAATATCAATATTTGTTTACCTAGTTTTCTTGGTTGTTTGCTAGTTTTCCCTGTTGTTTACTTCCAGTTGCATCTGTAGCAAATTGGTTTTATAAGGTCATGACCAAATCTAGCATTACATCTTGATTTTATCATGTTTATATGTTTCTATTTAGTTGAGGGTTTGTGCTTCCTCATCCAATGGCATGGCTTATTTTATGCATGCAAGAGTAATGCTCTTTTTGTTTTGTTTAGGACTCATGATTCAAGCGATGTTATTTATCTAGATTTCATTTTGAATTTTCGTGGCCGAAAACGTTGTTGTAGTTCATGAGCAAGAATCGTTCATAACTTCATAGGCCAGATAACTGATGACATGATGGGGTTGATCAGGTTGCAGCCTATGAAGTAGGAAAATAAGTTGCCTCTGATTTTTTTATTTTTTTTTTGGTTTTCGCTTGCTGCAAAGGCTGTCATTAGTTTAGAGAGTACTGATAATCATGGCGGCATGAAGCTGTTCTCTACAAGCTGTGACTCTAGCTAGGTTATGGTGTAGTTTCATAGGGTATCATCTTTTTTATCCTCTGTGTCCCGTTATAATAAATTACTTTTATCAAACTAAAACGTGATAATAATAAAATAGACTAGAATAAGATGGAGGAAGGATTTGTTTAGCTGCGGAGAAATATCCTAATTAGTCTTGACAATTGACAATGACGTGCCCTCGATGTAGACAGGGGTTATATATTTTTCTTTTTATGTTTCCTTAGGTTTTATCAGTTTATGGTATTAGCGCAAGATGTACTAGGGAATTATCCGGCAATATATGAGTATAGCTAAAAAAAAAACCAAAAAAAAAAGAGAAAGAAAATGAACACAGACTCGCTAATGATAGTTTCCGCTGAATTTGCGACGACGGAATAGAAAGAAATTGAGCATGATTTATCTCCATAACTTTAAAACTAGATGCTTGGCCCGGCAGATGTCCGGGCGTCCCTCTACTTTAATTTTGTGTTAATAGATAAATGAATTTTTGATTTGGAAAAAATAAAATAGTTACACATTTGATTTTTTTTTTTTCCGTTTTTTAGCCAAAACCAAAAATAAAAATAAAAAAATCATTTGGCTAAGGAGAAAAAATATTAAAAAGTGCAACAATGCAGAAATCATACAAAAGAATGTGGAGTAATAAACGGGATAAGTTTATGGGCAAATTTAAATGCTATTTTAATTTGATTGATAAATGATAAATGTTAGGAGTTAAAATTGTGTAGCTATTTTTATAAAGTACTTTTTGTTTCTCCGGATAAGAATTTTTTTTCTTTTAAAAAGGGATGACATGTGTCAGAATGGTTACTGCAATATGGTGTATTTGGAGCCAAAAATTTTTAATAAGAAGTTGCAACATCAACATACTGTATTTTGCTTCAATAGGGTAAAAAAGATTAAAAAAATGTGCCAAATCTATTAAAAAACATAATTTACATTGTAATTAGTGATGTATATAAAAAACAATAGAAATTATAAATTGTAATGTGAAATTTTTATGGTCGAATGGGGTATATCTGTAACACCACATCTTGTGTGAATATAAAAAAAAAAATGTAATACTAATAGTTTGGTTGAATAAAAAAAAGATAAAACAAACACAAAATGCAAATGCTTCATCAGTCGGGTCAAGCGGCAAAGAATTTGGTACCAGTCAATTTTCACCTGTAAATTTGTAGTCTCTCCAACTCAACGACGTCGGAGCGCCGGGCTCACTGACCTAAAGTGTTTCCACATCGCTCCGGTTGCAGTCGCCGGCAAATCAAAATCGACCGCACCAAACTCGTATCCGATCATAAATCATTCTGTACTTCAGGTAATTTGATTTCTGTCCAACCCCAACCATCAATCTTTTCGGCTTTTAGGGTTCAACAATTGTGCTCTTCTGTCAGTGTGTGACTGTGGGCTATATGCCTGTGCATATTTGAAATGTTTTAATATTACCTTTTCTTGCTTCTTTCACATTTTCTTGTAAGATTAGGTGAATTTGTTATCCATTGAGGAAGAACCTTTAGTTCAGCGTATTGCTGTCTTTAGTATCTCCACCTTTTTTGAAGATTGCTTGAATCTTTTTTTCTTTTGGGAATTTAAGCGAATTAGTTGTGATCGTAGTGTCTTTGTGAAATTATTGTGGTGAATCGGTTGCCAGAATGCGACCTTTAACCTTGTGGCCTGTTGTCTTCATACTGAATTGCTGGCTATTTGTTTTAAATGGTAATGGCTGTGTAATTAAAAAGTCATTGTCTCATTGGACATAAGGGCCATACGTTTGTTTGAAGAACCTGCTCTTGCAGTTGCTTTTATCTGGCTCATTTTTAAGTTTTAAGTTGTTTTTGCCATAGTGATCTGTCCACTACTACTGCAGGTTCCTTTGCGTGATAGTAGCTTCAGAAGACTTTTCTTCTGCCAGGGCACTGGACCGGAATCACTCTGTAAATGTGTAGAAGTTTATTGTGGTTTAGTTGTAAGGCACTTCTAGTTCTAGGCCCCTTCTCGGATATTGGATCCCTGCTCGTTGGGTGGGTCTTGCTGTTATAGCTCCCTTAATGCTTCTTCCATACATTTGACTTGAAGTTGCTGCAAAGCTTTCTTCATGCAAAAAATAACACCAATACGCATTGCATTTTTAAAATTATCACTTGACTGGACAAACTTTAACACTTGTTGTCAGACTTTAGGTTTACGCACTTGTTCTTTATTGTGTCCTTATGTGTCGCTGCAACATTTCATTGTTCATCGCTCATTTACTTTGACTTTTCCTGCTGTTGCAGTCTTGATGTCCCGGAAACGAAATGCTATTGTTGCTTCAGGACTATTGATCTTTGCTGGTGCTGGATTAGCATTTCCATTTTACATGGCGTAAGTAATGCTGAATACCTTCAGTACAAATACTTATTTTAAAGTGATTGGCTTACCCTGAATTGAATTCAGTGCAAGATTTTACTAGTTCCGTTTGGTGACCTGACTTGTTAAAAAAAAAAATGCAGATCTAGGTCGTCGAAGACAAAACCTGTTATTGATTCTTCAAAGGCTTTACCACCTCAGGCAACATTTCGGGGACCTTATATCAATACAGGCTCGCGAGATATTGGACCAGATGATAGAACTTACCCAAAGAAATGAAACTGTTTTGATGGATTTAACGGTTCTGGCTGATAGTACGCAGAGTTCAATGGAGAAGGCTCCTTGTTTCCTTGCTAATATGAAGAATGTCTCTTACACATGGGCAAGAATTATGAAAATAATGAGAGGCCATTTTTCTGTCTCTATGTAATTGTTTCAATTATGTTAGATGCAATGTGAAAGTAACTCTTTTTATGTTCAATGATAATTCTTGTAAAACGTTTGTGCTGTTCAAAGTTTGTTATACAACATCAGTTTGGCCAAAGCTCAAGCTGTTTCCTTTGGAGTGGTTGGAATGAGACTTCTGGCCCTCCTGTAGGAGATTTTGATTTTCCACTGAGCAGCAAACTCAATGAGTTTTGTTTTTAGCAGATCAAAATGTTGACACTTATTTCAGTCTGAAAGCGGTCTTCCTTCTCCATTTATCATCCATTTCTCCAACTCAAAATTCTCATCTCAGCCGTTGGATAAACCTCCAAGGTTCGTGGAACAAATCTGGCCCTTCAACTTTTTCTTCACCAAATCTGCTAGAAAAATCATGTGCGTATTATTCTATTTGTGGTTCTAATCACCAGAACACGTGTGAAAACATGAGCAGAATTACCCAATTTAGCAGGTCTTTTACAGAATTCTGGCTGTAATCATCCATTGTAATGTCACGCTGTTAAGAAGGTTTACTGGGAAACTATAAAATTTCTAGAAACCTGATTGAAAGAAAAGGCTTGCACGCAAAGCCTTCTTCCCCAGTCCCCACCTTTTACCATCAGCCCTTTTTCCTGGTATGATCTTCCCAACTGAAACCAAAATTGTTAACACAATTGTTCCTGAAACTAAAAATTAGTGAAGAAGAGCTGAAGAAAAATGGGCTCTTTACTGCTTCCTCAAACTCCATTTGCATCATTTCGTTCCACCACTAACACTACTAAGAGTAGCAGCTACTCTCATCCTACATCTTTACCCTTTAATCCAATTAAGCCTCTGAGCAGAAGAAAGTTTCTCGCACCGCTGAGTGTTGCTGCTCCTCCGAATCCTGCAACCAGTTCTTTTCAAGGAGCTGAAGAAGATGAAGAAATTACGATTGGAACCCAGGATGCAGAAGAGGGTTCATCATCAAAATTCATATGGAGAGACCACTGGTATCCTGTCTCGCTCATTGAGGACCTGGACCCAAGTTTGCCAACTCCATTTCAGCTCCTCAATCGGGACCTTGTCCTTTGGTTTGATCAATCTAGCTCCCAATGGGTTGCTTTTGATGATAAATGCCCCCACCGTCTTGCCCCTTTATCTGTAAGTTCTTGTCCCTCCAATTTTTAGGAAGTTCCTTTTTTTTATGATGCTATCACTCATTTCCTGACTAATATAATCTGGGCTGAGGTTTTTATTCTCAATTTGGCGAAGTTTCAAATTTTTTGAGGTTTTGATTGTTGGTTCTATGTAAATGGACATAGGAAGGGAGGTTAGATGAGAATGGGCACTTGCAGTGTTCCTATCATGGATGGTCATTTGATGGTTGTGGATCATGTACAAGGATTCCTCAGGCTGCATCGGAGGGACCTGAGGCGAAGGCCAAGAAGTCTCCAAGAGCTTGTGCTACTAGGTTTCCAACTATGGTGTCTCAAGGGCTTCTCTTCGTTTGGCCTGATGAGAATGGGTGGGAAAGAGCTCGTGCCACCAGCCCACCCATGTAAGCCAATGTTTTTTAATTTATTCTCGTTACGTGGTGCCGCAATTATTTTAAGGATGACCTATGTTTTGAATAAATTATAATAGCTGCTGATTTCAAGTGGGGATGTTTAATATTTTTTCATTTCTCTAAGGTGTTACTTCTTTTATTAGGTTACCTGATGATTTTGATAAGCCAGAGTTCGCAACAGTAAATATTCAGCGGGATCTGTTCTATGGGTATGATACTCTCATGGAGAATGTCTCTGATCCTTCTCACATTGATTTTGCACATCACAAGGTATACGATTTGAAAGTTGAATGCTTGTAATTGACCGCAGCTTTTGCAAGCATTCATGTGTTAGCTGTATAATGCTGATGCAGGGATGTGGATAGTCATCTATTTAATACTCATGAAACATCAACCTTCAATGTGATAGCCTGAAATGCCTAATTTTATAAGATCTTGCTCTTTGCTTTCTTTATAGCCTTGTCTTTGGTTCAGGGCAGCTTTTGCTGCTGCATTTTCAAATATTCGACTCACCATTCTTAGATATTACATAGACTTATAGTAGTTGTGAACATAGAGTTTACCATATTATCTTGAGCGTGTCAATTCATTCATGTTGTCTAGTATGGGGTATTTTACATCTCGAAGCGTACGGAATTGCAATGTAGTGTTGTATAACTTCAGCTTATTAATTAATAAAAGGCTTTCTTTTGGTGAAACTTCACATTAGATTAGTCAAATGACTATATCATGAGAATGTCTGTTAGCTCTATACTAATGTTAACATTTTCAGGTCACTGGGAGGAGGGACAGAGCCAAACCATTGCCATTCAAGATGGAATCTTCTGGAACTTGGGGCTTTGCTGGTGCAAATGATGATAACCCTAAAATTAGCGCAAAATTTGTTGCACCTTGTTATTATATGAATAAGTGAGCTCTTGACTTTAATCTTATAGAAAGATCTATGCTTGCTTGGAGTTGTATGTTTGCTGAACAATCTGGTTTATGGATAACACATCTGGACGGCATCATCTGATATTTTAATCTGTTCGCAATCCTTTACTTTGAATTTTGAGATCATTTAGAAATAAAGTAACAGGATGGTATAAATGCCACCCTTGATGAGTGTCCTTTGCCAGATTCTTCACCATTCTTGTGTTTTTACCAATGTTTCTTTTGATGTTTAGTACAAATTTTAGTTTGGCCTCTTTCTGTCCTTTCTTCCGTTTCCTGCCAACATTCATCCTTATAAATTGAATTTTAGTAGTTTCAAATTTACTTTTCTTCTTGGTTGCTAGCAATTTCCACTGGGTATTGAAACTTTACCTCATTTGCAAATTCTGATTGTTTATGTAATTATGTTTCTTACTTCTGGTCCTTGAATTTATGATTTGTAATACCATGAGATACAAGCTGTATAGGAAGCAGCCATTCTAACTGTTTCCTTCTTCTTGCAGAATTGAAATTGACACAAAGCTTCCTATTGTGGGTGATCAAAAATGGGTAATCTGGATTTGTTCCTTCAATGTACCAATGGCGCCCGGGAAGACCCGTTCAATAGTTTGTAGTGCGAGGAATTTTTTCCAGTTTTCAGTGCCAGGACCTGCCTGGTGGCAGGTAATTGTAGATCCTGTTTTCTTTCTAAAGGAGTAGAAGTGTTTGCATTTTGATCTTTTCGCTCATTGCTTCTGGCATTGTTTACCATGTGATTTCTGTTTCAAAAGTTTTAAATCAAATTCTACTGAGAGAAGGAATGAGCATGTTATTGTGGAATAAAATTCTATTGAGAGATCAGAATAATCTAATTCAGCATTCATCTGTACCACGAAATGAGTTAACAGTAAAAGGAAAAACCTCAAGTGCATTAGATTTATCCTTTAATGGAAAAGGTGAAAGGTACCTAAATCACATTTTTTCGTCTCCCTTTACTTCTCGTCTCTCATCTTTGAAATCAACAGAGGCCATTAGTGTATCTCTCTTAACACTTGCCAGTGCCACCACCTCCTCCCACTTCTTTCCAAATCACACACAGAGGAAACATGGACTTGGTCCCTGCACTGCCGAAAACATCACCATTGGAGAACAGGTGTTAGAGGATTGTTGCCAAACTAGTATATAGTACTGCCTTGAAAGGAGGAAGGTTGAGATTCAATTAAGAATGCCCTCATCCATTTGTTTGTCGTAGTTGTCTTGCCGTTGGATTTTAGTACAACTATGATTGGATCTTAGGTAGCTTTATTTCCTTTTGTGTTCCCAACTTCCCCTGGCTAGATCGTGGATCCTGAAAAGAATCTGATTTCCTATTCTGCAATGTGGATGATGTGCTACGCATTAGACATGTTGGAGATTTATCTCTCGTATATTCCTTCAGGCAATTTTAGTGATGCTGAACTTGTTGAATACCTCAATCATGAAACAGGTGGTTCCCAGATGGTTAGAACATTGGACATCAAATAAGGTGTACGATGGAGACATGATAGTGCTTCAGGGTCAAGAAAAGATTTTTCTTTCAAAGTCCAAGGAAGGCTCCGCAGATATCAACAAGGACTACACCAAATTAACATTTACACCAACACAGGCTGATCGGTTTGTCTTGGCATTTCGGAATTGGTTGAGACGGCATGGAAACAGCCAGCCTGAGTGGTTTGGCACGATTGATCAGCAACCTTTGCCCTCCACTGTCTTATCAAAACGCGAGGTATTCGGTCTATTTAACTATGGCATGATATCTAAGTTACAGTGCTTCATTAGTCATTTCAAGGTAAACCTGTTTTTGCTGCATGCTACAATTGTTTTCTGAAGCCGTGATATCTGTCGCAGATGTTGGATAGATTTGAGCAGCACACGCTGAAGTGTTCATCTTGTAAAGCAGCTCACAAGAACTTTGAGACACTGCAGAAGTTTTTGATAGGCCTTACTGTTTTCTGCGCTTCCACAGCTGGGATCCCTTCAGATGTGAAACTGCGCGTTCTTCTTGCCGGATGTGCGATTTTAAGTGCAGGGCTGGCGTATTTTGTCCATGAGCTTCAGAAAAATTTCGTCTTTGTTGATTATGTACATGCTGAGATTGAGTAAGTGAGGTATATATGTAGCTTTGACAAATTAAGTCCAATCAAGAAATTATGGATGAAGTTGCTTGTATTCCATAGAACACGATAAAATGTGTATATATAGAGAGAGTTGAAGTTTAGAGTAGTGATAATATTTGTACTCAGATTCTAGACAATTTTTACAGAGAATGACAGGTTTCCCTTGGAAGAAGTGTCTTCTCTTTAATCAAATTCAGAGATTATCAAATACCACGAAATGTGTTAAAGAGGAAATGGAAAACCTCAAGTGCATTAGATTTCTCATTTGCAGCTAATGGAAAACCTTAAGTCAGAGACGGACAAACAACAATCTCACAATTACTGGCTGTACTTAGAGAGTTCGCATTTGCTACATGCATACTCTATTTGCCATTATTTTCAGGCACTGTCATAAAAATTAATGAAAGTACGACTTATGTTTTAACCCCTGTGTTTTAGCAATATCTACAATAAACCTCCAGAAGTTAGATAATACTCCCTCCGGTCCTTTTTATAAGACATTTTGATTCCGTCCAAGGTTTCATCTACAATATCTTTTTAATTGAAATAAAAACTTTAAAAATATTTCATAATAATTAGGAGAACACAATGAATGTGAAAATATATTGTTAAGATTTTTATTTCAATTAAAAAGATATCGTAGGTTAAACTTAAAACGAAATCAAAATGTCTTAAAATAAGGACCAAAGGGAGTATTACCCAACTTATCAAATGACCATCATGAATTTTGTGTAAACGGTCATAATTACCCTTCAATCTATATTTTTCTTTGTATAATTTAAATATTAATATTTTTAAAAATATAACATACATCAAGTTTAGAAAGATAGACATTAACCTTTTCTTATATTAATGCTCTGAAACAATAAAATTTGAAATTAATTACATCATTTCTTTTCAAATAAGATAATTTTTACTAATTAAATTATATTATTGATCATGGATTAAATTTTTATTGATGAACTCATCCGAATATTTTTTTTAAAAAAGGCTTGAAGGTTTACAGCGGTTAAAAAAATGACGAAGAAAGAAAGAAAGATGAACGAAGACGATGATGCACTTGCAAGATCAAATTGTTAAGGAATCAAGTTGTCGATTTTGTACTAAGAATTGATGATGATGATGATGTTGATTTGGATGGATATTAGTATTTTCGGTGAATAAAGGAGGTTATTATCCACTAGATCAAGAACAAGGGAAAGATGTCTCGCTAGGTGAAGATAAAACTAATGTTGAAGCTGAAGTTTATGAAGATACATCAACAACAACAACAACAATAAATTCCTTTTATTACTAAATGGGGTTAGTTATATGGATCCAATGTCACTATCGTACTCGGTCGGTGCATAAATAATCAGACAAATTTAAGTAACTGAAGATACATCAAACCGAAGAAAATTTGCTTCCAAATCATCTAAGAACGTAGATCTCTTTTGTTTATTTCATGGACAAAAGATGGATCGATATTGCTGCTAATATAACTGATATATTGATTTCATGAGGAGAGGCATTTCCACAACCTGTTTAATCTGAAACCAAGAGTCTATAACCTTCTTCAACCTAATTCTTCCTTTGAATGTCAAAGCTGAGAACTGATTTGGCTCGTGATTATGTCGAGAGATTTTCATCAGAGTTCAGGAGTTGAAAACTATGTATACTCTCGGTTAGTAGCTATCTTCTTAATGGTCGGTCATTTCTGCCGAAGTTGAATTCATCTGCTTGTATCAAGCGAGTGAAATTTCCTTATCTCATTGATGCGAGCCAAATTAACCTTTGTCAATTAATCTCATCATTTAGCATTGTTTTACATTATTCATTTCCAAATATGCTACTTTCCGTCCCGAAATTATTGTTTCAATTTGAATTTTTTATTTCAGTACAAATTGAACTAAAAGTAAAAATCTAAACTGGATAATAATTTTTGGGACAAAAGAGTACAAAAAATTATTTTTTCAGTGTATGTTTTTAGGTGTTCTTTATATTGACAATATAAAAATGTGTATAAGAAATGTAAAAAAAAAAATGCTGGAATAAGACATTTATTAATAAAAAAACCAACTAAAAAAACCAAACAAAGAATATTTCGGTATTTCTGCAGCAGCCAAATATCAAAAGTGGCAAAAAATGATGAAAATTTCGGAGGACAAACGCCCATGGTACGTAGTTTTTTTTTTTTAAAAGGTACTTTGTATATTAATTAAGAAGTATTTGATCTATTACATCGCATTTTATGGAATGCTAAATTATGAACTTTTACAACATCTTGTCTACTCACTTTAATCAGTGAGCAAGATTGAAATAAAGAGATATTAGTTACTAACAAAGAAACTACCTCCTGGGCCTCAGAAGGTATTAAAACAGATCGTAAATCTCCAGTCAGAACTTCACAGTCCGTATAAACTTAAAGTCGAGTGATCTCTAAATATAATGTCTCTTTCAATGCCAAGCGACAAGTCATTGCCTCGGCTTGAAAACGGCTTACAAAGGAGAAAGCACACTTAGGTACGTAGTCTTTGATCGATCAAATTCCTCAAAATCTCAACCAAATTGGACGAATCTTGGACCTTTACAAAGCTAAACGGACGGGAAACAACGCATGCAAAGAAGCCTAAAATGCAAATTCTTCCCGGTTACAAGGTCCAAAAAATGCAAAGCAACTTGGCTGGCTGGTCACTTAATTACTACTATAACAAATAGTCGACTTGTTTGTCTAGACTTTTTAGGTGGACAGATTTCCTCAGGAGCTTTTTACAGAGAAAACTGCTGAAAGTCACTCACTTTATTTGTCAGGTGGTTTTATCGGTGCAAATTCATGAAATTGCAATTACTGTCCCAAAAATGAGAATCACATTTATTGAAAAGTTGTATGTAACACTCTTTCCGTCATAAATAAATATATATATATATATATATATATATTACAATTTATAGATAATATTGTATTGCACAATAGCGGAACCAATATATTTTTTTTTTTGGGGGTCGAGGAATTCAAATAAAACTTTTATTTTTGGGACAGTAGGAAAGAGTAAAATATAATGTATGCATCCAGCTTCAGTTACATACTATTCATGGCACTCTTTACATAAGGATAATCATCTCAATAATCCTGCTGTATCGGGTCCTGCAATTTGGATAACCTCAAAAGGTATTTTTAAAGCTACTTGTTGATTAAAAAAAGTTGTAAAATTTGTAGTTTTGTGTGGACATTCAGTGTCGAACAGATCAAATACAACTCTACGAGGAGCTTTTATAATTAATTAGTTATGTTTTGTTACATTTAACAGTAACCAGGAAGCTACCAGGCATATCTCTAATTGTCAGCATGTGAGAGAACTTTGTGTCCCGACACAAATTGTGTATATAAGAACAGTGATCAGTGACATTATTTAATCAATTACGAAATAGTTCTGGATATATAACCTAAATACGCAGTTGACCCAGAGAATGCTGCTTTGGCTTAATTATGACCTCCACGAATTGAACTCCACTCCCAACTGGACAGTGAGATCTATGCAGCCAGGTCGCATCTGCAGCTTCTACCAACTCACTCGCCCAAGGGGGAAAAGGAGAATATAATTAAATTTGGAAATGTTACACCACACTTCTTCTGGAGCCACGACCAAATCTTACTCTGACTTGTTTTTATTGTGTACCGGTCGTATCATATCAGTAAATTAATATAACTTCACACGACTAGATTGTATGTTTGGTTTTAATTAGTTACAAAATATTGATAATCATTGAAAAAAGATTCATACCTTCATCTTTAAACGGGAGTTAATTTTCATATTCAATCAGAACAGTAATATCTGCACATTCATTTCATCAATTAGTAATGATGAGCGAAAATAGTATTCCATTAGTAATGATGAGGGAATACTAGCTTCGGGTACGTATGAAGGAGTGTAATATAAGATACAAAGTATTCATTTGATCTCTACAATAACCAACAAGTACAATTAAGCTAGCCTACAATAACCAACAAGTACAATTGGATCAACCATGCAATTATACACAGAAGTTCAAAGAAGGAAAAATGCTTACATTGTTTTATGGTACAAATTAAGTCAAGATTTACCTAAATCATGCAAGATCCAATTGCATTTGCGATCCTGGATTTTGATCAGTTGCTTTCCCCATCTTTGCCAAAGAACTAACCGCAGGAGTATGGCCAATGAACAAAGCAACATGTCCCAAAAGCTTATCTTTCCTTGAAAATGTAGTGCCACAAGAACACTGCCATTTGAGATCTCCACAATGCTTTTCATGAGTCCTTAAATCCGAAAGAACTGAGAACTGCTTCCGATTACAACGTTTGCACACGTACATCTTCGGACAATGGCTTCTCTTGTAATGATTCTTGACACAAATCATGGATTTCAAAGGTTGAAACTTGGCATGCTTCTTGTTCCACCTACAACCTTCGTGTGGGCATGAATATTTCCTGGGCAGCTTAAGCAAACCCTCTATTTCTTTCCCATTTCCACCCAAATTACTATTCTTTAAAGGGTTGCTCAAAGCAGCACTAGACTTGTATTCATCCCCATGAGCCCTCATATGCATTCTCAAATTGGCATCCCTTTTGAACCCTTTCCCACACACTTGACAATAATGTGTGTACTTTGCTAACAAATCAGCAGCATCCAACTCCACAATATCATAATTCTTTGGTGAGAATTTCCCCAATTCTTCAACAATATTCTGATCCTTTGGACGAGCCAATAATGAAGAATCCCCTTTCCCAACAGCATCATTATTCTGGCTAGTAACCGTGACACTAATACTAGTAGTCCTAGTAGTAGTAGTGTTGTGATCATTTACGCTACAATTATTATAACTATTTTCACCACCATACCAATCCGTAAGCCCGCCATCACTTTTGGAATAAAACCCTTGTCCTCTTTCTTCCTCGAATTGCAAAACCGGCCGAGTCCCACCATCACCACGACCACTACCAGTTTGTAGGTGCCCTACTACTGGATGTTGTTCGTGGTGGTTCTGGGTCGGGGTCGGGTGCAATTGAGTATTATTACTGGCAATATTGTTACTGTTATTAATGATATTATAATTCGTATTGATTCCTGATGAAGATGTCCCTCCAACACTATTATTACCAAGAGAAATCTGCTGGCAAGTAAACATCAAAGAAGAAGCAGTAACAATAATTTCTTGAATTAACGTACCCATGCTAGCTATGGCCATGGCCGTTGACTGAGGATACTGCTGTTGATGACTATGATGATGATCCGAGGAAACAAACATGGATGCCAAGGACTGAACATGATGAACTTTGTCTTTCAGAACCGAGAGATTGTACAAGAAACTACCCGGATTCACGGAATTCGTGTCGGCTGAATTAGCAACACTAGCTTGATGTTGATGATGATTAATTGTGGATGATGAAACAACATCTTGATGATCAGACAAGTGACCATAAACTCCAGTAGAAAAACATGAATTAGTAGAACCCGGGATCATCTTTTTTAGAGATCCAAACTGACAAACTATAAAATTGTCTTCCCCTCTCTCTCTCTCTGTTGTTAAAGGATGGATGGATGGATGGATGGACAATCTATGGACTATTACCTTCTTCCTTGGAAGTCAATTAAGACAGTTGATTTTTTTTGGAGATTAGTTATTATATATAGAAATGTAATGCAAGTAATTGAGGGGGTCCAATAGCCAATTAATGTGATGTATATAGGGTTAAGGAAGTCAACCATTTAGAACACACATAAACTCATCACCACAAAAAACCTCCCTGATATGGCACCTCTTTTGACAGAGTCTCTATCTATATTTTTTATTGAACAAATTGCGGTGATCATAACTAAACACTAAAACAATGTTGACCATTTTACATGGTTTCAACTATCTATTATGATGATGATGAGGATCAAGTTGTTATTAAACTGATGTTTTTCTTACGTCAATGATCACGCATTATGCTTTTTGAGTTGGAGGTTCTGAATCCAAATTCAATTCTTTTCTTCTTCCGAGTCGTGTTAATCCTTCTGCTTCTATTTATAAGAAACAAATTTGAATTAATTTTAAATTTTTGGCTTATAAATAAGATTGGAGAAGCGTATGTCACATCAAATTAGGGTCAAATTGTTGAGGGGAGAAGGGAGGAAGGGGTTATGAAATTCTGTGTTGAAAGTGTAGCCAAGAGACAAAAGGGAGATCACACGTGCATTGAAGGAATTTTTGAATGTGCATTATGGAGTCTTTTAGTGGTTTGGTGAAGAAATAGGAACTGTATGGAAGCATACATCAACCCTACAATTATTCATAGGACTAGACAGTTGCATGCATGCATGCACGCAATTTTACAGATAATAGAGACAGCCACTTGCCTAATTAGTTCTGAATCTACCTAATTTACCTTTGTCTCTCCTTAAGAGGAATTTATTGTTAGTTAACCTGATGTTATTCTCTTTTCTACAAAAATTTGAATGTACATGATAATTATTTAGGACATATGAAGTATGTTATCAGTTCATTCCAGATATATATCCACCCAAATTCTCATGGAGGTATACTTTCCTGCTAGTTTTGTGGTTCAATTAAATCACATTGATTGGATAGTGTCAAACTTCAGTTATATATTGTAGTAACTTGAAAAGGGTTATTTTCTTCACGCGTGGAGCGATAGATAGGTCAAGAGTACGAATCCGTACATTCATTCTTCTGCATGCATCCGCGATGAATATTGGGTTAAAAACACATTTAACCAAAAGTTGGCGGCAATGAATGAACACGGATGGGGCTTGGTAACTTGGGATATTCACCACCTGTTGCGTAAAATATTGGGTGAAACATGATTTTTTTTTTTTTTGACGTATGTTATACAAATATCTAGGGTATTATATGTGGGTGGGGTTTATGAGGAAGGAGATAATATTATTAGGGGAGACTTCACGCACGCATATCTCGATTTTAGTACTTGAAGGCTTCCTGGCCGGTGCAAATTGAAAACTTGTACAATTCAATACTCAAAGTGTTGTTAGTGAAAGTTGACCCTGATTTCTCAGGATTGATGCCAAGACCCAAACCATTGGGCCACTCCCTTGTTGGCAATGAAACATGATCTAATAAGGATACCCAATTGCTTAGACCTTTTGGTCTCTTTTATGTCAAACAATTTTTTTACTTTTTTTTTTTAAAAAAAAACAGAAAGATATATTAGGGAGAGAAAAGAAACGTGGATAGTAATACAATCGAGCGATGTACTACTCCACGATGAAAACAACAATAATCATTTTCAGTTTTATTTGTTTTCTTTTTAAATAATCATTTTACCAAATGACAAGAACCGGATGAAGTTATTCATAGAGGGTCCATAAACTTCAACCTATGACTTGACATTTTAATACAGATAGTTACTAAGGCCCTCTATTATATATCAGAAGAAGACCATTTATGTGTTATATTAGCAATACAAAAAAGAAGGAAAGGGATAAAATAATAATTAATGAAGTGGTGTTTAAGGATAATCTTTATGATTGCTTCACGATGCTTTTTCTTACTTTTGGTCCCATGTTTATTCTCAATCACTACATGTCCATCTCTTCCATCTACCACTAACGAATTTGATTCCCACAAGAGAAAAGGTATTCCCCCGAATCAGATAGCCAGGTTAGTAACTAAATTTTATTAAAACCGTGTCTTACAAATAAGACTGAAGAAAATAATAAATTAAACTCGTTCTCAAACATCATGGTCACTCGTATTTTGTAACGTTATTTACGTATCAATACTTTAATTATGTGTTATTATAGATTAAAAACAATCAACAAATTGTATTTCTACTAAAGCAAATACGTATTTTCTTTCTTATATTCCACCTTCACATGGAGGGATGTTATGTTTTTTATGGAGTAATGATAGAGACAGTAAAAAATTATAGTGAAATGGAATAATAACTAATGAAAAGATAAATATATCATCCTTACTAAATATATATACTAAATATATGAAAAGACAAATATAATGACTATGTTTTTTTTTTATTTTTTGTTTTTCCCGTTCAAGAATAGTGTTATTACTATTATTTTTATGCGTCCATCCGTTATAACTACCGTAGCTGTTGTCAGGTAATATGTTGTGATTTCTTATATGGTTAGTTAGCCTAGAATTTTTGTATGATTTTAGTTTTGTTTGGATTGAATTGATTAATTGGATTTTTGCTACAAAGTGTGGTTTTTTAAATTTCTTTTTTTATGTTTTATTCAATTAGAGATGTTTTCTTTTTTTTAATTATGGAGTCTCAGGTTTTTTTCGTATATGGTCAGTTATGAAGTGTGTTTTTTCTTTGTTTAATTGATTTTGATTTTGTTTCATACTCCCAGTTGACCAATTATTATTATTACTATTATTTTATTTATTTGCAAATGAAGCGCGTTTTTTTTTTGTGTTCAGGCTTTCAAGAATATACTTTTTTGGATTTAGTTTTGGACTTTTTTTAGTTCTTCATCATATGAATAGTTCAGGTCGCTTCTTCTAACTAATTTATAGGGAAGCCTTTTATGAATTTGAGGTGGAGAGGGAAGGAATGATGTTTCTACGTTTATTTGTATTTTTATACATCATTTTTACCTACAAAAAGAAATAAATTTCTCAATTTTTCATGGGCTATCTTTTACTTTCTTTTTTTTTTTTTTTAATTTGCAATGGTGAGGTGAGTTCTTTTTTGCTATAACTGGAAACCTATGTAAATTTACATTATTTTCATTCTAATCTTTGTGATCAACTAGTTTCAACAATTAACCAGTTTCAAAATTATATTTTTGATATTTTACTACCTATAAACTTTTGGAAGAAATAGTTCCAACAATTAAGCGTATACCCTTTGGAGAAAGTTTACTATAAAGCTATTATAAATCTCCAAAACTAAGTATTGATTTAGCACAACTAATGGAGAACATCAATAAATTATTTTACTAATATTTAAACTTATTAGGATACTTTTATATTTTTTTTAGCATTTACTTCAAGAAATATATTTGATCAAATTTATTTATATTTAAGAAGTAACACTTATAAAATATTTCTAAAATTTGTAAACATTTCTAAAACGTACCGGGTCAAATACAATTTATTTTTATGCCAAATACAAACATTTCTATGATCACACTTATAAAACATTTCTAAATTCTTCAAACATTTCTAAAATATATCGGCCTAAATACAAAATATTTTTTTTTTCCAGATACAAACATTTTTAAGATCTACAGATATGTTGGGTCAGGGTCGCGCCAGACATTACTAGTCAATTAATACGTTAAAATGGTAACTGTTCTCTGTATGGAATGGACAATCAGGGCAAGTTTAGTCAGGCCCATATTTAGCCCGGATATAAGCCCGATATTTTCTGGGCCAGAATTTCAAAAATTCTTTTCATTTCTGTTCTTTCACAGAGAGAAACATAAAACTCAATCAAGATAGATAAGACTACAACAAAGAAGCATCATCATCATTCATCATCATCCACTTCTGGGAGAAGATTTGAAGGAATGCAAAGTGTTGCAGCAATGGCATCATCAACAGCAGCTAGTCTGTCATGGAGTTCATCCTCATGGTTTAACAGCCACTGCTTAACCAGAACCTCCAACTCTGAAGCCACTAAATTCACTGACAAAACCTCCAATTTGATGGTTGTTGCCCAAAAGAAAGCCAAGAAAGTCCGAAAGGTTTTGGTTCTATGCCCTTCTTTATATGTTGTTGTTGTGGGTCTTTGTTTTGCTTCTCAAAGATTGGTGCTTTGTTTCATTTTCGACCAAATTGATTTGGGCTGTTCGCATTGTTTATGCCCCTTTGAAATTGGGTTCAGGTTGTCTTGAAAGAGGATGTGACAGACCTTGGCAAAAAGGGTGAGCTTTTGGATGTTAAAGCTGGGTTTTACAGGAACTATTTACTCCCATTGGGAAAAGCTCAAATCATGACGCCCACACTTCTCAAGTAACTCTCCTGTTTGACATACATTATCATGTTATCAAATGCTGCAATTTGGTTCCCTGTTTCTCATATTGTTATTTTGCATACCGTTTAAATAAGCCTGAAAAAGTGTCCATATAATTTGGAACGTCTAATGGGACTGAAATTGTTCACTGGAACGATCAGTTAAAACGGATAACTTAGAATGTGTCTGTTTGTAAGTTGGATATTCTTCCACTCATATTCCCAGCCATCAGCAAATGACTGATTCCATAGATGTGGGAATCCCCTAGTGGCATAAAATCTTTAATATGGTATTGGGGCTGTGTTGAAAATAATTTGAACCATAATTTTACTATTCGTGCTGTTCTAGCCATTTGTTTGTGAAGACTGGTGGGAGCTTTTTCTTTCAGTCTTGCAATATGCTTTGAAAGGACATTACCTATCGGGGGATCGTTGTTTACTTACGCAGAATTGGTGTTTGGGAGCTGCACAATTGCTTTAAGAACATGCATTAAACTCTATGGAGCACAAGCAGTAATAATATTTAGTTGAACAGGTCCAGTTTTGTCCTAGGAAGTTCAAAGTCAATCAAGTTTGTTGGGGGTTGGGTTGTTGGGGAGGGGGGGTGGGGGGATGATGTTGTACTAGAAAATACGGACTGTTGTTCGTGTCTGAGAAATTGCTTGTCTCAAGGTTTATAAAACTATGGTAGTCCTAATTCCAGGCTGTAGTTCATATGTTTGAGGATATCTTGAATCATTCCTAGTACTGGTTCTGGCATCTCAGCTAGCCTCGATGTAAAAGTAGTTCTTTATTGTATACTGATCATGGAATGTAAACGAGGTTGTATATATTTCTGAATGGTAATGAAAAGTAGATAGCCATCTCTTTTTCAATTATGCCATTGTTGTATAATGTGAAATCAAGTGTTTAATGTATGTTCTAATTTTGTTACCTTATGCATTCTAATAGTTTGTTGACACGGAGATATATTTTCATTTCTCTTGTGGTATTCTTCTTTTAGGGAAATGAAGATAGAAGAGGAGAGAATAGAGGCTGAGAAAAAGCGGGTAACAAAAAACTTCATAAAACTAATTTACTGATTTTTAGTTCAAGACTCGTATCTACATCATGAATTTCCAAGTTTGTATTCTCGTATCAGAAATTAAAAACCAGTACTGCAATTTCACCATTTCTTGAGAGAATAAAATACAAAAACTATGTTCATATTTTGCTTGTATATGTAGCTTTCTCTGAAATATGGCTAGTTGACCTGAGAATTTGAACATTCTTATGTAAATTGAGAGCTTTTACGATAATGTTGCTGATGGCCATCTTCGCTGTCACTCAAGGAAGTTACATTTCGCCAAGTCACATTTTGCTCAATAAGCCAAGGGGGTTATGCATGCTCCAAACAACAGTAACAGTTCTGCATTTTGCATTCAGGTGAAAGAAGAAGCACAGCAGCTTGCAGTAATGTTTGAAACTGTTGGAGCTTTCAAGGTCAAGCGCAAAGGTGGGAAGGGAAAGCAAATTTTTGGAAGGTGAGCGAAGATAGATAAATAATGAACTTTGACAGCTGTTTTCCTTATATCCGTGATTTCATGACATACTTGTTTCTGCAGTGTAACGGCACAAGACCTCGTTGACATAATCAAGGCACAGTTACAGAGGTAAGGCTAGCTGCTTGATTAAACTTGCAAATGTCATAACATTTAATCATTTCTCTTGTATGGATTTGATATCTACTTGGATTTGGCTGCCAGTATTCTTCCTTATCACTTGCGCACTCTGAATGTTCATTTCTCTAAATGCCTACAGGGAGGTGGACAAAAGAATTATTTCTCTTCCAGAGATCCGGGAAACGGGTGAATATATTGCAGAACTGAAGCTTCATCCTGAAGTTACTGCTCGAATTAGGTTGAATGTCTTTGCAAATTGAGGAGAGGTACTTTTCATTTCAGGCGGCAGTAGATTGTAGACTTTTTATCTTACGGTAGTCATTCCTCAAGGTGTTTGACAGATCAGTAATTAATGTATTTATTTTGAAAGTTAACCTCGGCAACTCACAGGAGAAAAGAAAACAAGGAAACAAGGACTAGTTGTATTATGGTCTGGTTCAACTTGGACTGTGATGGCAGATGGAGTATCTAGTCTTGCAATCAATGAAACAGGCTTTTCAAAAGTGTTTGATATTGTGGATGAAACCTAGGTGAAATGTCAAATTACATGTATAGGGCCCACGAATTGTATTCTAGAAGGACTCGTCAAATCTGTGTGTTTGTTGGCTTTTAATTACCATTCTATTTTATAGCTCCTTCACTTTTCTTACTGTATCTCATTTATTTCTGCTGGATGCATGATCTTAAGTTATATTTACAAATGATATGATTTTTTGTCCAAATTCTGTTGCCTGATGGATTATGATCTGTTGGGATAAAATTTGCAGTCATAAGATAGTGAAAGTGAACTGGTCGGAAATAGTCAAGGGCTAATGTATACTAGAAAGCTTTTATGTATGCATCTTGAAGCAGACAGACTGAGTTAGTACTTCTTATGGCTTAGGCGATGTTTGTAGTGCTGGTCAGTGTGTCGTAGTTCATGCACTTTTTGCTTGCTTGAAATATCCATTACTGGTATTGTTTCCTCAAGATTTTGTAGTATGACACATTATTCTAAGCTGGGATTTTTCTTTTTGCCTAATAGAATGCAGTTTTAGAGAACTGGTGGTGGATAAGGGTAATAAGTTGAAAACTTCTCATCATTTGCTTAGGAGACTCTTTAAAAAATGCACAAGTGTGCAGTCCAATTATTGAAGAATACTCAGTAGATGGGTGAGGTTGATACATCAATGATTATTATGAGTGTTTGGAATTAGGGTTGGTTGGTAGCTTTAGAAGTCACACTCAGATATCAAATACTATTTGGTAAGGTGGTTAGATCATCACATTTGTTAAATCCTGCCCCGAAGAATATCTTTCGGTGTAGTTGTCAAAACTCTCTAAGCCCTAGTTGGAGTATTTCAGTAGTTCATTGGGGGTGTAGGTGGTCTTTCGCTCCATGCAAGTGTTTGTTTTTTACTTTGAAGTCAGATTCTCTTCCTATATCATCCTCTAGGTGAATGACCTGGCTGTAGGCAGGAAAACTTCAGGTAACTACTAAAGTGAATGGCTGGATTAGCTGGTATCAAAATACTGTGCAACAGTAAGTCTTTTGTGATCTCTTTGACAGAGTAGGTTTAAACTGCAATTGGTTGGAGTTTATTTTTAGTTTTTTTTTTTTTAATTTTTCTCTCCTTGTTTCTTTTGTGATCAAGTAAACAAACATTGTTCAATAAAAATTTAAAAAAATTGTAAAAAGGCAATACAGAAATAGGATCTTCTAAAAAAGCAAATTGAAAGGCTGAGAGAGACAAGAAAAGGACATGAAATGTGCGGAAGCATGAAGTTTGCCATAAAAGTTTTGCATGCTGCCCTGTGATTTTCTCACGGGTACACTTTCAATTAGTTCCAACTTTTATTTCTGACCACTAATAAGGATGGTGATAGCCTAATCCGGCCATATGTCTATGTATACTCTTGACTACTCTTTCCATCTCAAAGTAATAGTATTAATAGTAGTATGGTTAATTTTTTTTTGTTCTCCCTCCGTCCCATAATTATTGTTTAGTTTGGGTTTTCATTTCTAATTTAAATTGTACTAAAAATGAAATCTCAAACTGGACAATAATTTTGGGATAGAGAGAATACTAAAGAGAGTATGAGTTGTTTGACATGAATTTAATACACTTTTTTCGGAACACGGATGATTTATGGAAATTATGGAGCTAGACAAGCCATGAGACAGAAAACTCAAGAAATAGGAAGAAGAATCCATCCTTTTTTTATGGAAGCAAAGAAATGGCAGGCAAACGGAATTCTCTTGAGAGTGGACTATGCAACAGTTCTACGTCTATAACAGCAACATTCCATGCTGTTTTGTTCCCACACCAGTACTCGACAATGACTACTAAAAATACACACACACACACACACACACACTTGGTACTTCACATTGGCAAAGAACATAATCATAATGAAGGTGGAAGAAACTATAAAATGAATATTTGTGGCCACACTTATAAAAAGAAACAAATAAAAAAATTAAAACCATCCCCAACCAAAATTAGTTGGAGAGAATTTTATTTTATTTTTTGGTGTATTAGTAGTGTATGAAATGCTTTGTAAAATTCTCAGAACCAACCAGCTGTCGAGTTGAGAAGAACACCAACTTCAAAGCTACATTACATGAGTTGTCCTCACATGATTGTTCGAAATGAACTATAAAAAGTTGTGTGGACACACGACATGCACACTTGTCGTTTTGCCTCACTCTCCATCCATCACTATATTCTTCTAGTTGCTTTGGAGGAGTGAGTGTACATGGAGATGTTTCTAATGCAGGTTAAAACATTAGTTAAATTAGAGGGTGTTGAGATTGAAAAAATTCATTTCAGAAGTTCGAATTTCACCAGTTACATAATTTTAAATTTCAATGATGGAGTTTGGAGTTATATAAGATTGTGATTATGGAAATAGGTTGGTAAAATTCAATTTATTGTAAGCTAGAATTCATTGACTTTTGAAAGTGTTTCTCAACTCCCACTAGAGCCACATATATTTATAACATTATACCAAAACAAAATGGTTTTGTGTGGCAATTTGGTGTCATTTGGAAGCATAATAATGAGACGTTACAATATAGAATTTGGTAGAGTACTTAAAATGGTCCAATGTACATGTGCAAAATCTCATTGGAAAATCATCCAATTAATCTCTTTCCTAAGTGTCTCTCTTCACATCTTCTAACTTTATCAATTAAGTAGTATTCACCGAACTAATTAAACGTGTACACAACAAGCACCATTTGTGAACTAAGTTAATTAGGGTAATCAGTTCAGCCGAACTTCCCCTAACCCATCCAAATTAAACACCAGTTTGAACACTAAATTTGATTAGCTTCCCTTTCACTCTCCCCCACTCTTGATCTGTCGTGAATCTTGTGACTAACATTGTAGAATATGGTCCTTCCGTCCCATAAAAGCAACTCTTGCCAATTACGAATAAATTAGCGAATAATTTGTTATTAAAAGTAAGTAATTAGTAGTGAAATACTCTAATGTGGGGGAAGAGTTAGTCCAAGTATTAGAAAGAAAAAATGAATCAAGTATCCGTCACAAATTGCGTTAAAGACTTTATCTTTAGACATTCACTTATAGTTCTGATTATAAAATAAAATATTAAAAGACCTCATCGCTCCAAAGGAATACAATACATATATGATTAAAATTTGATTTTAATGGAGTCATATACATATGAGATGGAGATTAATTTTAGTATAGCGAGAAGGAATGTGTACTTGGTCTAAATAAAATTTCCTAGTACGCGATAATATATATCATTGGACAAAATAGAAAAAGTACAAGTGGTGGGTATCAACTTAAATATATGTGCCCAAAAGTCCCCAAGGTTTTTCCCAACCATATGTGACGTCAGGTAGCAGTAGCTATTTCTGGTATATGTCAAATTTCTCACTAGATAGTACTACCTTTAGGCTTGAGTTAGTTTGAGTTAGTTAAGAAATTAAAAAAAAAAAAAAACTATACGAGAATACGAAAGTTAATTAAGACTTGTCTTAGTTAAAAACTTTCATATTAAAACTGAAACCTCAGATGTGACTTCTACCTAGACACTGAGAGCTTAGCCCACCAAGTAAAGTGAGCCATGCTTTTGCAACTTGGTACTTGAACTACTAACACTTATTATGTATCCATCGTCCAAAAATAAAAGTTCTGTTCTTGAAAAAACTGTATTACGTTATCTTATTTCGAGACGGAAAGAGTATTAACATATTTAAGCTGACTCGCTTTCCTATCCAATGATTCTTTAGTGAGAAACATATAAAGAAACGGTTTTCTGTTTTTCCCTTTTTTCCTCTTCTTTCTTTTTTGTTGCTAAATTTTTTGTGTGGTAAATCAACAGCTTTATTCCAACTGAAGAAACAAAAAGAACCTAATCCAAGACTTTTGGTTGTGGTTCTGGTTAACCCATACTTGGACATGACCCTTAAGTTATACCATATCCCATATCTCTTCCTCATGTAAGTACAAAATTAATTATAATGAAGCCAAAATAAAAAATGAAAAAAAAAAAAAGAAAAAAGAAAAAGATGCCTTCCCTTACTCACATTTCGTGAATGAAAGGCAACCTTGTATACTAACCACTTACTCAAAGTATTCAACATCAAACACACAAGTAGATGATCAACATTGCCAACTATATACTTTAATTCAATGGGAGAAAAAAAAAACCCCCAAAAAAGAATTCAAAAGAATGGGTTTGATTGATATTAAATATACCATTATGGAAGTCAAAGTAATAACAATAAGGCTATACTTATGAACATCTTTGTTTTTTTCCCCCCCTGTTCTTAATTAGTTTCTTTAATAATGACAATCAACCAAAGCTGGCGTTGCTGAGAACACAAGATGATGTTGTTGTTGTTGTTGCTGAAACTTCAAATCTTTATGAATGTGATGATGATGATGATGATCATCTTCAACTGGTGCTGGCAGATTAAGATCCAACTGGAAAACATTTTTATTATCAATCCTCTGTTTTTTCTTAACAACGTGGGATTTCTCGTCAACATCTTCTTGAACAGTTCCAATTACTGGACTTGTTTGATGAACAACCATGGAAACTTTAGTTGTAGAAGAAGCCATGGCCGGAGGAGGATTCCGATGTCGCCTCATATGACCACCCAATGCTTGCCCTGAAGAAAACTCTGCCCCACAAATCGAACACTCATGATTCTTGGCCTTACATTTGCTGGTTGATGAATCTTGGATTGGTTGTGTTACTTCCTCTTTAATTACAACAATTTCTTGATGATGATGATGATGATGATCCTCTTCTTCTTCTTGATGATGCTCATTAATGGCGGCTTTCAGCTTCTCTTCAGTTACAACAACTTTTGGTTTCTTGTGGCTTGCTCTGTGCCCACCTAAAGCTTGAAATGATGGGAAAGTTCGGTTACAGGTTTTGCATTCATAAACAAAGAATCCAACTTTGCTTCCTGTTGTTGAAATTACCATCTCAGTGAATCTTCTGCTACTCAATTTCTCCACCTTAATTTCATCAACACAACTCAAACTGTCTTTCTTCCTGCTTCTTTGATGCCCATCTCCCTGAGCCAAAAGTATTAAGCAGTTGGCTATGTCTTGATCTTGATCATCTTCATCATCATCGTCATCTTGTTGTTGATCATCACTAGTTGAAGAAGTATTAGTAGTTGTAGAAGATGGATTTAATGGGTAAAAGTAGCCCAATACATCTCCATCTTCTCCGGCACGGCCACCACCGCTGGAGGAAGAGGAAGTGCTGCCGGGTACCACGGCCGGCTGGTCACTGACCGGAGACAAAGGCCTTTGGCGGCGCTTGGTACGCTTGCCTCTCAGAATCATGGAAAGATCATTTGACCCGGCAGATAATTCTTCCATACTTTCGATGAAGAAAAGATATGGTCAATTGGGCTTATCTATTTCAAGCTAGAGATTGATGAAATGGACAAAGTGAAGAGGAAAAATGAAGAGTGTAAGTAATAGTAGGCTTTTGATGTGGTTTTATATATGTATAGAAGAAGAAGAAGAAGTAGGGAGTGAGATTTTCAGTGGAGGGTTAAAGGAAAATTGGGTTGGAGTCAAAAAGGGAGCCTTGTGAATATATATGAATGATGTTTGTGTGTGTGTGTGTGTGTGTGTGAGAAGTTGCTTTCTTTGTTTGTGTAACGCTAGTACATCTGTAGCCACTAAACTTAGCTTGCATTTCCAACTTGGAAAAAAGAAAATGAAAAAGTGTTGTTTTCATTTCCTTTCATTTAATATACACTCACTCCTAGCTATATACTACTATGCGCTACTACTTCTATCTAGTGTACTACCACTTAGTATTCCTAACATTTCTACACATCATATTAGGCTCAATTGATGTGGTTAATCAATCAACAAATCAGATCTGTTCATTTGTCTCACATTTTGTGTATAACCTTGTCTCATGTTCGATAATATTCGCAATTGTTATAAAACAGGCATTATAAAACACAAAGATAGTGATAGTGAAGATGGAAATAGTGAAACAGAAGAATTCGTTTTACATTAATTACAGTAATTGAAGGTGTAGGATGTTTCAAGATCCGAAACCACTACAACTCACTATGAACTATCATAAAACGACAATTAATAACGAACTAAAGGAGAAAATGCATGAACTCGAAGCATAATACAGAGTTCATTAATAGGGTAAACACGTAGATGACCTAAGTTAAAACTGAAGTAAATGAAACTGTCTTACTACATTGTAACCGACGCGAAAATTTAGGGTGAAAGTAGATGAAACTATGCAAAGAAAAGATGGATTCCATTGATCATAACGTTTTTGTTTTAATTTTTGTTTAAAGGTGGGTTTTTTCAGACTTTGTGGCTACACATTTTTGCCAGCGAAAGTCACGAATAAATACAACCATTAAAGCAAAGAGGATTGCACGTTAAAAGCATGCTCCCACCTCACTCTCCTTCAGTCCTTAGTCTTTTTAATCTTCAAGAAAAGTATTGCTGTTATTTCTCTTTTTTCCGTAGGTTTTTTTTTTTTTTTCCTAATCGTGTTTTATCAATAAAACGATGCAATTCCATGAAATTTTTAAGTCTATATATTCCCTCCGGTCCTTAATATAAGACATTTTGATTCCGTCCTAGGTTTCACTCGTTACGTATTTTTACTTGACAAAAAAACTTTAAAAACATTTTTATACAATCAAGAGAATACAACGAACGTGAAAATATATTTTTAAGGTTTTTTCGTCAATTAAAAATACGTATTAGGAGAAACTTAGGACGGAATCAAAATGTCTTATATTAAGGATAAGAGGGAGTAATTCAGAAAATGAAATGTTACTTATTTTAATAGAACGACAATAGAGATATAATATAATAAAATATTTAGGGCGAGAAAAAAAAGAATGGAGAAGAAGTTCAGTAAGACAAACTAACGAGATTCGGTTAGCTTTCAAGCAAAACTCACAACTACCTTTTCAATCTTCATCAACCTTTTTCTTTCTCCTTTATTTTTATTTTTTCCAGAAACCTTTCATGATCATCTATTTTCTGTTCAGAATGATGAATATCCTTCACTTCCTTCTCTCCATCTTATCATCCAGCTCACTCTCTCATTGTGCTTCAATATCATCACGAAAGATTCATATAATTAATACTAATTTTTATACAATTTGTTTCTGTGTGCTTCTTCGGTTAGACACAATTTGTATAATTAGTTGTAGTTGATGATAATTTGGTTTTGTTTTATTATATGGAATAGTTGACCATCGGAGTTATGGATGAGCCTCATGATTATTGGAGTAGACACGAATTCGCTTATTCTTTGATCATTTTTCCCACTTCACATTATTCCGCTTTGTTTGGTTGTATTTTCATGACACTTGCATTATGGTCATGTTTTTAGTCTTAGATTTGAATACTTCCTCTGATCCACTTCGGTGTCGGAATGATAATCGAATTTGATTTTTTTTATGTTTAGTAAATTAAAAATAAATATATGTAGTAAAAATGAAAATCCAATCTGGGCGGATCATCGTTCATGATAGAGGGTGTCTCCATACCGAAAAGTTAAGTATATTAAACAATTCACACTCAAACTAGAACTCCGTTTCATCCTTTCTTCTAAAGGTGCTACCACTTGAGCATGGCCAACAGATTTCAATGCAGCATTTCCTCACCCCACAAAAAAAAAAGTTGGGGGATGAGAGTATATCATCACTAAGACCGCAATATTTCTGATGAGAAGGCAACAATCCCGTTGGCCACTGGGGCCTAAAGTATTGAACACCTCATAAAGGTTTAGTAGATTGGTCCTGCTAAGATAGCAGTATTTGTTCTTGAAACTTGTATATTTATATTTAAGCTCAAAACATTCGCCAAATTGAAATGATATATTGGAGATAATAGCAGGCACTTATTGGCATCGTCACCACTGAGTCAAAGGCCACACAGACAAATACACAATGGCATCGAATATTTGCATTATGCTCAAAAGGACAAACAAAAACATGGAAAAACGAAGACCGCTCGCTTGCTTGCCCTAGAAAACAAAGATAATCTGCACTTACTAATAGACTACAAGTATCCGTAGATATAGCTGAAGTTGAAATACCATCAAAGGTTTTAGAGTGCGAGCTTCTTGATGCTGGAAAAGCAATTTATAATGGAGTCAAACCAACAACACCTGCAGGAAAGAAGAGAATGTTATAGATCGCATCAGTAACCAAGCAAGCAGCAGGGCATGAAAGCCAGCTGGTATGAAGTTTACTACGTTAGTCCAAAGCGCACCCCACCGGGAAAAAAAAACCAAAAAAACAAAAAGAGAAAAAGAATTCAGATCAGGCAGCATGCCAATGCTTTTCATTCCAAACCGTGCTGATTAAGTAACATCTGTTACAGTCTTAGCACATAAATGGGTATAATTGGGAGGCTTCTGTATCAGAATATGTTTCTGGTACTCAATTTTCTCCAATACCAATATCAATGGATCACATTGGGAGGGACTTCATGCAGGGAAATCTTCAAAAAAACAAAAATTTCTGTGTAGCGCTTTTTGAGAAAGAAAGCCTCACAGTGGAGAGATGAAAAGCCACACTTTTGAGAGATGAAACGATAAACTATGAGATGAGGATGGAACCAGACTCCCATAACATGTACATCGACAACAGCCTTTGGGATTATTCACAAAGTTCTAGATGGTACATCAGACCTTGATATCCCTGTTTAGTAAATGAACATACCCGCCCTTTCCTTTAGTGGAGTAGAGAGAAATAGGAGAACCTAGTATCAAAGCAGGGGACCCCCTTGTCCTATTCCCTTGTACTTTAATGAACTGAAAGCATTGCTATACTGTTCCTTGAATATCAGATCCACTCTATTTACATGTAAAGAAAGTGTGCTGCAGTTGTGTGGACACCCACTGCATTCAGCTCATTCAGTGCATTTCATTTCTAAACCCTTCAAAGCATTTTCTTACTAAGTCTATATCCAACAAACTAGATCTCCATTGAGGTTGTGATCTCATGTTACAGAATTCAAGGGAGAAAAACCCTGCTAACCTTGTTCCAGCCCCAGGGATAATAATATTAAACTAGTGAAGCTTGAAGATTACACGCACAAACCCAGGAAAGAACGTTTTTTAATTAACAACATCTAGTCCACCATGATTCTATGAATGACCACTCTACCAATAATGTTGTCTACATTATTCCTTGAGATCTACCCCTTTAGCTACACCCAAAAAATGCAAGATACATCAATGCAGAACCATACGAAATAACCATTTATAAACACCAAGGACTCTCTTTTCAGCAATAAGAATCATTAGTGAAATCATCGGAGCGTAACTAGGAGGGCTAAGAACTACTTTAGGCGATGATCATCATAGTTCCACTACTACCTACAAAATAATAGAAAGGAGGCGGCATATCTGACTAACAGAAACAGCACAAAAGAGCAAATAGCAGGAAGGTTATTATTCATACCACAAGCCAATCTTCCCCCAGCATTGCCTGTTGTGAGACTGAGCTCATGGCCACCTACAAGCAGACAACAAATATGGAAAGATGAATAATTTTAAAGCTAACATGTGAAGGCTAGAAAAGAAAGCAGACAGTTTTGAGGTTATTTCAGATGCCTCACAGATTTTCCAACAAAGCAAATGATATGTCGAAATTTCTTATTGAACTGCAACTTACCCTTTCCGAGATCATCCTCAAGCTCATGAACTACAAAAGCCCTTCCAACTACTGAGTGTGGACCACTCAGAGGAATCTGAAAATCAAAATGTACAGAGATATAACATCGAGGGTCCATGGAAAACAGCAGAAAGTGGAAAACGCAAGAATGCCTGTGATGTACGAGGTTTTTAGTCTTTTACCTGAGAGTCTACTATTGTCGCCTCAGCCACGCCTGCAGCCATTGAGCAACATCAAGGAAACAGAAAAAGTTTGTCACTTTTATCACCTTAACTGAAAACAAAAGTGAAAAACTCAATCTTAATAGAAAGTACCCTCGGCATTAGCAACTATGTTTCCCAGGTCACCCGCATGACGGATTTCATCTTCAGGAGCTCCGTGTGTCAAGCCTTTCGGGTTGAAATGTGCTCCTGATTCACAACACCCAAAAAATGCTCAACATTCTCAAATTAAAACTAATATGCTCCTGATTTACAACACCCAAAAAAATGACAGCATTCTCAAATTAAAACTATCTTCCAATGTTTTCAGCTTTACAGAACAGACACATCACAATAAACCAAGAGATTTCGAAGCCGAACCTGTTGATATGCATCCATTAGTGGTGTCGCCGTATTCATGCTATCAAACATCGAAAAGGAGAAAGAAAATCAAATTGAGAACCAAACTAAGCAGCTAGAAGCTAAAACAAATTCAAATTGATTAAGTTCGAAGTAATCTTTCAGCAATCATACTCACCAGATGGAATCCATGTTTCCCAGGAGTAAGACCAGTAATCTTAACATTCACAGAAGTGGGTCCTTCGCACATTTCACAAAAACAAAACCCAAGCATTAGCAACATAATAAATTTCTGCAAACTGATAAAGAGAGAAACTTTTCCTTAAGAGAAATGTGGGACGCTGCAAAAGTCAACGAATAAACCAAGAGAAAAGGGAAAACAACATACCATCATCATCTTGGGTGAGGGTGACAACCCCTTCAACCTGGGAATTGCCTTTGAGGACAGCGACAGCTTTTTTGGTGGCGGCTACAATAGTAAGTGGCTTCCGGGAAGAAACAGAGGTGGAAAGGGCAGAGAACTGGCGGGGAAACTTGAGAGAGACACCGTGGAAAGATGAGGATTGAAGAGACAAATGGGTTGCGGGATTAGAGGAATGAAAGAGGATAGGCTGTTGGGCGGTGGCGGCGGCGGTGAAAGAGAGGATTTGAGCGGCCATTGCTGCAACCGCTGCAGCTTGCATTCAGCAGAGATGATGATAGAATTATTATTGATAAAGGGCAGTCAGCGATTTGTGGGGTGGGATTTGGTAAATAGATATTTGGCTGGCTGCCTTAGAACACTGCCACTTTATCTTTGGTCTTTTTGGAGGTTTTCAACCAGCTTTTGCCAAGTCCGCTGATTTCCTCTGGAAGGATGTAGTACAAGTGTGAATTTTGGATTAGGAGCCAAAAAGAAAAAAAAAAAAAGGATTCTTTGACATCAAATTTTTATGGAAAAAAAAGAAGACTTTTCATAAAGGGAAACAAACACTACTCTATAATTTTTGATATTTGATGGAAAAAAAAAATTAAAAATGATATTTGATTGATTTGGTGTAATATTTATTTGACTGGTAAGTTCGAACGTGAGAAAGGTATGCCTTTAAACAAAAAGAGACAATCATTGAAATTTTTTTGCAATAGGTGAAAATGATTATACGTAAAATTTCAATATGTGTTCGTGGGATGCAAACTCTCTTCTTATGCAAATATCTTAAACGCTCTAATTATTGAAAATGTAACAATAGCGACTATTAACATAGGTCAGTGAAACATAAAACAAAATAAATAAATTGATCTTAGGGTTTTTTTTTTTTTTGGAGTAAATGGTAATTTTTTAGATTGCACAAGAAAGTTTCCACACTACGTCCACCTCAATTTCTATCACTACTAGCATCTAAAAGAAAACTGTACATGTATTAAAATTTAAAACTAAGGCAAAACTCCTACATCTATCAAAGATTGTTTCTTGCTCTGTTTCATCTTTTCACGATAACATAACCTCCACTTGACTTCCCCCTGTTGCATTGCATCTCTCTGAAAATAGTTTTGTGCTGGTGGTAGATACATGCTGATATAAGTAACTGGGAACACACTTACTGTTTCATTTTGTTCCATCCATGGACTGTCAACTCCACAGCTGATACACAGTTATAGAGATCACTTAGATATACATATAGAGATAACAATGAATTGTTAAGCCAGACAATTCATATTTACTGGAAAACAAAGGGTACCCACCAACGTATGGTATAAGAACTATGAAGATTGAAGAATTACTCAAAACAGATTGATTACCTGATGAAAATCAGCTCTCTTGACTTCAAACGAAATTAACCATTTACGCTTACCTCTTAAACTCTCTCTACTCTCTACTATATCATACTAGCTCCTAGCTACACCAGAAACAACCCAGCAATACTTGTGAAAAGCTTTTGGTTTTACGAACATCAAATTTCTTTTTGCCAATGGATGAACCAGGAACAACAGAAACTAAGCTTTCCACATAATCATCCACCAGAAAGTAGTCCCAAAATCTCTTATCGGAGATAAATGCGTCCCAAGAGATACTCGATTCTTTTATCTCCACCTCTACAAGCTCTGTAGCTTTGCTCTAGGGATCATAAACAGCACGGCCACCTCCTTTCAGCTGTCTTTGGAACTTGACAGAGCCAAAAACCATCCCACCTGCAGCCACACGTACTAATCATATTAGAAGGAGAGTCTGGCCTAAAACCCAAACTCTTTTGTATGCAGAAATGTTTCACCCACACATTGGCCGAGATATCTCCTGTCATCACCTAAAGCTCATAGTCATCTATACTTGTTGTGTAGCCACTTAAGGAAAGACACCCTTTGTATCATCTCAGATGCCGTACCTTAGGGGAAACATAGTCGGGAACCACGAAATGTCCTGAATCATTTTCTCGAGTCATATGAACATAACGAACATGGTAAAGACCAATACGGCCACCATTTCCCTCGTAGGGAGGATACCAATACAGATCATTCCAATAAAAATATCCATCAAGGATAACACAAGCTCGGATGATTATAGGAAAATTTCTACAACTCACTTGACGGGATACACGAAAAGACTCAGAAGCTTTATCAACAGGGGTTAGCAATGTGGTCCATGAATGAGTTTTAAGGCTATAAACATCAAGCTTGTAGGTGGCTATATTTCCTCCTTCTTTGAGGTGAAATTTGGCTACTTTATAATCCTGACTCTCATTATCATACCCAAAACCAACAGCTAGAGTAAAACGACCTAATTTCATATCACGAGGCAACAGAATCGATTGTCGCAATGCAGGATTCCACAAGTAAATTTTAATGTCCGATTTACAGTAACAATCTTTAATAACGCAGAAAACCCCATCAACGCAACTTACAACGGACATTCGGTGGCCCAAACAAAAGTATGATTCAAGCCCCTTTTTGCCGCGAAGATCTGAACTTGCGGATTCCTTGGAACCGACATCAGGGATTTTGCGACAGCTGATGCACCTTCGTTTATCCGTGTAACTTTTAAGCCAGACCCTGCCGGGAGGTTTCCGAGCCGGATTCTGGAGATGGATTCTCGCGAAGCTGCTTCCTTCTTGTTTTGAGAAGACGAGGGAGTACCATGATTTACTCACACAGGACAATCGAACCAGATTCTTAACAGGCAGACGAACTTAGATGTCCTCACTGATTTCATTGGGAAATTGTGGGATTAAACCGGTTGATTTCGCCATGTTCATCCGCCCCAATAAAATTAGGGTTTAAGAAAGGAGTTTTTCCCAATCTTTAATTAGGATTTTGCTAATTACACTTTGGGACCTATAAATTTAAAATGTTTTAACTTATGCCACAAACTTTCTTAACTAAATAAATTGGCCACACCATCTTCTTCTTCAGAGTACTAAAACGAAATTTGCAGGTTGAAGAAGTGGATTCAAGTTCAAGGTCATCAACAGGTTGATGGAAAGTATTCAAGGCCAGCAACAGTATTCAAGGACAACAAGGCATTATGGAAGGCATTATTGCGAAGTAACAAAGAAGACAAATAATCATGGGACATGAAATATCTATATTTAAAAGCGTTTTTATTCCTTATCTTCACAACTTAGCAAAATTGTATCATTTAAAAATGATTGATAAGACAACACTAAGAGAAGGAATTACATTTAAAATTCAATTGTAGATTAACTAGTTTTTTATTCCTTTAAATAGATCAAATGCAACTTTGAGTAATAAGCATCCAAATCTTCTGTAAACTTTTGTATATTCTTATATTTTCTCAGTTTCAATTTCATTCTACTAAAGAAAAAATTCATTTCAATTTTCAACGTCCTTCTTTAAGATTAAATACTGTTTTCTATATACATTTCAGTTTTAGTGCCCAATAACATAAGCTTGAGTTTGGTTCAGGTATCAGTATCACTGGTTTTTTTCATTCTTAATTTTGTTGGCTTACCGGTTTTTGCTAATTATTTCACTTTGAGACCTTCAAATTGAAAATATTTCAATTTCTGCCACCAACTTTCTTAACAAAATACTTTGCCACCATCTTCTTCATCAGTTTCGTAGTAAAACGAAGACCGAAAAAGGGCAGAAGAAAGGAACTATTGGTAGTATCATCAAATTCAAAACTCCTCCTTCCATGGAGGCACACTCCCAAAACCCCAATCCCAATCCAAATCCCCAATCAATGAGAGTTCTGATTCGGCCATCACCACCTCAAATCCCACCTCCTTCTCCACCGCCTCTTCCGAACCCACCTGACCCTTCACCGCCTTCAACTTCTTCTCAATCTTCCCCAAACGGGATCGTTGTAGTTGGTTTCATAGGCAAGCGCCGCGATGACGTAACCCAACTCATTAACCGAATTATTGACGCCAACGTATTTGGGTCGGGGAATTTGGACACCCCTTTTCGTTTCGGGAAGGAAGACTTAATGAGCGAAGAGATTCAGGAGTGGTTTAAGTTGAGGAGCATCAGCTTTTATTTCGAGGAGGAAAAGGGGATTTTGTACTTGCAGTTTTCTTCGATTATGTGTCCTGTAATGGAAGAGAGTTTGGAGTCTCGGCTGGGGTTTGATTCTGGATTTGAAGACTGCGAATTCGGTGATCTTCAAGGCTGGCTGTTTATGTTCTCTGTAAGCAATTCTTTCCTTCTTCCTTACTTCCCTTTTAAAGCATTTAACTTTGGTGTGTAGTATGTGGTTCATGTTGTTCTATTTGCATTTGAAAAGAAAAATGTCACTTGCAATGCAGCTCCTTATTTAAGATTATATTGAATGAGATATAGTAAAGGATTGAAGTGGTATATCTAAGGAAGTGATGTGCACTTAGTCAGCCTCGACACTCAGAGGTGGAGAGAAGGCAGTATTTGTTATAAATGATATTTTGAGCGGTTGCCTTGCCACCTTAGGTGCACATGCGTCTTAGTAGGATTTCTACAGGCGATGCCTTTGGTGTTTTGCACATCATTTTTTCTTTTTCGGGTTACTCAAATGCTGCTAAGAATAAAATTTATAGGCAAGATAATGTTTTTGGTCAATTGGCAGACCTGCTATATGATGGGCTCTGATTCATAATCTCTAGCGAGAACTTTAAGTTTCTTCTTGTTGTAACCCTTCCTCCCCTACACAGCTGAGATTCTAATACATAGCTTTTTCCTGTTGTATCCTGTAGTTTTGGATTGTGTTATAAACTATTGCAAGCAATGTAGAAACTTAAGAGTTCATAATGATGTATGGAAATACAAAATACAAGTATGGATTTGTTTGTTTGCTCTTTTGGATTTTTATTTATTTATTTATTTTTGTTTGCTAAGAGTTGTTCTGCAACGGGAGAATGGCGTTTAAAATGGACTTCTCTACGTTTCATGAGTTCAAATGACAGTCTGATCTAGCAGGAGTTTTATCGAGTTACTTTGGTGCTTTTAGTTTAACCTTTTTCTATTGCCTTTCAATATGTAGAAAGATGGTTATGGGATATCAGTAATGAAAATGTTGGGCATCAATATCCATGGGAACTTGAAAATATATGATATTTCATAAAGATCTTACTTATTGTTTACTTATTACTACTTTAACCTCCCTCCCTCTCACTCTCTTCCCTTCTCTTACACACACAAATACACATTCCCATATATACACTTGTCTACGTGTGCATATGTGTGTATGTATACACTTACACTTGTACAGACCACATGCATGTTTTGGTTGCTTATTCCCACCACCACCCCCTCTGTTTTTCTGTTATTGTTGTTGGTGTTTGATTTAGACGTGGATTGCGCAGAAATGTTGCTATACTTTCGGAGACACAGCTGTTGTAGGAAGAATCTAATTTATACAAATAGTTTGAACTTCAATCAAAGTTCTTTAGTTTTTCTTTTATATCTTGTTACCTTCCTGCTTCCAGATATTTTAGGTTCTAATTCGATGATCCTTTTCTGGCTCCAATTAGTAAATGACTCTATTTTAATTAGCAATGCAGGTTTGCCATGTTGTAATATTAATCCAGGAAGGTTCACACTTTGACACTCAATTTCTGAAGAAGTTCCGAGTTTTGCAATCTTCAAAGAATGCTCTGTCTCCCTATCTAAAGTCACACATTGTACAGCCATCAAACATTCATGTTTCATCTTCTTTGAGGATGCCCACTTCACTAGCATCTTCTAATAGTCCATCTTCTGGGCGAAGCCGCAGCATTTTAAATCGTGGCGGTGGATCAGTAATACTCATGTCTGGTTTAGGTTCATACTCCTCTTTATTGCCAGGACAATGTAATCCTGTCATACTATTTGTTTTCCTCGATGATTTTATGGACGCAAATTTTAACACTGGCATAGGCCAGCAAGTGGAAGCTCCCACTTTAAGTCAGTTGAGTACAAATAATATGGCTAGACCAAACTTGTCAACAAAAGGATCAGGCTCAGTCGTTGTACTGGCACGCCCTGCTAATAAAACTGAAGGTGGGTTCAGGAAGAAACTACAGTCATCCCTTGAAGGACAAATCCGTTTTTTAATAAAGAAATGTAGAGTATTATCCAGTTCTGAAACTGGTCATGTAGGGTCAAGAAGTGGGGGTTTATCAAGTTCAGCACCTTTGTTTTTGCTGGATGCATCAAAGGCTGTAGCACTTGTAGATTCATCTTCAAACAGTAGAGGGTCATCTCTCGAGTTTGCTACTAGCCTCGTGGAAAATGTTCTTGCTGGGAAGGCTACTTCAGATTCTCTATTGCTTGAGAGCAATAGTGAGAGCACAAACAAGGAGGACATACTTTCAGTGAAAGAATTCATTTCAAGGCAGTGTGACATCCTGAGAGGAAGAGGATCTAGCAGCAGTGGGCCTGCTGCTGGGGCTGGTATGGTGGCTGTTGCAGCTGCTGCTGCTGCTGCCTCAGCTTCTTCTGGGAAGACATTTTCGGCTCCTGACCTCCCTAGTTTGGATTCTTGGATATCGTCAAGTCAACCTATTCTTTATGGAATTCTTAATGTGAAAGCTGGTAGCGAAGGTGAAACTGACTTCAGAAAAGAACATCAGCAGAATGTTATTTTGCCAGCTGATGAAGGGATATCCTCCAAAGTGGCTGATTCAGCGAAAATGGCAATATCATTTTTGGAGAATGGCATGAACCTAAGCTCTAAGTTTTCTACTTTATGGTGTGAAAAGGCCCTTCCAGTCGCCAGAGAACTTTATCTCAAAGAACTGCCTCCTTGTTATCCATCGCCGCAGCATAAAGCTCACTTGGAGAGAGCTTTATTTGCTTTAAAGTCAATGGTCAAAGGACCAGCTGTGCAACTTTATCTGAAGAAACTGGAAGAAGAATGCACATCTATTTGGATGTCTGGAAGACAATTATGTGATGCAGTTAGTCTGACAGGAAAACCATGCATGCATAAAAGACATGATCTTGAAAGTGATGCTTTGCTTTCAAGAGATTCAATCAATCAACATTCTAGTGGATATGTATTTCTTCATGCTTGTGCCTGTGGTCGTTCTAGACAACTACGGTCAGATCCATTTGACTTTGAAACGGCCAATATTACTTTTAATGTTTTTCCTGAGTGTGACAAGCTTCTTCCAGCACTAGAAGTTCCACAGAATGGTGCTAGTGGTCCTATTAAACCTTCCTGTTGGAGTTTGGTAAGAATTGGTGGTGCAAAGTATTATAATCCTGCGAAAGGTCTACTCCAGAGTGGCTTTGTAGCAACTCAGAAGTTTCTTCTGAAATGGACTATTTTTCTTGGGAAATACAATACAGTCAATGACTCATCTTTGAATGGTTTGACAGAAGGTTTTCCAATGAAAATTGTTGGAAGTAACAAAGGTGAATTTGTTGCTGAAAAGGACACGAAGAAGACAGATGATACACATCAATCACATGTGCCAAGTGAAGTTGATAGTCAAAACAGGAGATCATTAGTAACCATGAAAGCTGATGACCAAATAGCTAGTTCTGGTAGGAGAATTTCCAGCTCAACCATGAAAAAGCCTTTTTCTGAGGTTGTTGCTGGATCAGCTGGAACGAATTCTGCATTTCCTCCACTTCAAACCAGAAAACCTGTTATGGTTGCAGAAAAGGGTATTAAGCAACATGGTGTAAAAGAAAATGGTTCAGAAATGAACCTGGCCACTAGACAAGGATCACAAAAGGTTCATGATAATGATGGTAATCGTGTTCATGCAGCTAACGGGGGGGCAGTCTCTGTCAAGGGCATGACTAATGTTGACCCAGTTTTAAAGATAGATAATGATGGAGACCCTGTTAATATGATTTTTAGAGGCATGACAAAAGGATTCACATCTCCAAAGCATGTGGTTATGTATGTTGGATTTGAGCATGAATGTCCCAATGGACACCGGTTTATATTGAGCCCAGATCATCTTAAAGATCTTGGTTCATCTTATGCAGCGCCTGAAGAATCTCCTGTTTCTTTACCCATTGATAACTCAGACCATAAGGCAGCAGATTCGGCTAAGTTTAGTAAAAATGGTGGTTTCAAGAACCGCAAGCAGTCTAATGGAACAAATAATGCTGTTGTTCGCACTATGAATATTCTGGAAGACTCGAAAGTGAGAGAACAAACTCCCAGTGAAAAAGTTTCTTCCTCCGTGATGGATCTTGGTGGAAAACTTGAATCTGTTAATGTAGATGAAGGCAGTGCTTTGTCCTTGTTGAATAGGAATCTGCCAATTTATATGAACTGCCCACATTGTAGGGCGTCAAGGAGGAAAAAAGATTCAGGAAATGTTAAATTCGCAGGCAGTATATCACAGCTTCAGAGGATTTTTTTGGTATGTATGAACATATGTTTGTTTCATTTTTTTCAGATGTTCTTATTTTCCAACTTCTTGTTACCTTTTCTTGGCATTGAACTTCTGCTTTTCAATGCTTTCGCAAAGGTCAACTTGTGTTAACCCCCAAAAAAATGTCATCATGTGATTATTCTGCTGGTTCAGTGTAGCAGTTAGCCAGTCGGAATGTGTTTTCCGTTTTTACTTCGGTACTTTGTATAGAGTAGACCAGACTTGACACAGGCATGCATCTTTCTAGAATGGGCTTGAAAATGGTCTTGGGTCGGATGTATCAAATTTCAGCAGTCAACCAGCATATGTGAATGAGCGGGATTCATTTCTTCTGTGTGTGTGTGTGTCTTTGTTAATGAACAAGATTCATTTCTTCTCCCCACCCTCCTCTGTGTGTGTGTGTGTGTCTTTGTCTTTATTAAACGAACAAAATTTAGTGAAAGCACTGTGTAAATGAAGACTGGGTAGATTATTGCCTTGCATTTTCCTGGTAATAACTTTCTATGTCAGATATGTTTGACAATAAAAATGAAGGCATTTTGTTTTCGGCTATGCCTGTCGCTGTTATTGACATCGCAATTCTTTGCATTTACGAGCATTCTTATACCCTGACGATGTATTAATTTTGCTTTACTATGTGTAGGTCACACCTGCCTTTCCTGTTGTTTTAGCTGCTTGCCCAGTTGTACAGTTTGAGGTATGCACCAGCTTCTGGTAATGTGCACTCTAACTTGTTGAATAGGGATTTTGAAGTGACTAACTTTATCCTCTTTTGTATTTGACATGGTCAAATTCCTGATGTCTAACATGTCGAATGGGCGTATTTGCCATATATTCAAGTTACACTTTTTGAACAAAGAAGACCTTGTTCTGGTTCATTTATAACAGTAAAAATGGTCTGATTCATAAGTGGTTGTACTTGATTTATATACAGATGTATGTTATGCAATCCGTTATTTCATTTTATGCTCTATTAAGTTGGAAAGAACAAGACCCCTACGCGGCTTTGTGTATCTATCTGACGAATCCTATTTAAGTGCTTTAACTGATTCATGTTTGTGGTGTGAGGTTGGTTCCGGTTTAATCTATTACACTTATGGTGGATTATGTCCAAACATCTTTAACTTGATCAAACGTTGTTTGCCTTTGCTCCCAGGAGTCATGCCTGCCTTCAGCAGTTCCTGATCACAACCAAAAGCTTCAATTTGGCCTTGGCTGCCAGGTGATTTTGCCACCGGAAAGTTTTCTTTCACTTAGGCTTCCTTTTGTTTATGGCATAGAATTGGAGGATGGAAAACTACACCCTCTAACACCTTTGGGGGATCAACCACATTTGACTGCTTGGATTAATAAAGGCACCACATTGCAAATTTTGTCGGAGGGAAGTGGGTTTAAACAAGGATCTTCTACGTAATGATATTTCACGTGAAAAGCAATTTGGTTAACGTTGTGGTTTCCGGAGGCGGATTGTTTAACCAACCTGGCATCTGGTAAAGACTTACCTCATATGCCCTATTGGACTTGTAGTTTGGGCCTTTACTTTTATTTCTATTTTTAATCGTCAGGTTCTCCTTTCTTGTACTTGACCATCTAGAACCAACATATGTTGGAAAAAACAAGTAGTTTGAATTTTGTCAAATTTGGAACTTTGATCCATGTTTTCGCTCCCTTTCCATTAGAAAAAACCTCAGTACTCATTGATTTGGTGATAGTCCCTTTAGTATTTTTGTTGAATTTTCTGTCAGTCTAGGCTTTAGATAAGTCTTGCTTAACAAAAGATGGCTTATGCTTGGTTTTCCTTATATCTGACTATAAGCCATTGGGTGGTCTTGTAAAGGTTAGATGGATAGCTTAAGCTCTTGTCTTTATTTGTAAGTATTGGTTAATGCTAAAGGTGCTTCAGCTAATTGTAGAAGTTGGCATTTTGCGACTAAGCTATTATTATTGTTCTTATGGGCAGGTTCAAAGTTGGGATGGGGTTCCCAAGTGGCTGTACTCAGTTTTTTTGTCTTGGATATCTGGAGGTTTCTGAGTAAGGCTCATGGTATGGCTACTTATTGGAAAATTTAATGTCTCTTGATCCATATTGCAAATAGGGATTGCGATGGTTCCTTTTATTGCAGTAGGCAGTAGCCAATTCTTTTTCATGCCGTTTCTCTATTACAAATGGAAAAGGTTCAGGTGAATCATCCAACACCTACTGAAAAGTGAATACAGCTTTAGTTGTGGCCTAGAACTGGACCTCTCAGTCAACAGTCCATAATCAGGATCTATACGAAATTTCTCTTTAGTTGATTGGTTTCAATTGGTGTTTAATAGTGATCATCAATAACCCATTTTTTGTTTACTGTCAGTAACCAGTAGCCATCGTTGCTCTTTCAGTAGAGATCTGAGAGTTCGGTATATTAGGCAATTACAAAACTGAGCCAGTTGTGGTTCATTAGTACTAAGCTAAAACATCTTTCTCTGCAGTTGATGAAGCATCAATCTAAGGTGGGGCGAGGATGGTACTGCATGGTTAGTTATCTCGTCACCTTGTGTCTTTTGGGATAATCAGTTGAATCGAAGCAGTTTCAAATCTGATATTTTGCCGGAACGAGTTCAACCTGCAGTGTCATCATAGAATGTTGAGCATCGTTGCCCGTCTGACACACATGATGGATGGGATAGATTATCCTCAGCGTGGGGAGTGGCACCTGCCTCGGAGACATTCTCCGTCAAGAATGTGTTGTCTTTGAAAGGTGAATGTAGAAAGGAGAAATCAATGCTCATTGGAACAGTTTGCTAGGTGGCCTAAAATTCAGAAGAGTGACGAACTTCTTGAATTGATGGTCGAACTTTGAAGAAGGCTTAATTGATCTTATATATAGTTTAGTTATTAAAGGGTCATCAATTTAATTGATCTGTCCCGGACAATTAAACATCAGAAACTAATGTTTGGTCGAACGAAACGTGGCTTAGTTATGTACTGTATTGCATTTTTATTTTATTTCTTTCCAGTTGACAACGCAACAACGTGAAACATGTCGAAACTCGTTTCTGGACTTGCTTAATACTACTACCTTCCATCATTAATAGTATGGTCAATTTGTGATGGATGCCTCCATGTTCACATGCTTCTTGCCGTTTGGACCGTTTTCAGATATGGGAAAAAAGATAGGATCATATCATCAGATAATTAATAGAATAGGGGAATGGAAGATTTTCTTTAGGCCACCGCCACCCCAACTCATTACGCTTCATAATTTTTATAGCATCTGGATCATCTCTCTCATTCTTCGATGCAATCTTCAATTCTAATCTCACCAGAACCGTTATAGCCAGGACAAAGATGTACAATTATAAAAAGCAGCACATGCCATATGTCTGAAAGACGGAGGCGCCGTTTGTTTCCTTTTTCTCATGGTTTTTTCAGAGTGATATAATAATATTTGTCCCACTGTAACATATCTTTTTACATTTTTAATACAATTTTTTACATTCTCAATGCAAAAATTACCTAAAAACACACACTAAAAAAAACGAAACAAACATATCCTCAAAAGTCGCATCGTGCAGAAATGGCATGTGACGTGTTCTAGTAACCATGTACCACGTGGCAGCCTCCAATCATTCAGATGGTACAATCAGACACTGTCCTACTGAGCTGGCATAATAATCAAGAGTCAAGACTGAAGATACTACCCAGAGATCTACCCACTCTCAGCCACACCCTTGAAAATATCCCTCCCTTACAACAGTGTTCTGGTCTTTTTAGTCAAATATGTTACACTGATTAAGTAATGAATTGCTCCCCCACCATATTTATTTAGATTGTAGCAAAGCCTCAAGATGAAGCTCATTGAGAGCAGAAGTCTGGCTTCCTTTTGGCAAAACACTGGCTTATGGGTTCGATTGAGGATAGATAAAATCTTTTAGTGTAGATGCGTGGTATACTCCCTTCTTCTGGTCCTCGTATTTATGAATTACAAATTTGAACTAATTTTAATGTAATTTTGTGTATTATCAATAAGACTTGAGGGAGTACAATTCTTACCGGATATATATAGCAATTGGAAGGCCGTAAAATCTTTTCACCAATGAATGTCATTTGTACTAAGATCGGAGAGAAACACTTTTTTTTTTTTTTTGAAATATAGTTTATGGCTGGATCCAAAATTTGTGCAATCAAATTTTGGACTTTTACATATGTTTCTAAGATTGAATTTGGCTTCTTGGTGAACTAAAAAAGAAGACCTAAATACAGAATCTTTGGACCAACGAGCTAGTTGCAAATTATTGATTGGGAGGGAGGCATCAAAATTTCTGTGGAAATGAAAATGACAGGAAGAAAAATTGCCAAAACCCGAAAGAATACGAGGGGATCCGCAATCATATCATAAAACTAATCCCGATTTTCGGAAAAAATTACAAAAAATAATTTACAAGTAATGATTTGTCAATCATCTAAAATCTTAAATATTTAAACTCTAAATGAAAATGTAAAAAATGAATGGTTATTTCATTATCATTTTTTTTTTTATGTACGTATCATTATTATTCTTTTCTAAAATCACCGGGAACTTGTGTACCCAGTTACCACCAAATTAACCGTGCACAATTTTTTCCCAATATAAACACCCAAAAATATCACTCCCGAAAACCTACTCACTCACTCATCACTGTGACTGTTAACATATCAAAACCTCTCTCTCTCTCCCTTTCATCAAACAGTCATTCAAGATGTCGTCCGAGTACTACACGGTGCCGTTCCAGCGAATCACCTTCGGGAGCCAAGAAGAAATACGCCAGCCCGGAGCAATCAAAGCCGCCTTGGCTGAGTTCTTCAGTACCCTCATCTTCGTCTTCGCCGGCTCCGGCTCTGGCATGGCCTTCAGCAAACTCACCGGTGATGGCCCCAACACCCCATCCGGCCTCATCGCCGCCGCTCTTGCTCACGGTTTGGGGCTCTTCGTGGCGGTTGCCGTCGGAGCTAACATCTCCGGCGGCCACGTCAACCCTGCCGTCACCTTCGGCGCCTTCGTTGGCGGGAACATCACCTTCTTCCGGGGGATCCTTTACATCATTGCTCAGTTGCTTGGATCAGTTGTCGCTTGCTTCCTTCTCAAGTTCTCCAGCGGCGGCTTGGTGAGATTTATTTTCCATTGATCGGAATTAACTATTAATATCCGGTTAAGTTTTTTCATTTGCATGGGATATATCCTTACACGAGGTTTCCAAACTTTTCCAAAATATCTGGAGATATAACTTAAAAACATTATTATTCTTATTAAAGAAAAAAGAAAAGGAAAAAAAAAAGTTACTACCTTTGTCTGAAAATATTATTTTTTTGGACGTTTTTTTATTTCAAAACAAGAAAATACTCGTCATCGAGAGTTATACAATAAGAGAAAACTACCGATAAGAATAAAACCGTCTCGATTTTTTAGTCACTATAATAACTAAAACTATGTCATAATTCGTAAGAGTTATTTTATCAGATTGTTCTGTTATTTCGTTACAAAATTAATTAAACGAAAACAAGAACGTTGTTAACATAATTGTTGTAATTTTCCATTTGTATAGGCGGTTGGAGCATTCACTTTGTCCAGCGGGGTGTCGGTATGGAATGCGTTTGTTCTTGAGATAGTGTTGACTTTTGGACTGGTGTACACAGTGTACGCCACAGCCATTGACCCGAAGAAGGGCAATTTGGGAATCATAGCACCCATCGCCATTGGTTTTGTTGTTGGAGCCAACATTCTGGTGGGTGGAGCCTTTGATGGAGCATCCATGAACCCGGCTGTTTCATTCGGACCTGCTGTTGTTAGCTGGACCTGGACTCACCACTGGGTTTACTGGGCTGGCCCAATTGTCGGCGCCTTCATTGCAGCTGCTGTCTATGAAATCTTCTTCATCGATCACTCTCACCAAGCCTTGCCCACCGCTGAATACTAGTAGCTAGGCATTTCTTCTAGCTACTAGTACTTATTCAATTTTTATTCTTGTCGGTGGGTTTTGTTTTTTTTTTTTTTTGAATTTATTTTTCCTTCGTTCCACGTTCTTCTAAGATTTATATGTTACTATGTTTTCCTTAGTTGTGCAATCATGTATTTGTCTCGTCATATGGTAATGATTCAATGTGAACTAAGTTTTCGGTTTAATTTGGATATTAAGCTCATTTTGTCCTTCTCGAACACTCTGATTATTCGAATGAATATTGGAAAGATTGACAAGTGAATAGGTGACACGCAAATGCGAAAACCAAATGCAAAAATATTGAGACAATGAGACTACTATTATTCTTTGTTTTTTTTAAGATATTTTTCTTGTTTAGAAATTGATTGCGACCCGGGCCATGTGGCATTGAATTGCTACAGAAGACGAGAAAGTTGATGCGATTGTGCAAAGAAAGAATTTTGGTGGGGATATTCAAAGATGGGTTAAAATAGATGGCATTGTAAAGAAAAGCAACAAAGCATCTGATTCTAATGATGGTGATTTTGAAGTTCTACTTATCGTGTAGTAGCTTCTAATTAATGACGGTATGGAGTCTTAATTATTGTGATGTGATATTCACAGGAAGTTCGTAGAAATCAAATGACTCAAGGAATTCTAATAATTGGTTTCTTTCAACCATCTGTTAAACGTAAAATTACGTAACATTACACATTCAAGAGAATTTGCATGGAAAAATCACCTTGATTGTTCAATGTTGTCTTTACAATCTAGACAACATTTTCGACAGTAATTTCATGCCTCGATTGAGATTACATATTAATGATTCTCATCTCCGCCGGCAGAAATTAATGGCTCCATGTATCTAATTTTTTGCGACATTATTTTTCCATCTGCTAGCTAGTCTCTTGAATAGTCTCTTTTCCTATTTCGTCTTTTTTTTATATATATAATGAAGAGGTTTAAAACCTTGGTTACACTCGCCGTCGCCGAATGGCCAATCTATCCAACAAAAGATTACTAGTACATAGCTCGTCGGTAGATTGTGCCAAAATATTAAAGTTCAAAACTGTCTAAGACTTTTTTGAGTTGTTCGCTAGAAGGTCCGCTTCTCTCGCCTTTGGCCTTATTTTGAAAAGTCAATCCCATTTCATTATTTTCAAAAAATAAAAATCCCATTTTATTGTCGTTATCGCTGAGTCATGAATGGCTCATGACTCATGAGTACTAACGATTGGTAGTTGCCAATTTTAATTCTGAGTCGCAGTGATAATGTAAAATAGAGAGTGTCATTCTGTCATTGTCAACATGAAAATGTGGTTAATCGAGAGCAATTCGAGTTTTGTTTGATTGAACAAAAATAGTCAATGATTACCCAAGGAGGGTATTCCAAATAAATAAGTATTCCTCTCTGCCGCCTCCCTCTCCCTCTCCCTCTCCTTCAAACCCTAAATAAAGAAAAATCAATCTTCTCCCATCTTTCCACCATAGAAAGACGGGGAAAATAATTCTACAAATATCCTTTAACTTTTTTATTGTGTTTTAATTTAGTTTCAATAAACGGATTGTAGATTATTATCTACAGTATGGCGGTAATATCTTTATCGATGTTTGCAGGTATAACAGCAGTATCCTTGTTGATGTTTGATAGTATGGCGGTGCTTTCGTCAGTGATGTATGCAGATACGGTGGCGACGGCTTCATTGAAGATGTTCGTCGGTTTGGCAGGTATAGTCCAAGAAGATTTAGTCATAGTAGATCTAATTATTATTAGGTTTAGGATTTGGGGGTTTCAACCGAAAGTTAGTGTTGTATCCTTAATCGGATTAATAATCTGGCACGTAGTACTACCGTTATTTTATAAGGTAGATCAGGATAGGTTTATCCATGTAGCGAAACATAACAATGTCATTGTGACTGTTTGCAAGTTGTGTTTTTATGGCTTTATCTTACTTTTATCAATCGCTGCTAGACGATTTCTAGCAAATTAATGAATTTATCTTTATTTCTCAAAAAAAAAAAGTCAATGATTATAGATTTCTTTACTAATCAATCTTTACTTCATAATGGAAACCTACAACACAATTATTGGATCTAGGGGGTTAAAAAAGATGATTATTGTGGGCAGTGACGAAGTCACACTTGTTATATTATTCTTATTGTAGCAGTAGAATGACAAAAATTTCATTAATCAAAAGTAAGAATACTTCAAAAGTCTTTTTATGTCCACTAAATTCTCAGTCTTCCTTCCTCTGAATAAAAATTTCAGAGATCGGGGTAACCTCCACTAATGGTCTCCCTACGTATTTGACCATTCTACTTTGATCAGATTCCTTTTTTCAACTGTCTGGTTTGTCCTTGCAGCTAGGAATTGAATCCTAGAATAGTACTATGTGTTAAACTATAGATAGTACTTCTTCCGTCCCAAAATTAATATTTCGATTTAAATTTTCATTCTTAATTCAAATTGTACTAGAAGTAAAAATTCAAACTAGACATAATTTTAAGACAGAAAAAGAATATCTTAAATATGTAATTATGCTCTGTGGAGGATTAGATATGCATCCAGCTGGCCAATGTTGCATGCACGGCCAATTGGGCCGATGATGTTACTACTGGATAAAGGGACCTCCGTTGGTTTCCTCACCAGACTAGATTCTAGATAAGTAGCACGGCGAGAACCAGGGGCGGAGCTACATATATGCGAGATGGGGCTATTACCCCAGCTAAAAATTTCACAATTACCCTCTGAATATCATTTAATCTACTAAGCTTTCAAAGCATTGCCTCAGTAATAATTTGAAGAATAGGGGCCAAAGAGTAAAATTATATTAACATTTTACTCTAACAATATAAACTAATTTTCGCCCCACCTACTGCTAAGGGCTTGACTCCGCCCCTGGCGAGAACATGGTCTAATATTTCTTCAAAAGTAGTACGTTGTGACGAGTTATATGTACTCGAGTCGACCCTCAATCAATGGATGAGCAATCATTCAGATTTCAAATATCCACTTTTTTTTATTGGTTGATCGAATTTTGAAATACTTGTAGAACAAGAATGTAACAACTACTGGCATGGAAAGTTACTAGTGTTGTCTTCAGAGATGATTATGGAAAGTTCTTACTGGTATGTGACAAGAATGATGGTCCGTGTTCCATCGAAAGGGCAAAGTTGAAAGCTATTAGCCTTGCAATGGAAGTGGCCACTGACCGAGGAATAACGAACCTGATTTTGGTGACGGACTCTCAGGTAGCATTTGATTTTGTTAGGCACTTAAATTAAGGACCAATCACAAGTCCTGCTTGACCTGGAGTTAAGGCGTATATATAGTCTTCTACAAGCTAACTGGGGAGTTTGTTTTGCCCACACATACCGTGAAAATAACATGTATGCAGATGCCTTAGCAAAAGCACTAGATGTAGATAGGAGAGTATATTTTTTTGATGTTTCTCCCCATTTCATTAGGCTGGTACTGGAACATGATGCCAGGGGTTTACCCGACAGTGTTTGATTAATTTATCTTGACTGCTAAGGCAAGTCTTTCTACCGAAAAAAAAGTACTTGTAGAACTTCAACAAGAATTAATGTTATTCGAAATGTATCCATGTTTTGGCGGTAGCTGGTGGTAAAAGTGGGAAATTAATTAGTATTCCCTCTGGTCCTTATTATAAGATACTAGATGTTAAACCCGTGCGATGCACGAGATTTATGTAAACACAATATGGTAAAATCATTGAAAAATAAAAATGTGACAAATACAAAAGATGTTAAGGAGTTGTGATGGTATAGATGATATGGCTAAAAATAAATTATAAGACGTATCTACAAATATCAAAATATAAATTTGCATGTAATGAATTAAATATTGTGCAAATTGTGAAAGAGTTTAATCTTAATGGTGATGAAAAGTAAATGTTACATCATGTTTTTTAGTGATGTGGAAACAACTAAACAAATTAATATTATACTTAAATTATATTAATTAAATTTATGAAAACTTTATTTGTTACTCCCCCCATTCCAAAATAAGTATCGTTTTGGCAAAATGGAGAAATTCCAAAATAAGTATCGTTTTCGGATTTCAATGCATTTTTTGTCAAAAATTTCCAAACATACCCTCAAAAGAAATAATATTATTGGGGAACATTTATTTTAATGGGGTTGGTTGAGGATATTCTAGTAATTTAGTTACCTTTATTTAATATTTTTTTAAACTATGTGCAAACTCTAAAATGACACTTATTTTGGAACGGAAAGAGTATTACACGAAGTTCTTTTACTTTGAATTCATAGAATAATGCCACATAGGATTTTCTAGGAATCATTAACCAGTTTCTCTTTCTGGTTTCTCCTTTATAATAAACTATAGATAGATAGATAGATTCTGATTCGTCTTAAATTTTATTTAGTATGTTTTTTCTAATCAAAAATAATATTTTAACATTTATAAATTTTATTTTTAATTAAAAGAATATACTAAATAAAATTTAGAAAAATTAAAATGTCTTATAATAACGACCAGACCAGAAGGAGTGTGAACATTATAGTAATAATAGCAATGGTAATTCGATGGAATCAAAGAGAAATAAATGTGATGGGGGTACTGTACGAAAGTCATGAAACAGTCGGTTGTAGTGGTGCCGGTGGAGAAGGATTTGATATCATTTCTGAAAATGACTTTACCTCCAAATTTCACATGCTCTACTTCCCCTACTATTTTTATCTGTCTCATCTCCAATTGAAGTTTTACAAGCTTCTCCAATGTGGTTATTGCCTTTTTTTCAGTGGCGCACCCCATGGTACTAACCTAGGTTATAACTAACTCTCTCATTAATGTAATATCTTTTTTCAGCGTTAAGTACAAGAACTGGAAATTTTCTGTGTTCTCATTTTGGTTTTATGAATGGTGAATTGGTATTTGGGCAGCTTATGAAAATATAATTAATCCTTTGAGCTTTCCAAAGATTAACTGCAATAATATGGATTACTGAATATGAAGAATTCACTCAATACGAAATAAAACTTACTCTCTCCATTTCAAAATGTAGGACGTTTTAGGTTTGGAGAGATTTTTCATAATTTAGGTCGTTTTACAAATTTTAGGCAAATTAATGACTATTTTTCCAAATTTACCCTCAATAGATAATGCTAATATATTTTTATTTAGTCTTGTTTATAATTTCAATGTAATTAATGAAGGATAAAAAAATATTTAACACATAAATTAATTGTTGGATGATTGTCTCCTTAGTTTACGTGTCAAGTCTAAAAAGACTTGTATTTTGAAATGGAGTGAGTATCAAAAGAAATCTATATGCATGACTGAAGGGTTTAGTTATTAAATTAATCACCGTATAATCAATTGGAATAACTAGCCTGCGTATGATTAAAGAGATGCCATACGGAAATGGATCTAAATACACCTGATTTATTCCCCCAAAAAATACACCTAATTAGATAGAGAAACCGGCGGCAGCAACCTCCTGAAGACATTAATTAGGGGCGGAAGCCGATTAATTACGGGAGTAAAAAAAAAAGATTTATTTGATCAACCTGAAAAACTACAGTGAAGAACACGATCGACACAGAATTTTCTTCTACTCCCGATTTGTGTGAGTATCACGGCCATGACAATCTATTGATCTGCCAATTTATTCTCTTTCTCCATTCAATCGAGCCAGACAACCAAATCATGCAATCGAACCAATCAACCAAATTTGAGAAGCATACGGCATCTTTGGTAAGGGTATATATAAATTTGTATTCTATATATTCGTTCGAACCATTAGTGAAATTTGAGTATATATACCTTGTAGCTAATATGATTGATGCATTTTTATTTTTTTCATTCCCTATTCATTACTTCTAAAATCCATCCAGAAAATCTCATTTAAATGTGGATAAAACCCCCCTTACAACCCTTGGTGAGAATTGAACCTTGGTCTATCAGGAGGAAAGACAGCAATCTAATCACTAAACTGTCATTTAATTCCCACCCATATTCTTTACTTCATATACTTAACTTTATCATATAACCGGTGGTTGAAATTCTTGGAAAGGTTTGCCATTGAGTAGTTACAAAGAATAATTAGAAGAAGTGGTGTCCTGTGAGAAAAAACGTTCAAGAGCTAAATATGAAAAAGGTTTTCAATAATCACTTGTTTTTCATGGGTTAAGGTCGCTTTGTAAGGAATTCACCTTTCCATGGTCCATTACTCTTCCCTATTTTACAGTCAAATATTGTAATGGTCTTTGATCAATAGTTAAAATTGTTAGGATCTATCTTCTTTATAGATTGTTTCCATCTGATGGGTGTCTGATTTTTGTTCTTGCATATGTTTAGATCTTCCATACAAAGATTTAAGTTGCTGCTTGCCTATATATATATGGTGTCTTATAGTACGCCATATATATCTATATATATATATATATATATATATATGTTTCGTAGTGCGAAATTCCTTTTAAGTTTAACTCAAATTTGGGATAACTAAATGTTATAGAACTTAGAATTATTTAGATAATCTCGTCGTGATGTAATTTTGTTGAAATTAATATTCTTTCCGTCACAAATTTATTATTTAATTTAAATTTTTTTATTTTTGATATAAATTAAATTAAAAGTAAAAAATTCAAACTGGAAAATAATTGTGGGACGAAGGAGTACAATTTAAATGAAACCTTCAAAAATTTGGTATTGGTACTTATGGTTTGAGATTTTTGTTAAACTGTTTCAGGTGGCTTGTGATGAGCCTAATTTGCTTCAAAATGTGAAAGAGTGAGCAGCCAATACAAGCCTCGAACAAAATTAAATTGCACAAGCAGGTTTTTAATTAACTCCTAAGGTGGATAATATATATCAAGAGATAGTGAAAACAAGAAGCGAGATTTTTACGACTTAGAGCAACATACCAAACGAAAGTAGGCCTCTAATAATATCACTCCCATATCACAGCTAAATTGAAGCCCACATACATATAAGAAGCACTCTCGTAATTTCTTCGGCCCATTTTTGTTTCTGAAATTAGTGCTGCTTCTGAGAGACCTCCTTGGTATCTTGTTGTTCTGATTTCTTGTCTCTCTTAATTTTGTCTCAATTCTCATTAATGGCTTAAGGCAAACATCGAACTCAAAGGAAGCAAGTCCTTGTTTAATTGAGCCACATGTTTTCCCCTTAAAATGTCATAGGAAGCGAGTCTCAACGAATAATAAAATGACATTATTAAAGTTCGAAAGTTAATACGTGACAGACGACGAATTTAAAATAACAAGAATACAAAGCAGTACTTTGAGAACCGTACACAAGATGCAAAAGTACAAGACAGCACTTTGTGAGACAATAATACCTCATACTTCGTTAAGAAAACAATGCAAATACATGTATCTAAATTCTAAAAGCTCATGTTAGAATTAAAAGATCCATAGGGAAATATGATCTATGTGGGATGGGGGAAAAAAAAAAGAGTTGTGAAAACTCATTATTTATTTGCCGATTGATAATCATTAGGCCGATGGCAGCGTCACAAAATCAAATCCTTGGTCACAAAAAGCGGTAACTATCCATAGCTTTAAGTTTGCCAAGTTAATGTCCATCTCCACTTCATTAATCTGTATTGATTAGAAAAAAAAAAAGAACATGAATGAGTTAAGAACAGAATCAGGACCAAATTAAGACGTGTTTTTTCAAAAAAAATTTAAGAACAATGTGAAGAAATTAACTTAAAACTAAAAGCATACAGTTAGAGTGAAGGTGAAGAAGTAGTTTTCAGCGGCGGTTCCCAAGTTGGAGCTGCGAACGCATAAGCCCAGAGAATCAAGAGCCTTATAAAGCAATGCTGCAATCCCCTGTCTCTTGTTGCATACTAATCTTACATAATATTCTCTTGATTCCACCTTGAATACCTCCATCTGCATTCCCAATATACAACATATAGTATTAAGTTGGTTTTTCCACGATCGATCACATATCTGGACAGCGTTTTTGTTTTTGTAATCGATGTTAAGAATTGTATACTAGTAATAATAATCATAAACCTGGAAAATCTTCTTGATTGCTGGAGGAGGATTGATGGAAGTTGTAGATGATGTTGTTCTTGATTCCTGCGAGGAAATTTCTTGAAGGTGGTTTTGATGAGTTTGGTTCAGAGATGACTCCAGACTGGCTACCTCAGCTTTGAGCTTATTTGATTTCATCTGCAAGTCTTGTACATAACGAATTGCATCCCCAATAATGGAGGCCTTATCCATCTGCACCATCATCAATCAACCAAACTTAACATTGTACTCATCAATTACCGCTTCTCTTCAAATTCTCATTGGAAATGCAGGATCAGGAATTTGTTACCGAAACATATAATTACAACTATAAAAAAAAATAAAGTAAGTTTTAGTTAGCGTTACTTATTTAAATAAAGTGTATGATATTAAAGTCTATCTGTAATCGACCACAAACGGTACAAAGTAAGGAAAAACATACTAGCTCTGTCCAAAAAAAATAATTTACGTTGAGTTCTGAAATCTGTACTACTTACCTTGGTGATATTAGGAACCAGGGCTCGCAATGCATAGAGTTTTTCTTTCATTCGGCCTCTCCTTTTTCGCTCCGAAATCAATGTTCTTGATCGATCAGGCCTTTTAGTCCTCTTTTTTCCTGGAGTACTCGTGTCATTGGTGGTTGTTGTACCCAAAGATTCATCATCATCCTTGCCTTCATCTTCTGCATTGATCTCTTCAGGGAAAGAATTCAATTCCGAGAAGCTCGCAATGTTGAAGTCACAGAGATCATCATCATTCTGGGCAAAATCGAACTGAGTTGCATCACCAGGCAGACAACCTATGACGTGGTCGCAATCCAAATTGGCACAAAACCGAGCAGCCGGCTCTATAGATTCACCTCTGATGAGCTCAATCAACTGCTCAAAATTGGTTTCGTCCATGAAATCTATGAACCCAAAATCACTGACATTCTGCACTTCAAGTGGCAATACCGATGAGACGACAACATCATTATTCATTGTCGATTTTTGTTCTGAATTAATATTTTGATAGGAATCAGTGTATTAAAGTGCCATAAAGTTTTGTACTACTTTATATGAATAAACATGCAGACATGCAGTACAAGAGTAGTTGTTTTTTGTAGTAGTGGTTTATAATTAATACAAGTAGAGAATTAAAGAAAAAGATTATTGGAGGTTGTGGTGTGAACGGGATGAGATTCTTATAGTCTGGTTTCTGTAATTTCTGCTAATTGTTTGAGAGACGACGATGATGATACTACTTCTTAATTTAAATATACGAAGAAGAAGCAGTTGACAATTTTGGTAGGCGAAAACAAAAAAGAAAAGAAATCGTGTGTACCTTAAATCATTGTGAATGTTCCATGCATGTATGGCTAAATTGGGTATAAATTAGTTTATTCTGTTACTTGATGATTGATCCATGGAAAAGAATCTTTCATAACTTATTCACTTGACTTTTTTCTTTCCTCTCAATTATTATTTTTATGCAATAAGAAAACGTTAAGATATGTAATTTGTTTGAAGGATTTACATTTTTTTTTCTTTTTTTTTTTGTGGAGAAACAATGAGGTGGTCAGTGAATGATTGATGTTTTTTCACTTACTTTTTATTTGGGAGAAAATCATCAATTTCATTAAATCCTGAACTGAGTGAATTAATTATGTTTTTCATTGTTGTTCAGAGGATAACTTAAGCGCTTATTTCTCTAAATCTAGATGCAGTCTTTTTTTTTTAATGGGTTTTTATTTTCTCCTTTCTCTAATTACTTATATCTACCAATATATATATATATATATATATATACATATATATATTTATTCACATTGAGCAAAGCCATCATTTTCAAGAACTGAAATTAGTATATAGTTATCTGTTAGTCTGTCCAATATTATTCTAGCTTATCCCTACTCAGTCAATATATGATGTTGATGGTACTCATAATCAACTATGAATCTTTCATAGCCATAAAAATTGCGAATTACTATACTTAATGCAACAGTTGTCTTGTTGTTTTTTTTTTCGCTTTTCTTTTTTGCTTTAAGAATAGGAGGTAATATGCCTGGTACCCTAAAATTAAAGGTCCCATGAAAGGAGAATTCAGATCATATGGTATGAAATTACAATGAAAAAGTCTCTAAAATAGTTACAAACTTCCCCATGAACAGAGAATTCAAATAACATTATATTCTAACCGATAAATTGCAATGAAGAAGTCTCTAGATGCATACTACATGACATAATATATGAGACTCAAACTTGAATCGCCAGAAACTCGATCACATTCAAAACCAGTAAGTTGTAAAAAGCAATCATTTTCATTTTTAGGCTGCTGATGCAGTTGGGATAAGATCGGAAATTTGAGAAAATAAGTACTCCCTCCGTCCCATAATTATTGTACTAAAAGTGAAATTTCAAACTAGACAATAATTTCAGAACAGAGAGAGTGTTGCAATAAATATAACAGTAATTTTGAGACGGGAATTCAAAACCTAGCTACACACATGAGAGAAGGTTCTCAAAACTACGTAACACAGTTGACAAATTAGGGGTCCAATTGAACGGTCTCAACTCTCAACATGGTGGAAGTGTGTAAGACATTTACAAGTACAGTGCAAAACACAATCCTAATCCAGAATTGACTTAAACAATGATTTCAGTATTTCCAAAATCTCATGCTTCCCACGGGCATAACTTGTGGCTTTTACACGCAAGCTCTCCGATTAGGCAGCAGCACCCACCGGTTTTTGTTAAACTTTAATTTGATCCTTTGGTTTAAGGGTCTCTTTTAATCATTAATTATCTTGTCTTAATTAAACTAGTACATGATTAAACCCCCCACTGTTTTAGGCTTAAATTAGCATTTCCGTTGTCTCCACTTGTTTTGAAAATACAGTAAACAGTTCAAACAAATCACTGAATATAAAAGTGAAAGTGAACGAACTAATAAATTTCCCGTCGATATGAGATGCCAATGAACTAATAAACCACGGCCTAGTTGCTTTGAACTCTATATCATTTTGACTAATTAACCAAAGATATTGATTTGACTCAATTAGATGACCAAAAATTCCTTCAAATTAACAGTGAAAAACTCAGTGATATTAAACTCGTGATACGAGTACATGCATAATAAGTTGTTTTTTTTTTTTTTTCTCCTTTGGGGTAGTTTATTAGTACTACAAGTAGCGTGTAACAAGATTATTGGCAGTTGTGGTGTGAACGGGATGAGATTCCTAAGTTATGGTATCTGTAATTTGTGTCAATTGCTTGAGAGACGGCACCAAAGATGATGATGTAGTAATAATTAATTTTTATTTTTTTTAAAGGAGTCATAATTAATTTTAATATAGGAGTAGCAGTTGAAAATTTTCATAGGCCAAAAAGAACTTGGGTGAGAGCCTCAAATCATTGTGAATGTTTCATGCACCTGCCTAAATTCTGGTCCGTAGTAATTGGTTTTATAATAATTATGATCATTGGAGCAGAATCATTCATAATTTATTTCACTTGACTTGGCTTCTTTAGTTGTCTCTGTTCTATTGGTCTTTCTTTTCTTTTCTTTTTTTTTTTTAATTTTTGGGTCTCAATTATTATTCTAATATGCAATGTATAAGAAGTGATAGCTAGATACTTGGTTCAATCTAGCTAATTTGCTTATAAGATTGAAACTTTTTTATGGTTTTTTTTTTAAAAAAATTCTTTTTGCCTTCTTTTAAGTTATTCATAAACTGAAGAGAATAACTTGAGCATATCCCTTGCTATTAAGTCAATGTGTGATGTTGATAGTACACACATGACCATCTATAGCAATAAGCTATTGTAGTTTCTTTCTTCTTCTTCTTTTTTTTTTCCCCTCCCTTTTTGAGCTATATATAAGGTGGCAAAAAATGCTTAAACGTTACATTTTGTGAGAAAGAAATTTTGATAGTAATGTGTTCTTAAAAAAAAAATCTCGAAATGATACACAACATCTATGAGGCTCATTAATTTCCAAGCACCAAAAACTTAATGCCAGCTAAATTCATTAATTAGCATCAAAGATCATTCTAATTACGCTGCATGAGATTAGCAGTTTCATTTCATGTATAAAAAAAATTATTAAGCAAGACATTCACAAGCTAATGCGGAGGTTCAAATAATTACGTATAGTTTTGACAAATTAAGGGTCCGATATATTTGGCCTGAATGATTATTTCACCATTTGCTAAACCTCATCATTAATTCCCACTGGGTAGTGGCATAGGTCTTGCCTTAATAAGAAAGCCTCCCAGAACGAGGACACCAAACCTGCACCAATTGATCCCTTTTCTTTTTTTTTTGAAATTATTTTTTATTAATTAAAGTATACATTGAACCCACATTGTCTTAACCATTTCCCTTTTATCCGCTTGTTCGAAAATACACACAAAAAAAAAAAAAAAGAGATGGAGAATGCCACTCTCACTTAAATCAAGTCATGGACTAATCCTAATTACCCTTGGTCAGTTAAAACAGTTTCACCATATTAAGTTATAGTAACATTTGAGTGATTTGACAAATAATGAGATAATAATTAATGAAATTGCTCGTGATATTTCCTCTGAAATGATCATCGCTTTGGTTTCGAGCGTTGACTGATCCAACAAAGGGCGTATCTGAAGAAAGTAAAATGAAAAATTAACAAAAAAAAAAAGGAAAATCTGAAGAAAGTAAAATTACAGCTGATGCGTGATTCCAGAGAAAAAAGCAGTTCACTATTACTAGTAAATGGCCAAATGCCATGTCTATATAGTACTAGTGTACTTCCTTTTTGTAACATCACTTGTTCACTTCGTAGTTGCATTTTTGGCACACACGTGAAAAAAAGACCCCTTTAATACTGGAGTAGCACTTGTTTTCTCACTTTAATTTGAAAAACGCCTTCTACTCCCTGTGAAAGTGAAACTGCATATTCTTTGCCAAAAAAAAAAAAAAAGTTTCACCTTTATCAAGATGTCTGGAATTGTATAAATTATGGAGTATGCCTTTTGTTTTTGTTCTTTGTCATTAATGAGTCAATTGAAGCGTTTGACGCATTTTTTGTGCTAATTAAAGCTTAAAACTTTGGTCCTTAAATTTATAGCATTCCTGCCCCTTACGAGTATCGTTCTACACTTTGCACATAGTTTAAAAAACTCTTAAATAGGATAATAAAATTACTTGAATATCTTCAACCAACCCCATTATAAAATTGTCCACCAATAGCATCAACTCTTTTGAGGGTAATTTTAGAAACTTTTGACAAAAAGTACATTGAAATGTGAGAACGACACTTATTTTGGAATTTCTCCATTTTGCTAAAACGACACTTATTTTGGAATGAAGGGAGTATTAAACTTAGATACATTTATCACTTTCTAGTTTCTACACTTATCAAGAAAGATTAGGGAAACGGAAAATACACTTTCATTTGAGTTATCAATGTCTTTCTTTCTTCCAAATATGCTTTCCTTACACCATTGAATTGAAATACTTGCATTTATTTTTTACTACCTCAAGCTATCGAAAGAAGTAACATTTACTGCATGCACAGAAAACCAGTGTTTTGCTTCATCATCTAGTTGAACTCTCGAAGCTTCCTTCAATTACCCTTGTCGTCTTCACCCATTTAACTGTGCATTATTTATTTATTTATTTATTTTGACGAAGGATTTAAAACCGTCTCCATAAGATTAAAGGGGAGCAAAAAGAATATCAGTAACGGGTGTTGAACTAAAACAATACTCCCTTCATTTTTCAAAATGTGAGCCGTTTTAGTATTTTTAAGACATATTAATGACTATTTTTTCTAATTTTTTTTCCTCAATATATGATGTCAATCCATTTTTATTTAGTCTTGTTTACAATTAATTAGGAATGAAACAGATATTTTAACACAGAAATTAATTGTTGAATGAATGATCGTGTCTTTAATTTACGTGCAAAGTCTAAAATACTAGTAATTTATATTTTGAAATGGAAGGAGTAAAACATTCGGTGTATTAATTTTGTGGAACAGAACACATTAATTCGTTTTTACAGTTATCTCACTGTTGGCTGAAGCCAGATCATTCCATTGGGCACACTGGTTCAGTGCTGCGATACTGTGTAACAAAGATCAGAGAAAATGACAGGAAGGGAATGCTCTGTTGTCTCACTGTTACATCAAATACAGCATGTTCAGTAATAGTGATAATAACGTTATACGTTTTGGTTGAAGGCCTCGAGGCATTAACCTTTTTAAGGCTTTAATCGTAAAGGCAGAGAATTTGACCTTGGAAACAAAACCAATTTTTGAGTCAACTATACTCCAAACTCCAAGCAATCCTATAAAGTTTTTCCAAGCAGCTCCTAGTGGAATCCCATGCCTCCTTGAAGAATGTCCTGTCCTCAAAAATTGGCTTTTCTATTCTGGAAAAAAAAAAAAAAAAGGACCCTTTTGTCTCCTCCACTTACTTGATCTCAAATTCCACTTTTATTATAATTTTGTTTTTTTTTTTTCTTTTTGAGGGAGGAGAGGAAGGTATCATGCCTGAATTCAACATTTTGGGTTTGATTTCTATCCAAATCAGTTGTTCATGTTTATTATAATGGACGAAATGGCGTTTAGTTCCTGGAAAAAACACTATGAGGAAACAAGTTACAAAAATCTGAATTCTATTCAGAAGGCACATTCTGTATGATGATGGCATTGCATCTGGAATCTCTCTCAATGTATTTTACTTCATAACATCAGATATATTGCAAGTTTTTTTTTGCAGCAAACTGTACATCGAAATCCTACTACAGATTGTAGCAGCTCGTGCCGTTTGTTAAATATAACATACCCAGCGTGATATTTACTAGTTAGAACGTACAAAAGAGAGGATCTACACAGATGACCACTAATCTGTACTCCTTCCAAGTTCTAAGATATTCCCTACTGAGACTATTAGTTGCTCGGATAATCTGCTGATGCTTTCGATTGTATTATAACCCGAGCTCCTGAAGCAAGCCTGTTGCGCGAAATTAACAGAAATGTTAGTTTGACCGAAGAACTAACAGATGAACTTAATTCAAATTATGAGCCAAACCCTACAAAAAGTATTATCTCAAAACTCAACTTTCTTCGATTTTGATCATGTTGTCCTTCTCCTCCCTGAAAGAAGCTCCCCGACTTGATGCCTTTCTCCCGGAAGAAGGTTCAGAATGTCTCTTGCTCCCTCCATTTGATACGTCAGAGGTGATACTACGTGAACTCTCCATTCCATCAGATGAGATCCTAGGTCCATCAGAAAGAGGAGATCTCATCGATTCGCTTCTTGGCTGCTTTGTTAGTGAAGCCTTAATTGACCGTGGAATGCATTTGGAATGGGATGTGCTTGTCTCTTCTTTTTCCTCATCCAAATCAAACTCTTTATTGGTCCTGCATTCATCAAACATCTATCATGATAAGGCTAGATACGGCTATACTTGAAAAGTATTAATGGTAAGCTAGAAAACTATCATGCCAACATTTCCACACTGAACTAAATGTAGAAAGTAACAAGGTTCACAGTCCATAGAATTTATCTAGGTTGCCATTCAACAACACAAAGGGGGATCTAGTAATACATGTATCAGCCTGCGGTTGCCCTGTGGTATACAACTTCAGAAGATGAGGGTTTTACGCAAATTTCTGGAGAAAAATAACTCATCGACATAGATTTGCATATCACTACTAGGAAACGAAGGTGATTAAACATGAGCATATGACGACCAGAAAATTTACCAGTGCATGTGCTACTAGAAAAAAAACCCCAGATGCTACATGAAGATCCGATTGCAGCAAAGAAGTGCATCAAAATAGACAACATGGTAAAACTTATTTTGCTTATCAACATGATATGAGCAAAGCATATACGTTATGAAGCCACAAGTACGATAGAGATTGGATTAACCTGTCAGCATTGTAGGAAGAAGATCGTTTTAACGTAGGAACTCCTTCCTTCCGGGCATTTGTCTCAACCAAGCTGCCACTGAAATATTCCTTATCTTCCAACCTCAGGCCTATGAGCCTAGGATTCTCAGTCATGCAGTCTAGCTCTCCCAACATAAAAGAAGACGAGAAGAAGGGAGAGGGAAGTTTTGACCCAGTCAACCTTGGCTTATAAGTTGGAATAATACCAAAGCTGTGATCCTTCACTGAAACCGATCCACATGAGATCAATTGCATCAGCACATTTGCAGGCTTAAACTTCGTATTATGAGGCACTCGAAATTCCTCTTCTTCCAGAATTCTAAAACTATTAAATTTACCAGCTTCAGCTCTAATGAGAGCTTCGTTGTATTTACTAGCATCAGCTCTAATGAGAGATTCCAAGGTATCAGTCCTAGCACCAGAGGATGATGCACTCGATGAAGATGGAGGAGTTGAAACATAATCACCGGTAATCTCAGATGTTTCTTTAACTTGAGATGCTTGGGCCTGAGTGGCTCCGTTTTGAATTCCTGACGTTCTATCTTCAGTTGAAACGCCTCGTGTACAAGTCTCTCGAGCTTTATTAACTCGATCACCACTCTCTTCGGTCTGAGTGGAGGCATCAGCTAGACCATCCCCCTTGTAAACTTTGTACTCTGCCAAGCTGAGAGAACCATTCCAGGACGAATTCTTCCCAACACTAGATTCTGGGGACACAGCCGACGACCCTGGACGCTGAATTGGAGGAGAAAGCTCATCATCCTGGGAATGTTTTGTAGCTCTGTCATTCATACTGGACGATGATGAAGAATCATCTTGGCTTCTTGCAGAAGGTGGTTCTGGTAACGCTTTAGGATTCGGTAGTCTAATGGCAGCAGCAGGACTAAAGCCACCTGGAAATGTCGTTTGTGTAACAAAAAAACCAAGAAAAAGGCATGTTATATGATAGCAAAGAAATGATCTTTTCCAATTCATTATCAAGCAAGACAGATAGAAGTTAAGGCAAATAGACATCCTCAACATCACGCAGTATACCTGAATTAGAGTCTTCAAAGAGCTCAGAACCTTTTAGGACATACTCATTTCCGTGAGCAGGCAGGATTAAGTCATCTTCGCATAGATCATGCCATACAAAACCATTCTTATAGCTTCTGCAATTTTTAACCATCCATTAAAATCACACAAAGGGGGAAACAGAAAAGTCACAGTAATGTAAGAAAGTGGCGGCACAACACAAAACTCTCACCTCTTGCAAGACCAAGAATACATGGAAGCCATGCCTCTGCCACGTAAAACATTTAGCCTCTCAATCACATCTGTACAGTAGCAATAATTAAACTCAATTAGTTCAACACTGGAATTAATCAATCAAGAGTAACCAACAGATATACATTATAACCAGTCAGTTTCCTCTTGAAGTTGTAATAAATCCCAACATTGCAAATCGCAAACATCACATATTTCCCCATTCAAGGCCATTTTTTCCTCAACTACAAAGCCCCAAAACAAACGAACACAGAGCGATTCCAATTAAAGTACTAAACTAGGCCCTAAATAAATAGAAACGAAATGGACATTACTATACAATTTTAGTACTACAGTACCTCTGAGGAAGAGTCCATCAGGGGAAGAGAGTGGAACTTCAATGAAGTGAGGATGCTCCAGCTGCCGGTTTCTACAGAGGTAATAAACCACCGGAACTCTAGAATTACCACCATTCCTTTCCTTCTGATTTTGATCCGGATTATGATGTTGGTTCTGCTTACGATGATGATAACCTTGGCTATTATAGTGATATTTAGGAGATTTCTCAGTCCACACCTTCGCCCTCTCCGGGCTAGCACCGCCATTGTTCACTTGCCTGCTACCACCGCCGCCATTGCTACCATAATAATACTTCTTCATACCCGCTTTCCCTTCCATTTCATTAACCCAAATACACCATCTGGTTCAACCCAAGTGGTGAGATTACAACAGATCTCAGACCTTATGAAACGCAAAGGGAAAAAAGAGAACAACCCAGATGAGAGAGGCACTGTGTGAGTGTGTGAGAGAGAGTGAAACCCAATTTTGGAGGTAATCTAAAGTGGGGTCGAGGAATTGGTGAGTTAATGCACAGATAAATGGGGGAGTGAGGGAATTTAATACTGTTTATATTAGTGATGGAGAGTGAGACTGAAGAAGAAGAAGAAGAAGAGCAGCCTGAACAAGTGAAGAAATTGATTTGATGGGTAACCAAAAAATGGCTTAAGCAATAAATATTTATGGCAACAAGAAGACAAAGCAGCACAGCAGACAGCTAGGAAAGAAAGACTTGTGAAAAAGATCGAAACTTTTGAAAGGGATGTATGAGATACGATGCAAATATATGGCCCCAGGAGAGAAAGGAGCAGCAAAACAAGAACATGGACAAATGTTATCACTGTTACACTGTCAATGGTGGTGGTGGTGGGATGGATCGGACTTTGGAGTTTGGAGAAGACAACCAACCCATCTCCATCTCCATGTAGTATAAATCCAAATCCCCGTTTTTTGCGTTCTTTTTTCTGCTTTGCCACAATTTTGCATATGATATCTTTGACACACTTTATAAAAGCCTACAAAGGAAGGTAAAACCTTGCATTTAATTCTTTACAGTTTGTTTGTAGTCTGTCCTTTTTACCTTTTCCCTCATTTTCTGCACACTTTTGTCTTCTCCAATTTTTTTCCTTTTACCAAAATGGTTGCAATGTTTTTAACTCTCTTTACAAGTGTTTGGGGATTAGATTGTCACATTTTGTGATGTGATTGTGTAGTAACAAAATGTATCCCTCCAATTCTGAATATAAGGCATTTTGATTTGTCATACGTTTCACCTAATACGTATTTTTAATTGATAAAAAAATACGTAATAGATAAAACATAAAGCTTATTATTAATTAAAAATACGTATTAAATGAAACGTATGACAACTTAAAATACCTTATATTAAGGACCGGACTCCAGAGAGAGTATTTTCCGTCCCAAACAAATAACACAGTCATTTTGAAATACTATAATTTAGTGAATACGGATGGTGACAAGTTGATTTTATGCAACATGATATAAACCGTAACAAAATTGCACTTGAGTAAATAATAAACTTTAGATGGAGGTAGGTTAAGAAGATAAGTTAAAAAAAATGTAAATCGTTCAAATTCAAAACAGCAACGGATGGTTTTGTGTGTACTGTATAATAAATGATGAACCACATTAAAATTAAACATGAATTTTAAACACAACACAGGAATGTATCTCCTGCCAAGTGCCAAGGTCGTTGACTTTCATAGGTTAGGTGGGTAAATTTGAGATGATGGAGAAAATCAGAACAGGAGAATAAAGTCAGCTATGTTGACCTTTTTTTATTCTGCAGAATTTTTAGCTTCATTTTCAACTGTACACCACTTAGTAAGTAGTAGTAGTATTAAGAGTTTGTAATAATATTAGTATAATTGCACGCCAATCATATGATTTGTTAGGTATATTTGGAAGCATTGTCTCGTGTAATGTTTTTTGCTTTGACCTTTCTTCTTTACACTTTACAGAAGAAGAGGGGACAGAGGCTTTTTTAAACCATCGCTCTCAGAGGAGGACTAGTGTGTGACTGTGTGTAGTTTTTTTTGGACAGGGGGAGGCTGGCTTTTGTTTTTTGGTTGATTCGGTGGGGCTTTTCTATCCTCTGCTACGATGTTTGTTTGCATCCGAGTGGCCTTCTTCCATTTTGTCATCTCATATCCCTTTGGTAAACTCTCTGGTAAAAGTACTGAAGTGTGTCTGTCTTGGGGACTAATTGCATTTAACCGTGATAAGTTAATCAATTATCATCTAACTAAGGATATTAAAGGTTAATAATGTGGTTTACTGCGTACGTGATCTCCTCGTTAATCGGGTTCATTTCCTCTCAAGACCTAATATATCAAGATGCAATTCCAGATTTACTTGATGAGTGAAAAAAATGCACCTTTTCATTTATTTATTTCTTTGTTTATTTCCTTGCAAGTGGACTACTATTAGTGCTCATGACTCATATGACACTAGATCCTTATTATGTCTATAATGCTAATACTAATATATATGTATTGTTAATTCCAAATATGAATCAGTGGCGAAAAGAGGGCATAATTTGGAATTCCGCGGAAGCACATCTGCAATTGATTGTGCAAATAATCTATAATGCTCTAGGACGATTTATGTAGTTCTCAATCCAACCAATGGTTGAGACTCGTGATTCTTGAGCTCTGGCTTCTGACTTCTAAGTTCTAAGTAATCCAATACTCGATTTATCGTGCACATTCAGAATAATAAAAACATTTACAATAGTAGTAAATTAATATAAGTAGGAAATAACCACTTATTTATTATTGTGTTATTAAGTATGATAATATTATGCGGGGATGAATGAGCGGATACGTCCCAACGTTTATATTAATTTGTTAATTCATCCTAATATTTCAAAATTAATTTATTACATCCCAAAGTTATTAAAATTAGACAAATCCATCCCATGACCTGCAAAACAACAAAAATTATCAGATATAAAAAGTAAAAATTTATTGGTCTCATATTTATTCTTTTTTTTTTTGCTCATTTTCTATTTTTGTCATGTTTTTAGTTCATTAAAAAACAAATAAAGTTTGTAGTTAAAAAAAAAAACTCAGAAAAAATTAATTAATTAATAAAAAAATTATTCATCACAAATGAAATAACTTACAATTTAGAATCACCTAAAAATTAATTAATTTTTGAATAAAAATATATATATGTGAAATCTTTATCATTCTTTTTTTTTTACTTAAAATAAAAGAATTTTTTTTTTGAAAGTTTCTTAACTTCTATCAAAAAATTAAGATGAACTAGATTTAGAAAAATATTGGATCTGATAATAATTAATTAATTTCTTAGTTTCTCCATTTGTTAATGTTGTTTATCTTTCAAGAAACTAAAAACAATTTAAAAATTCTTTTTTTTTAAAAAAAAAAAAGCAAAAATCTTAAATACGGGATTCAAATAATTGTTATATGTTATATCAAGTCACTTTTATTAGTCTGTAGGTCATGGGATGGATCTGCTCAATTATGATAATTTTGCGATGTAATTAATCAATTTTAAAACTTTAGGATGAATTCGCAAACACGGTATAAACGTCGGGATGTATACACTAATATTTCCTATTATGTGATTTAAGAATTCTTACACAGTATAATGCACTCTTTGGGGTTAAAATATAATTAATATGAATTTATGATGATACACTAAATATTTCATTTTATTATAATTGTATAGTGTATAAACAAATATATTGAAAAATTGAATAAAAGTGTAATATTAAAAAATGACATTGTACTCACAATTGTGTAAATCATTGTGAATGCTCTACTAATGCCCGATTAATATGACTCCGTGATTGTTTTTGTTTGGCCATTCAATTCTCCGTTTTATGTGATGGATTTGAGTCTATATTATCAGGAATAAAATATTTTTTTTAAAAAAAATGAAGGAATTGTACATAACATATGACGTACAGCGAAGTGACTTATAGGCCAGTCTACCACCATGTCCTTTGATGCCATTATAATCGGCCTTTTTGACCTAATGTCCATAATGTTGCTGAGATGAGAGCATACATTAAGAACGGTGATATTTTTCTGGAAATTTGATGAATTCAGTGATGGAGGAGTATGTCAGTTGGATTACTTCACTTTGTTCACATCTGTACTTTCGTTTTGTTTAGGGTTCTCCTATGTACTATCTTTGGCGAGAGATCCAAAAAGTGTGAGCTAAACTAGAACTGACTTTCTTTGTCCTTAAAGTTGGTCTATTTTCACAATTAATTTGTTATTTGTACTGTTTGTTACTATAATAAAATTATTATAAACTATAATGTGAATTATTTTTTTATGTGGAGACTAAGGGAATTTGTATCTTGTTTGCTTGGGAATCGAATGAGAGTTTTTGTAGTTACAATGTTGTATTTTTTGGGAGTAGATCGGGTTTAATTCTTATTTCTAAGGAGATTTTTCTTACATTGTTAGGAGAGACTCGAAAAAAGATCAACTCCGTTCAAACAAGAATTAATTAGATGAATGAATTTGCACACGGGCTTAATAATACTCCATCCGTCCGGAATTAATTTGTCTCTACATTGAGAAATTAATTAGAGGAACAAGAATTAAGTAGAGGAAAAAGAAATAATTAGCGGAATGAATTTCTCTCTATATTGAGTTTTTCAATTTCGTACTCATTCCAGTCCTTATTATAAAGTATTTTGATTTGTCATAAATTTCATTTAGTTTATTTTTATAATAAAAACTAAAAATTCAAAAATATTTTCATAATATCTGAGAGAATACAATAAATGCGAAAATATGTACTTGGAGGTATCTTAAAGTCATTTGACTGTTTTTCAGTCCCAGAACCAGTTGTCTGTTGATGTTATTTTCTTATTAATCAAAATTCTTCTCTTCTGCCCTCGCGATCACTTAATTAAGTGATACGAGGGAGTCTTTTCGGAACTAATCTATATAATAATTGACATATATTTTGCCTTCATATAATGTGCAGTATCTATATGATTCATTTGTTGAAGAATCTGGATATTTTCAATTCGCCAAAGAGCTAACATCAAATAATGTTGAGGAAATTGAGCATTTTTTTGAGGCTGCTGTTTATAGTAGGTAACTTGCATTTCTAAAAGATTGAGATTTGATACTGTGTGATTTTGGTGAGGAACAACAGCTTGTCAGCCTCTTCCGATTTTACTCTATAGGCGTATTTAGTGTTTATTATGTGTTCTGTGTCCCAGTACTGAAGGGTTGGTCATCAAAACATTGAACAAAGATGCCACATATGAGCCTTCCAAACATTCAAATAACTGGTTGAAGCTGAAAAAAGATTACAAGGAAGGGTAAAAACTTTTATGCGCATGCATGACATTTACTTAAACTTGTTCCGATTGGACTACCTCACTTCTTCTTGTCTATGATGTGCAGTGTTGGAGACTCATTGGATTTGGTTCCTATAGCTGCTTTCCATGGCCGGGGGGAACGTACTGGTAATTATATATAGTAATTTGACTTTATGCATCGCGGTGTTCATTGTATATACTGTGACTTTTAACTGCATTGCCTTCTGTTTTAGGTTTGTATGGATCTTTTCTCCTTTGCTTGTTGCGATAATGATAAAGAGGAATTCCAGACCATATGTAAAATCGGTAAGCATTCTAGGTTTCGCTATGGAATCCGGATATCGGGATATGTATGGTTTCTTATTACATACCTGGAATCTCTTTTTGTGGTTTTTTTTAGGGACAGGATTTACTGATGTTGTGCTTAAAGAGCTGTATCTCAGCCTCAAATCTCAAGTTATACCTCAGCCCAAGGTTATAATCTCAATAGTTCTTCTTTCATAGTTTTTTATGACAAGATCTTTTTCATTTTGGGTATATGCTAAATGGATTCTGACTACTTTCCCTTTTAATGTCTCTCAGTCTTATTACCGATACTCCGAGAATCTCAAGCCAGATGTGTGGTTCGAACCTACTGAGGTTAGTAACCCTCTTCTTTGTCCTAATTTTAGTTGCTCTTCTGTCTCTCATTTCTTCCATACGTTTTTGCGGTCTTTTCAAATTTCACATTTTTTCTGCATATGACTTTGAAATAGGTTTGGGAAGTAAAAGCTTCTGATCTAACTTGCAGTCCTGTTTATTCTGCTGCTACTGGTGTTGTAGCTCCTGACAAGGTACGCATTACGTTTAAATTTTGTGTTTTGCGACATTTCTCATTGGATGTGCAAATTGTTACCGAAACACTTTTAAAAAATTTTGGAAAGAGAAAGAAGTCAGAATTTTGCGGTTTTCTTCGGGTCCGAGAAGAGAAGAAACCGGAGGACGCCACACCGTCGGAAATGGTAGACAAAGCCTCTTCTTTGTTCATCGTATTTTATCTTTTCGGAACAAGGCTAGCTAGGAACAAGGCAGATTTAATCGGAAAATGAATACTTTTAGGGTCTAAGGAAGGCAACGTGCTTTACATGTTAAGTTTTTTCTGGATGTAACTAATTATGTAATTTACTCCAAATGAGTTACTATCTCCAAGTGTATGTATAGGCAATAGAAATATCCTATGCAAGAGAACAACCATAACTAAGAAAATATTACTATCATTTTCAGTAGATTATGCATTGGACCAACCAATTTATTTATGTGGTAAAGGTGAGAACCTTTTGGGAATCATTACCTCATTTGTAAAGTCTTGTCCTGTTTTAAGGTACTTGGTGAGTTGGTTTGAGTTATTTAGGCCTACAGAAAAAGAAGAGAGACAACCTGAGAAGGTTATGAAATGTTGTTTCCTTCGACATCTTGAAGCAATTAATAGAGACACAGATATTGTACTCGCACAAGTGAAGTGGAAATTATTACGTTCTTTTTAGAGAATGCGTTTGCGCTAAAAGATATTTCTTCTGTTCCAAAATTATTGTCCAATTTGATATTTAACTTTTAGTACAATTTCAATTAGAAATGAAAACTCAAACTGAACAATATTTCTTCTTTAATTTTTTCTTTGGAGAAAAAAAGATACACCAAATTGTGAGCCGTGACCGATGAAGGGTGTAAAATTGATTGTGGATTTTCTCAAATCACTAAACTATTACTAAATTAAGGTCTTCAATAATTATTTGCAGAGATATTTTAAGAGCTGGTCATATATTTGAAACGTTGAAGCTTAATAAAATGCAATTTGTACTTTGATTAGTATCATGTAAATTAAGATGGTATTCTTGAGAATTTGTGACAAATTATCTCACAACTTGTCGAGAGTTTGTTGTTGTTTTTTTTAATTTTATTATTTTATTTCATATTTAATAAAAAGCGTCTGAATGAGATTCCTCAAATTTGTTTTTTTTTTTTGTAAGAAAAATAAATGTAAATTGAAAATAATTTGCCTTTTGCGAAGCTTCTATCGCATTTTTCATTTTTGGCCCAAACTGCCTTAAAAACGCCTTCCAATTTTCCAATTTCCCGCGAAACTTGCCGCGGATCTTCCCTCCATCCCCAAACCATTACCACCGGAGCCGACCTATCCCCGCCGGCATTGATTTATACTTCTCCATTTTCAATTCCGGTCACCATAAACAGTGGGTTTCTATGAATTGATGATTACAGCACTGTCCTCACTCTCTCTACGCTTCACCCACCACAATCTCTGTCTCAAATTTCCCATCAAAATCATCGTTAAACCCTGCTTCTTCCCCTCAGCTAGAAGCCCCTTCTTCCATAGCTCTCCTTTACCGTCAACCTTTATCAATCTCAGAGCCATGGCTTCTAAACGGTCCGCGTTCGACGTTCTCATGCCCAAGGCCGCCAAGAAACGGAACCCACCGCCGGCACAGAAACAAGAACCCGAAACCCAAGAATCAAAAGCCCTAGGTTCTCAAACCCTTGCTCAGTCTACGCCGGAGATTTCCAATTCGAAAGAAATTAAAGAAGCCCAGATTGAGAAGAAGAGTCCTCAAAAGGAAGCTAAGAAGGAAACGAAGACGACCAGTGATGCGGATTTGAGCGCCAAAGTTGCCCAGAGCGTTGTTGAAATGAAGAAAAAAGCGGCTGATTTCAATCCCAAGAAGGCGGCTTATTGGGGAAAGGACGAGAAGGTCCCGTTCATGTTTGTAGCGAAGGCGTTTGATGAAATCTCCAGGGAGTCTGGCCGGATTGTGATCACTGAGATTGTTTGTAATGTGCTAAGAACAGTGATTGAAACGACGCCCAAGGACTTGTTGCCGGTGGTTTACCTTTTGGCTAATAAGATTGCTCCAGCTCATGAAGGATTGGAACTTGGAATTGGTGACAGTTCAATTATAAAGGCACTTTCCGAGGCATCTGGAAGCAAGGAGGCTCATATAAAGAAACAGTACAAGGTGATTCCGCTTCTTTTTCCTCCTTGCAAACAAATTTATTTTATTTTATTTTTTTGTTTTGCTTATTGTTTCCTCACTGCAAAAACAATATCAAGGGACTCGGTCATTGAAATGGAATTTCTGATGACAATGGACAATTGCTACAAGTAGGATCCTTACTCGTGATTTAGGAATAACCAAAGTTGCCTTTTGGACCTTTGATATGCTTAATGAATGGAAAGATGACAAGAGAAATAAAGAAACAATTAAGTTCAAAACAGAATGGGTGAGTGGTTTGGTAAATGTTAGCATGAGAACTAAATTTATACGTAGTTGCTTGTTTGAACTGGGCATTGTCATAATTCCACAAGTACAAGAAGCTTGGTCTATGAATTTCTAATTTTAGTTGGACTTAGAATCTTGTAGCTTCTACAATCTGACTATCTTAATGTGGTTTGTGTATGTTCTCCCCTCCTGGAATTTACTTTCTCATTTTTGTCTACTTTCTTTTTTTTTTTTTTGCTCAAAATATGATTTGTTGCAGGATCTTGGAGATCTGGGCCTTGTTGCAAAAGCTAGCCGTTCTTCTCAGTCTCTCATGCGAAAACCAGAAGCATTGACTGTCGCCAAAGTCTTTGACTCATTTCACCTAATTGCTAAGGTGCATTGTGTATAATTTCACCCCATCTTTTGGATGTGGATGTTCTGTCATGTTCTCACAAGTCCATGTATGTATTCTGTTAATAAAATTTATCATACTGTTTGTTTTTTAAGTTTTTTCCCTAGCTCTGATGGGCTGAAGGAACACAATTTTCAATGACGTCTCAAATGTGCTCCTGAAAATCAATTTAAAGAGCTCGTCACATTCCTTTACTTGTTTAAGAGAAACTAGAACAACTTTCCTGAACTTATAGTGGGGAGCAAGTGAATTATTTTATGAATTGCTGGATGGATGAAAGTATATTTGTTCTGTCATTTAGTTAACTGTCTATACACACCATCTCTATTAGGAATCTGGTAAAGATAGTCAGGAGAAGAAAAAGAATCGAATCAAATCACTACTAGTTGCGGCAACTGATTGTGAACCTCAATATCTGATACGTCTTCTCCAGGTAAGGACATCAGTGGGATGATATTACACAGTGGCATACTCTTGAATCCTTTGTAATTTTTTATTCTATTTCGCGTGCAGGCAAAATTGCGTATTGGTTTGGCTGAACAGACCCTCTTAACTGCTCTGGGCCATGCTGTAGTTTATGCTCAGAAGAATCAATTCTCACCTCCTGCAAATGTGGACTCGCCTTTAGATGAGGTATCCTATAACGAGGGGTGTATTTGTTATGGGTCCTACTTTAGTTTGCTCACAGCATGGGCAAAGTTGAGTAGTTGTTTTTTATTGGTACTTCATTATATTATGTTGATATATCATTTTCTACTATTCAGGCTGCCAAAATTGTAAAGCAAGTTTACTCCGTTATCCCAGTATATGATAAGATAGTTCCTGCTCTTCTTGATGGTGGAGTATGGGATCTTTCAAAGACATGCAACTTTTCTCCTGGTGTTCCTATTGGACCAATGCTAGCAAAACCAACTAAAGGAGTATCAGAAATACTGGATAAATTTCACGATACAGTTTTTACCTGTGAATACAAGTATGATGGAGAACGTGCACAGGTAGTAAGACACTCAGGGCAGCTTTTTTAAAACATTATAATGATTTATCCATTTCAGTTGACAGTGCTAACTATGTTTTATATGTTTTCGTCATGCAGATACACTATATGGATAATGGTTCAGTTGAGATTTACAGTCGCAATGCAGAACGAAACACTGGAAAGTTTCCTGATGTTGTGGAAGCTATCTCAAGGTAGCTTTCTTGGAATTCAGTTTCCTGCTTTAGTTTATGGGAAAATGTTATTACGTCAGTACTAGTTGTATGCATAGGAACAGCCTCTTCATTTGTGTGGGTTAGATTTGTATCTTGCACCTTATTTTCTGTACCACCATGCAAGAGGAGGTAGTTTGGTCCTTCATTACTTTGATGACATTAACAGATTCATGAGAGTTTACCAAGATTCAGAATATCTCAATTTTCCAAATTAACAATTAGTTTTGCTAACTTTTGTACACCTGTGGGTAAAATCTGATTGCCAGTCATCCTAACAGTTTATATTTTTTATTGCAGAGTTAAAAAACCCTCAATAACTTCATTTGTTCTTGATTGTGAACTTGTTGCATATGACCGTGAGAAGAAAAAGATCCTCCCTTTTCAGGTAAACTGTTTACTGCTAGCTGCCTTGCTCTGATCAATCTTGTTTAAATTTGATCTTCAATCTTCATGGTCTTCCTTTGTGTGTCACCTGTAGTTTCTTACTCTTGGACTGTGTTATTATCATTATAGCATTCGTCATACTTTCCTTATTGATTATGTCAAACTAACATATGCGTGTTCCCGTGTTTCCGTTCATATGAGATATTACTTTTAATTTGGGATTCTTGATTGTCAAAGTATATAACATAACTTGGGATCATTGCATAGCCTATGTCTTTCTCGATGGATGAGAAATGAACCAGAGTCAAGAGTATGCAGCTGTCTTCACTCAACAGAAGAGGAATATTTGGTTACATTTTTGCCATTACACTGTTATAATATTCACGCCAAATGCGATGGATTTATCAAACCTACATATGCGCATTCATTACGTGTAATTACTATAAATTTGGAATTCCTGATTGCCTAAGTATGACACAATTGGCATCGTAGCATATCCAATGTCATACTTGATGGATGAGGAATGTGGCAGAGTTACAAGTATGCACCTGAATATTATTTTGCTGCTTTAATTCAACAGAAGAAGAATAATTGATTACATTTTTGCTATTACACTGTTACAGCATTCATTCCATGTGGGATGATGTTCTAATTTTTTGTTTACCTTTAGTAGAAATAGTAAATTTATGTTTGCTGACTTCAGCAAAGCATCGTTTGTCCTCATCTGGGAACTTCAAAATATCTGTGCCCACCATATTTTTAAGTTCAAGTACTGCTCAGGGAATTAGATCACTAGTTTTAAGAAATTCAAATAGCCTACATATGGTAAGGACCTGTTAGGAAGAAAGAATTTATCAGGGTCACTGAAGTTTGGGTATCTGGTTTTTGAGTCCTTAAGTAGATTTCCCCTTCCCCCATCCAAAATGGTGCCAGATGGCATAATCCTTTTAAATTCTCTTATAGTCTTAGTATTCATCTTAGTTTTGCATCTTTTTTTCTTATTTTTTTCCCCTTGTATCAAGCATGCAGGAGATTCTATGCACCTGGCTACCTTTTTTTTTTCTCCAAGCTCCACATGGACTTTGAGAAAAAGAAAAAATTTCTTTGGAATTTTTGAGCAGTATGTGAAATGTTGAATTACAGGAAAATGTGGAAATTCTTACAAGTAATATATTGTTGGCAGGTTCTCAGTACACGAGCTCGTAAGAATGTAACTGTGAGTGAGATTAAGGTTGATGTTTGCATATTTGCGTTTGACATGTTGCATGTCAATGGTCAACCTCTTCTACAAGAACAGCTTCAGAAACGTAGGGAGGTAGGCTCTTTTGTTCCTTTTATACTTCTTTACTATTATTATAGTTTGAAATATGAATCTTCTAGTTACAAAGGACGTTATTAGTTATTCTCTTTTGTTACAATGCAGATTTTCATTTTATGGTTTTCTTTCCTTGTCATTTTTTATGAAGTGATTTTTGTTATAATTGTCATGTACTTTGCCTTTACTTAATGTGCAGCATCTATATAGTTCATTCATTGAAGAATCTGGATATTTTCAATTTGCTAAAGAGGTAACATCAAATGATCTTGAGGAGATACAGAATTTCCTTGAAGCTGCTGTTGATAGCAGGTAACTTGCATTTCTATGCAATGTGTTAGAATTTCGTTCTCTGATGAAAACCGAAGAATCAACTAGGATCTATCCGTAGAGTAAATCAGCGTTACTATTTGTGGTACAACTTTTTTCTGGGGAGGAAACTATGTGCATTACTTCTTGCGACATGCCAGCAGTGTTAGTTGAACTTTTTGGGTTGATCTTATTAAGATAAGTAAGCTGTGCACCTGCATCTTGCCACAGTGTAGCATGATTAGTTGAAATTATTCCAGTAAGCTCTTCCACGCTTATGGCTTTAGGTAAAATTCGTTGTTTGTCCTGCAACTTATCTGTTTGTGTTTTACATGTCTTTATTTATTATTTTTTCCTTTGTGGCAGACTGTGGTACGAGTCTTTCTTGTGTGTGCACAGTTATATGCTTAGCTTATTCACTCTCTTGGATTCTAGTAATAAGCATTTTGGATTGCGGAAAGAATTGCAATCTTTATCATATTAGTTCCACCTTTGGCTCTTTTCTTTATGGCGCACTGCTCAACTTTCCCATCGTTGTATTCCATTTAGCAGTTACCTGACAGAGTTCCTAATGATGTACCATTAGTAAAATTTTATTTGATTTATTTGAGGAACAGTAACTTGTCAGCCTCTTCCAGTTTTCACTCTTTTGGGATAGTGATGTGTTCTTTTTTTCTCGCTGCAGTTCTGAAGGTTTGATCATCAAAACATTGAACAAAGATGCCACATATGAGCCTTCAAAACGTTCAAATAACTGGTTGAAGTTGAAAAAAGATTACATGGAAAGGTAATACTTTTTGTACATAACATTACTGAAAACTTTCTCAGTTTGTGTAACCCGTTTTCTTCTGTTCATCATATGCAGTATTGGTGACTCACTGGATTTGGTTCCTATAGCCGCTTTCCACGGCCGTGGGAAACGTACTGGTAATCTATTTAATTTCTCTTCTATAAACTTAAAGAGGAAACTATAGTTTGTGATTCAGATTGTTTATCATTTTTTTCTTTGATAACATCACTGTGTTCCTTGTACATATTATTATCACATAAATTTCATTGACTACCTGTTTTAGGTTTTTATGGAGCTTTTCTCCTTGCTTGTTATGATAGCGATAAAGAGGAATTCCAGAGCATATGCAAAATTGGTAAGCATTAATGATTTTACTGTGAGATCTAGATATGTATTACGAGTTCTGATCTTCGACTCATTCCTGTACCACATCTTTCTTCATAGTAAATACCTGGAAACTTTTGTGTTTTTTCAGGCACTGGATTTACTGATGTCGTGCTTAAGGAGCGATCTCAGAGCCTTAAATCTCAAGTTATTTCTGAGCCCAAGGTTATTCTCAATATTTCTTCCTTTATTTCGTAACAGGATATTTGTATTCTAGGTAATGCTAAGTGGATTCTGACTACTTCTCTTTTGATGTCTCAGTCTTATTACCGATTTTCAGAGAATCTCAACCCAGATGTGTGGTTCGAACCCGCTGAGGTAGTAGCCCTGAACCTCTTCTTCCTCCTCTCTTCTTCTTCTTTGCTCTTTTTTTTAGTTTTTCCAAGGTCTCTATCTCTTAGCTGTTCCTTTGCTTTTTAGTTCAGTTTAAGCTCGGCAAACTTTTTCTGTTTATTATGTATGTTCTTCTGTAACTGTATCACACTACTAAGTTTACCACATATTATTATTTTGTCAATATCTTTATCAAAATTAGACTATACTTGGATGAAAGTTCGTCTTTCTTTGGATTTTGATGCTTCCCTTTCAAAACTTGGACATCTTACAAGCCCTATCCGTTTGGAATTGAGGCCTGAAAGAATTCCTTTTCCGTGGACATAGATTCTTTACTGAACTCTTTCTCCCATATGCTGAAAATATGATCTTCCATAGTGTTTGCAATTTACTGAGTTTTCTGTTTACTTCTTAGGTTTGGGAAGTGAAAGCTGCCGATTTAACTATCAGTCCTGTCCATCGTGCTGCTACCGGCATTGTAGACCCTGACAAGGTAAAATCAGTTTGCTTTTGTGGCATGTTTTCTTCATTGATATGCAGATTGTTGCAGTTAAAAGCTTATGGATGTGTTAGCACTTTCCATGCTACATCTGCATTGAGGCTTTATTTGCTTGTCTTCTATGTGGTCATATGTTGTACTATTGCCTCATTTGTAAAACTGTAGCAGGATAAATAGATTGAAGACTTTAAGATTTGCAAATATTTTGGAGGCAACAGAATTTTTCAGGACTGCTGAAACTTCTTTTAAATTTTGTTAGGAGTTAGAATCTTCTAAATTTAATATTGAATCGGTTATTCCTCTCCCTCCCTATCGAGGGAATTCTGATGTCCGAGTATCTTGTTTTGTCTGCAAAAATAGAAAACCAATGAGATAACTGTTGCTGGATTCCTATTGTTCTTGGGGTGCTGATCACTAATTTTGTTCCAATCCATATGTGCTCATTGTACATGTTTTGTTAATGTATAGGGAATTTCTTTGCGGTTCCCACGTTTACTTCGGGTCCGAGAAGATAAGAAACCAGAGGATGCCACATCGGCTGAGATGGTATGGAAACCTTTTGTGTTCATTGTGTGTTTCATATTGTTAATCTAATCTGGTTGCACATCAAATAACTGTTGTTCTGGGCATGACCTGTGCCGTTGTTAATTTGCAGGTAGCTGACATGTATAGAGCTCAAAAGCACAACCAGAACAATAACGCTCGTGATGATAGTGAAGAAGAATGACAACATTATCAACATTATTGTTGTACCCAAAGCAACGTAATCTTTCAGGCACCGGATAAAGTTTACTCATCATCCCACTTTACTCCTGTCTTTTTACATTACTTGCTAATTTCAGTGTGCGTGTTTAGCTGTGAATAACTGTAGGGAATTGTGTTTAGGAAAAACCATGGTTTTCCTATTGCCTAGGTTTTAGTAAAGAAATTCAATTCAATTGCTTGCTAGATAAGGGATTTAGGAAGGACCTATATGATCTCTGTAGGGGGGCTTTGACATCATTACTATTTCTTTCAGCTGTCAAAATCTGACTACTTACTTTGTTTGCGTATTGAAAGATCGTTGTAACTGCTTTTAGTTAGCTTTCTGGTTACTTGAAATATCGTTCGGAAGAATTGCAGAAAACATTTAAAAGACCTCAATTGGAGTTGATGGTCTAGATCTATCGCTTACTTTGAAACCTAGAGAGAACTGTATGTGATTTGATATGCTTTCTTCGGAAACATTGGCGTTCGTACCCAAAGCTTTAGGCTTATCGTCAATTCAACCCTATTGATCTCGGGTTAGTCAATTTTGTCCTTATTATTTGAAATTTTTGTCAATTCTGCTTAATTGGCTCAATTTCTGTTAATTTTAACGGATTTCCGTTAGTTTTTAATCAAAATATCCCGATAGTTTCAGAAAATTATAAAAATAACCTTAAAAAATATAAAAATAATAAAATAGTCCATTTTTATTCATTTTTTCAATTTCATTTTATTTCTCTTTATTACTTTGTATAACCATCAAACTATACTATACGTTCTTTAAAAAAAATTATTATTTATTTTCAAAATCTATTTTTCATGTGCAACACATGTGATTTGGGTTGAGGGGTAATTTTGTCATTAAAATTTTAAAATTTTTAATTTTATTTTTTTTATTCGGTTTTTTTTTAGATTATTTTTCTTGTATTTCTTGACTTTTATATATTGATACTAGTATAATTATTAAATTTCAATAATTAATTTACCTTTTTATTTCATAGATTATAAAAAAATTTAACATAAAGAAAATGAGAAAGAAAAAATCAAGTTGAAATAAACATGAAATTAATACTTTATCTTTTGAAACAAAATCGAAAAAATCTTTAAAAAAAAATATGCAAACACAAGTCTTTCCTCTTTGACTTCCTCTAATTCATACGTGAGTTACGAAACATAAATTTTACTTGATCTAGCCTAAAATAATTATTTTGTTCGTTGTAATAAAAATAATACAAAAATTAGATAATCATTTGAAACATGAAAAAAGTGCTATTTTAAGTAGTCCACAAGAATGCATTTATGTAAATTTGGTTAGCACTATTTTTATTCTTTTTTAATTTTTTTGCCGATTGGCGGTTGCTAAACTACAAAAGCAATTATTGAATTTCATGAAAAAGATAAATACGTATATTTTTTAGCAAAATAATTATTAAATTATTCTACCTGACTTGTATTATTTTTATTACAAAGCAATTATGTTTCGTAACTTACCTATGAAATAGAGGAAGTTAAGGAGAAAAGACTTGTCGTTGCAGTTTTTTTTAAAGGTTTTTTTGCTTTTTGTTTAGAATAATAAACTATTAACTTTCATGTTTATGTCAATTTAAGATTTTCTTCCTCATTTTCTTTATGTTAAAGTTTTTATAATCTATGAAATAAAACGGTAAATTAATTATTAAAATTTAATAATTATTCTCGTATCAATATATACAAGTCATGAAATATAAGAAAAAGAATCTCAAAAAAAAGATGAATAAAAAAAGGAATTAAAATTTTAAAAATTTAAAATGACAAAATTACCCCTCAACCCAGATCACGTGTTGCAAATGAAAAATATATTTTGAAAATAAATAATTATTTTCCTAAAGATTATATAGTATATTTTGATGATTACGAAAAATAATAAAAAAAAATGAGATTAAAAAAATGAATAAAAAGGGACTATTTTGTTGGTTTTATATTTTTAAGGTTATTTTTACAATTTTCTGAAACTATCGGCATGTTTTTTGTTAAAAACTAATGGAAATCCGTTAAAATTAACAGCGATTGGGCCAATTAGGCGGAATTAACAAAAATTTCAAACAGAAAGTATAAAATTGACTAATCGAAAATTAATATAGTAGAATTGATGATGAGCCCTAAGTTTTGGGTATGAACACCAATTTTTCCTGCTTTCTTCCGTTACATGCACTGTTTACCAATTAGCACGAGTACCTACTTGATTGATTCGCCGAGCTTAAACTGAAGTAAAGATTTTCACTGGAATTGGAATATTTTATTTCACAACAACAACAATACTATTGTACGACAAAAAACATAAAACAGAGTACTACTACTAACATAATTAACCATACAAATTATTAAAGCCACTTAAGAAACACACACACACACACACCATTAGTTGGATTATTAGAGAATCATAAAGTTCATAACATATTCCATTTCCAACTTCCAATTCAGTTCACCATCACAGAAAACAACAGCCGCCGGAGGGATGGTCATGGTAAATTTTAACAAGTCTTCCCTTGAATCCCTTTTCAGCCTGGGTGAGGTTTTGGGGGATCTCTGATGTACACCGAACCCGTGTAGTTAATGCCGCTAACATACCTTACCTGCTCCAGCGTGTTGGTAGCCAATCTGGGCTGCCTCCGCAGGTTCTCAAAGCTCTCCTCTCTTTCAGCTCCGGCTGGCAGCTTCAACCATGCATACACCTCCTACCGGTGCAGTTTGTTTCGGGTCGGTTTTTCCTTACTCTTGAAGGCCCATATAAGCTCATATATGTAGTTCCATCTCAAAATCAATTGACAATGAGGAAAGTCAATTAACAATGAGGAGAGCAGCGCATGGGACTTATACGTTGGTTAAGTTGGATTATCAATTCTAGTGTGGTTTTCAAGTTCAAAGGGGATTTTAAAACTTCCCTTTTCTGGCCCTTCTTGAAGAATCCTGCCATTCGAGGATTTAATGTGAAGAAGAACTAATGAGTATGGGTTTATTACTATTGCTTCTCTTCTTCAATAAAAGGATTGAATTTAAAGTTTGGATGAAAGTTAAGGAAGAAAGGTCCGATCTTTATATAGAGGAGGAGCAGGGGAGAGATTGAGGAGGTGTGATGAATTATTGGTGCAGTTGTCTTTGAATTATTTTCTTGGGGTTTGATATTTTCATGATCTCATCACTGTGTGTATCTGTTCGTACGTTTGTTACGTACTACCGTCATCACATTACAACTCATTTCTCCAAGAATCTGGATATAATGCATAATCTCCCGTGAAGCTGCAGGCAACTTTTGCTTTCCTTCTTTCAAATAAATAAATTGAACTTGGATATCCTCAGAGTAATTAAACCAATCAACTTTGTTGTGCATTACATCTTCCCACAATCCAGTAAACAATAGTATCTATTGAACTCATGGAGATAAGCTAATTTAGACTTAAAATCTATGGTGGGTCTATCAAGCAAGTCTATCTAACTATGGGACACCTACCCTTGGAATAATAAATCAGCATTCATGTTCCCACTGCAACATAGAAATTTTCAGTTGTGTGCATTCCATTACTTTTGTGTGTGTGTGTGTGTGTGTGTGTGTGTGTGTGTGTGTGTGTGTATGGGTTTTCCCCCCACTTTTTGGCAATGGCAAGCTGTTACAAGTTCAGCTAGTTTAGTCCTCTTAGCTTCGGGTAGCATACATTTTTGTAGAGGAAGGAAGTGCAATTGATTGTAGTATTAGTTCTCTTATCGCTCCTTTGCTTTATGGAGAGCTGCTTTTCCATTGTGGCATTTCGTTTTAGCAGTGACCTGATTGATAGAGAGTTACATATAATGTGCCATTGGTGAAACTTATATACAATTTTTTTTTTTTTTTTTTTTTGAGAGGATCAGCAGCAGACTCTTCCCATTTTCACTGTTTTGGCATACCAAAACTGAATATGTTATATCATTCTCATTGCAATTCTAAAGATTTGATCATCGATACTTTGAACAGAGAGGTCTCACATGAGCCTTCTAAACGGTCAAATAACTAACTGGCCGAAGTTGGAAACGAATAGCTGATAACATTTCTCAAAACTTTTTCAGCCTGACTAACCCCCTTGTAGCCGTAGGTTTATGATCAACTGTATTTGTGGTTCTCTGGATTTTTGGTCCTATAGCATGGCCAGGGGAAAGTTACTGTTAGTCTAGCATTTTAAATTTCTGCTATTGAACCAAGAGGAAACTATAGTTTGTGATTCAGACTACACATCTTCTTTTTCCTTTGGTAAACATGATCGCTATGTTCCTTGTACACATTATCACTTAAATTGTGCCAATGACCAGTTTTAGGTTCTTATGGAGCTTTTCTGCGAGGAATTCCACAGCATATTTAAGGTTGGCAAGCATCAATAGTTTCACTATGAAAATCCTGATGTGTAGCGTCAATGGTTTCACTTTTGTGGTTTTTTTCAGGCACTCGATGTACAGATGTTGTGCTCAAAGAGCCTTCCTCTCTCTGCCTTTTAAATTTCTAGTTGTTTCTGAGCTTAAGGTTATTTGCTTCCTTCATTTCATGACAGGCATTTGGTGCTCTTGGTAATTCTAAATGGATTCAGATTACTTCTGTATGGATGTCTCAGTCTTATCACCGGTATTCGGAGGATCTCTATACTGATGTGTGTAGTGTGGTGCGAACCTACTGAGGTAGATAGCCTGAACCTCTTATTCCTCTATTTTTCGTTTTTCTTGGTCTCTCTCATTTCATTTTAGTTCAGTTTTTGGCAAATTTTTCTGTTTATGTTTGTCTTCTGTACATGTTTCTCAATATCAAGTTCAAGCCACATACTACATTAATGTTTTTGTCATTATCTACGCTATAGTCTATACTTCGGAAGAGAGTTCAGCTTTTATAGTGGCATGTGACGCTTTGCTTATAAAACTTGGATTTATCTTATAAACCCTATCCATTTGGACTTGAAGCCTGCGGGAATTCCATTTGTTGTGGACATGGATTCCTTACTAAAGTCTTTCTCCCAAATGTTGATAATCAAATCTTCCATAGTATTTGCAATTTACTGAGTTCTTTTGTATACGTTTTAGAGTTGAAAATTAGATCTTTCATCTTGCTGCTAATGGCATTGCAGATCCTGACAAGGTCAAATTAATTTGGTTTTGAAGCATCGGGCATGCATTTCCCCATTGATGTGCAGATGGTTTCATTTGAAAGCTTATGGATCCATTAGTACCCGGTCCTAATTGAAGGAAAATTTTTGAACTAACTTGAAAGTTAAGTTTGTGCCTCATAATAGGACCATAGGGAACGCTTTCGATGCGTTATCCTCTGCATAAACCCTTTATGCTGTAGTTGCTGGTCCTCTATGTGATCATTAACCCAAGACTTGTCCCTTTATAGTTTATATGGTAAATTGTAGCAGCATAACAAATGCATTGAAGGCTTCAAGATTTGCAAATATTTTGGAAGCAAACTGAACTTTTCAGGACAGCTAAAAACTTTTTACCATTTGTAAGGAGTAAAACTAGAGCCTCCTAAAATTTAATATGGTTTGGCAACTCCTCACCCTCCCTATCTAGGCAAGTCTAATGTGGGAAGTCTCTTGCTTTGTCCGCGAAAAACGAAAAACTAATGAGATAGATAATTGACTGCTGGATTATCATTGTTCTTGGACTGCAGCATACTCATTGTACCAGTTCATATGTAATCACTGTGTTTGCTTTTTCCCCACAGGTTTGGTAATCAACACAAACCTATGGCAGTTCAACATTCTCAATTTGGTTGGAGGAACATTCAAAGACCGCAATAAAATCAGCACTGCAGTTGCATTGATTTTGAAAATGCTCTTCACCAACACTTGTTAACACAAGTGATAACGAGTTTGAGTTTCTTATAGTTTAGGGTTCGAGTCCTATCGCAAGACTCTTGTCCTTTTGAAAGAGATCTTTCCGAGGGTCGAATTGGCTTCGCCGGTTCCTTGTCATGTACACAAAGAAATAGGACCAAATTCCTTTTCTGACAATATATGTCCAGCTTTTCAGACAAGACCACAACAATAAATATTATTGGTAGGTCATCAGCAATTGACATGCACAAAATTGAAGCTTTTTTTTTTTTTTTCCCTTTCAAAAATGGTTATGCAAAACTTACGTGGGAATTGATAGAGAAAGGAGTGATAATAAAAGATCAAAGTACTACTATTAGACTACAGAAGCAGATGACAATCACAGATACATCAAGTCGACTTTAAATAATTGTAATTAGGTACATTTCAAAGATGTCATTAGATCCTCTGCTGATTCGTGGGCCTTCAATCCCGACAGAGAAAGGCTCCTCCCATGGACCTTCTTTTGTTGTTGCCTAACCTTTCTTCCACATTCCACACTATCTTTATTAACTACTCCCAATTTTCTTGAAAAAAGTTGGGATTTTTGCATTAGATTTAAGACTGAAAAGTATAGAATCCCATTCAAGCAAAGTGATACTAATAGTTTATATTATCAGCTAGATATCCCACGTTGCAATTCTGGAATTATACAAAGACAAATCAGAGATGAAATCCCACCTTTGGCATAAGGAAGAGGAAGAATTAGTCATGTGGAGGAGACAAATTCAACCAAATACATGCAGCAACCGAAAAAGGACCCACAATACAACCACAAATTCTCTGCCTCCCTAGCTAGAGTTCTTTTGCTGCTACAAACTAACTAAAGATCTGATCTTTACTCACTAAATCAAGAAGACTTCTTGTAGTATATACAGAATGTGGTATGATCAGTTGAATTTCATATCTAAAACAATCGAAAATCCAAAGCCTGCTCAAATAGAATAGGAAAATTTGTAGAAGTAGTAGCCTGGTAGGCAGAGTAGTACTACTCTGTCATTGAAGAACAAGTCTTTGATACTTGTTTTCAGAGGAAGAATCAGAGCCCTCTGAGAAAACCCGTTTCCTGTTTACTGTACCACAGTTGTTTATGATACCATTGTAGGCAGGAAGGTTAGTTAGCAAAGAATCTTGATGGAGGGAACCGGTAGGAAATGCTGGTTTTGGTGATGGTGTTGGAGATGGGAGGAGCACCGGTGGTGGTGGAATTTGGTAAGAATCAAGCGGCGGCGGAGGGTGGCGCCACTGAGGAAGAGGGCCGGCCAAGAGAAGTGTCTGAAGAAGGGGTCCTGCTTTCATAACAGCTTGCAGAAGTTTGCCCTTTTCAGGCAGTGGCCTATCTGCCAACATTAGCGATGTTGGGTCTTGCTGCTCTTCTAGTACTGATTGTTTCAGTTGTGGTGGTATTTCTTGCTGCTGCTGATGATGGTGAATTGGGTCAATAACTGGAGAAGAAACAATGCTTTCTTCACAGTCAGAGGAAGAAAAGCCATTGTTGGAATCCACTCCTCTAATTGGCTCATCTTCAATGCTTGAAACTCCAGAAAGAGGGGCTGACTGATGATGATGATGATTCTTGTGCTGATTCTGTGATAACTGAAGCATTAACTGCTGCTGCTGTTGTTGTTGTTGCTGCTGCTGTTGCTGCTGCTGCTGCTGTTGTTGCTGCTGTTGCTGGATGAGTAATTTCTCAAGAATGAGTCTTTGACATTGATCATGAGCTTCATCTCTTTCTTTAATGGTTCTGTTTAGCAATTCTCTGATCTCAAAGAGTTGGTCATCTCTCATTTTAAGCTCTTCTTGAGCTTTAAGCCTAGTACCTTCCAGCTCCATGGTAGTCAGTACAAGAGCCTGCCTCAGTTCATCAATGCCCTGTTCCAAAACAATAATAAAGATAGTCAAAAATCAAAAACCAACAAAAAAAACAAAAAAAGTTCTTCACTGCAACAAAGTAATTAATCAAAGGAAAAGAGTCAATGTGGGGATTTTTGATACAAACCTTTCCTTGATAGAAGTGTGCCCAACTAAGAAAAGGAACCCTTTGGCTATCCATAGGCAGAAAGAAAAGCTTGGAGAGAAAAAGGACAAAGAAAGGGGAAGAGGGGAGGAAGGTGTATTTTGGAGTATGATTATTAGTAATATAAGAGTGACTCACTCACTTTATAATTTGGCACTTATATTAGTAGTTGTTTAGGTACTACTGCTGTGTGTTTTTTTCCCCACTTTTCTTTTTTGTTGAGGGTGAAAAAGAAGGATTCTTTTGTTTACTCATTTTGTGATAGTAATATTATTATGTTAATCGGATGTTGTGGACAAATGCAGAAAAAGCCAAGAGGGAGAGAAGACTAGTTAGGGTTTGTGGGGTAGAATCCAAAACCCAAAGGTCCAAACACCGAATTCCACTATTTTATGCAGTGTACATGGTTTTCCTTGTATTCTTTTTTGTATTTCTTTCTTTGTAATTAGTGAATTGCAACAATTTTAACTAAATTAGTTTTAGCTTAAAACTATACACAATGTTGATCTGCATCTCTTCAAATGTGTTTAAGCATTGCGAGAATAACAAGCAATTCTAACTCTATAAGTTGTTACACTCAACCTTCTGTAGCGATATCTTTTTCTATCTTTCACATAATAATAATAATTAGTATTATTGTGGCTAGTGAAAAGGAAGAAGAAACACATTCTATTCCCAATTACAATTATGTTCAAGAACAAGATACAAAACAAAATCGATCGATCAAAATGGTAAAGAGATATTAGAGTATTCCATAAAATAAAAGTCACAAAATTTGAGTTCTGCGGATAAGAGTGTTTATTTTGTTTTTTTGTATGTGTTTTTTATATTAAAAATGAAAAATTTATATATTAAAAATATAAAAATATATACAATAATGAGATATTTATTATTTTAATATTATAAAAAAAATCATTCAAAAAACAAAACAAACAAAGATAAAAATGGAAAGAAGACCAGAGGGTAATGTGATATGACAGGGGCAAGGAGGGAAGGAGAAGTCAGGGTCAGAAGGCTCGATGCGCGCTCAGAATGAGAAGCGGAGAATTACACATCAGCGCCAAATGCGGGGACTGAAAATTCATGTGTCTCTCGTGCCTCTTTGGACCATTCCCACCGCTTAACAAACCCCTGGTTTTTACAGTCTCATTCACCCTCCCCCCTTTTGTGGGGGGGTGGGGAAGAGATCCAATTACAAAGGTAACCACTTGATTCACCATGTTGGAGGGTGAAATTTGATTGCAAGTAGTCAAAGTGATGAAGGATCTTTCAATGCAAATATATTAATCTCCAAGAGTTTTAACTCTGGTATTTTTAATCAAAAGAGACTCTTAATTGTCGGAACAATCACTTTGGCTTTGCAGTTCATTCTATTTAATTTTTCAGTTTTACCGGTAAGGATGGCAATTGATTCAGGCGGAAGCCTATCAATCGGAACTGATATAGGTTTACGAATTTTCATGTCGAATTATCGAAAAGTTAAAATCAGCACTAGTTTAAATCACCAACATATGGAACACTAATTTGATCACCAACAAATGGACCAAACGAATTAGATTTGAGAAGAAAATCTCATTTTTCATTAATAAAAAAACAACCGAATTTTACAATGACGGCTAATCCCTTTGAATTGAAAATAAAGACGTAAAATAAACCTTAATCAACTAAACTAAAAATACTAACATATCCATAAAATGAAACCCTAATATAACTCCTTATTTATTTTATTGTAGCCGCCATCAGTAATTGATGTTATATAGATGGATCATTTTTTAGAATCATAATAGTAATAATTATACCTGAGAAATGTTACAATTTCTACGGTGGACGTAATCATAAGATCTATTCATAAATTGTATAATCTCATGGGGAGCCATCGACTTTGTTAAAAGGATTCTGTGTTGCTATATAGATTTTTCAAGCTGATTGTAGGATCCACCAACCCACATATGGTACTTTCCAGTTTCCATCCATGCTTGCAAACGTTTCTCTTAAGCACAACTATAAACATTTCTGTCATGACAAATTACAAATTAAATTTTTTAAGAATAAAAATACAAAATTCTATTGAGCAAATGTTCCAGCTCCCTCTGTTGTCAACTAGCCATTAAGGCAGCAAAAGGGCTCTGTTTTTGCCTGCGTAGCTGCGCCTGCCTTTCTGCTGCTCTCTGCTAAAGTGACAATGTGCCGACAAATGCAAAATACTGATAAAAATAATACTACCCTTTTTACTATTATTAAATATTGAATTACTGGAAAATTAATGCATAGAGTAGAGTGTGAACAGTACTTTCTTCGAAAATGTCATAACATAATCGATTATTCTATTTGACATATGTAGTGTATTGTGTTCTACTGACTTTATAAACATTGTGTTGAAGTCGTAGTTATTAAGGGAATTAAAAATTAGGAATTAGGTGAAAGGTATCTTTTACTGTACTTCTTTTCTTTTATTTTTTTTTCCCCTTTGGGAGGGAATTCGAGATATAACTTTATGTATTCATTTTTAATTATCCTTATTTCTGCTTTAAATATAGCTAAAAAAAATAATAAATTATATATGAGGAAGTGTGGTTGCCGTCTTGATGTTTTGGATTTTTTCCGTAGCTTGGAATTTTCAAAACTCAAAAAAAGTGTGACAAAAACTTATTACAGTTAGTACTAAATACAAGTAACTTAATAAACCAAAGTTCAAAAAGAGAGAAAACTACCCGCAATTATGTTTCAGTGAGGCCTTAATTCAAACTCATGTTAATAGTGAGGGTACGTGCCATTGTAATTCAACTTTTGCTTCTAACATTTGTTAATAGGCCAGTCACTGATTCTCTGAGATATTAAAGTTGCATTTGTATATTTATACATAAATTTTTTTGCTTCTTATGCATGCTAATAGGTCGATCACTTCTTTTTTTAAGAAGTGTGCGATGCTAACTAAAATTTTTACTTCCACTTTAATTTAAATAAAAAAAAATAATAATAAAAAATAAAAATGGTGTGTCCGCCTTTTAGCATTTTGGCACTTGAGTTTTGTGCAGAAAGATGTCATGGACAATTGGACATGAAGAAAAGCGATTTCTGAATCTGTTAAAAGTTTCTCTTCACTTAGTCAAAAAGAGAAAAAAAAATGTTGAGTAATTTTCGAACCTTTAATGTCAGTTTCTACAAATACAAATTTTATACTCCTATTCACAAAATGGGATGCAATCTAAAGGATAAAATATCCTCTTTTGATGTCTCGTGCCCATAATTTCCATTTTACGATTTCATTGATTAACTAATTTCTATCATATGCTTGTTGTCCTACTTCCATAAATGGAACTGTTTTGAAAAAACCAGACAACATTAGATTATTGGGCCAAACGTGAAGGGATTCGAACCTCTATTTTTGTGTTTTGGGACAAATCTTGATGCTTTTAGAGACAACCAAAACTACTAATTTGATAGAGGAGACATTCCATATGCATTATATGTTGTACTACTTTGTAACATCACTCGTGGAAATATTTGACTCACATCTTTGTTCCATTTTTGTTTTTGGAACACATCCACTTAACTTCAAGAACAATAATATATATATATATATATGTATATACTCCATTCCTACCGAAATCATTGTCTAGTTTGAATATTTATTTTTAGTGTAAATTATACTAAAAGTAAAAATTCAAACCGGACAAATTTTGAGACAAAAGAAGCACTTTCTTTCTATTTTAAAATAATTGTTACGCATGTAACAATCATTTGTTGGGATGGAAAGTCTTTTAACCTTGGGAAAATTAACATTGTTTTTTTTTTTCCCTCATAATTTTTTTCTCAATTATTATTTTTGGCTGGTTAAATATCCAGATTGAACACTCCTTGTTTCTTAATTTTTGAACTCATTTGAAGTCCAATTAGCAGAAGATGGTTCTATCATTTTCTTGGCCAGTTACGAACTCACCACCGGAAGAAAAAAAAAAAAAAAGTCAGAAAAAAGGAGCTTGGCGGCAAACAAAATTTCCACCAATATTCGGCAATGGAAAAGACTCATTTCGACTTCGAAGCTGAAGTCTTGTTAGGTAACAACAACAACAACAAATTTTTGGTCCGCCATTTTTCAATAACATTTTCCAAAGTCACTTTAGAAAACTATTTGTGTTCCCACGATCGAGTCTGATATGTATATTTTACGCTCAGCTCGTCTTAAAATAATACGTTTTATTCGTTATATTTTCGTTAGTTTACGTTTTATTCGGTTGACGTACTCTTTGGTAACAATGTTAAGTGTCCTGTTGAGTGTTCATCAAGGCATTGATATAGAATTTTATACTATCTCCTCCGTCCTAAAAAAAAATAGTCCACATTGAGTTTTTAAATTTGTACTAAAAACAGTATAAAATTAAAAATTTAATATGGATTATTTTTGTAGGACGGAGAGTAATTTTCTTGTGTCTAAGACTCTTAGTTAGGCGAAAATTTGAGAACTTTGTTTTCATTGCATTTTTGTTTTCATTTATAACGTTTTTCCTTGTTTTCCCCATCGTGAACCATACGAATATATTAATTCATATGTAACTATCCATCTTATTTAAAATTCCAGTTTCTCGAATTACAATGATAAATTATTAAAAGAAGATAGAGGGAATACAAAAATAATAGAATGCAACGGTATCTTTATATATATATATATAATCAAGTAACTTAAGATGCGTATAATTCAACAAAAGGAGTCGCTATGTTGCCGTTGCTAAAATCTTGCTGTGCAGAGGAGAAGGGAAAACCATTTCTTAGGATGCCTAAAAAAGACAATTTTTATTTAATATGTTCCAATTAGAACGAAGAAAAATAATCACATTTTAGAGAGAAGAAATTCAATTGGATGGGAATCACTCACACAAGTGGGGGGAAGAAAGTATTATTTTGGAGCAAATTATTTTGAGGAACAAAAGTAAATGGCTATCCCAAACGTCAAAATCATCACACAACTGTGTATGAGTTTTTTAGGGAGCTAAAATTGGAGATCCATATGTTTCAACATGAATTGTATCCCAAAAAAAAAAGCTTTGAAAAAAATGGAAATAACCAATTTGAGAGAAAATGGAACCCTAAAATCCGTGTGGGTCATGAGGCATCTATGTATGTAAAGCTTTAAGGATGCCATTAACCCTCCTAGCTAGCTGTATGAGCAAAAAGTAGCCTTAGCTAGAATCCTTTTGATGGTGAAGTCTGTGGGATCTTAAGTTTTTTTTAAAAAAATTATTTTTAATTAACACTTTGAAGTTGTTTGTTGTTGTTTTTTCTTTTTTAAGATTTAGAGAAAACAAGAACATATTGGATCACTCACTAAAACTGAAGTTTGGAAATTGGTAGATCATCGCATTGGTGACAAAAGATTTTGAACTTTACTATCATGTTCTACTCGTTTATATATGATGTAAAGATATATATATTACTCATATAATTTCAATATGGCCGTGATTTTACTTTTGTTCTAATCAAAGATAAGCATATCGTTCGTTCATCTTTTGTCCAAATCACATATGAATATTGACATTTATCACAAGAAGCTGATTTGATCCGAACACATCAAGAGCAAAGAGCAGAAGCGGGTGTTAAAGATAATTAGATGGTAGTGCAGCAAATTATTAGGGTTTGGGAAAATAATTGAGACAAAAATTAAAAAGAAAAAATGAAAAAAGATATTCGACGAAATTACCGTCTTGCGACCAAAAGATGTGCACAATGCTTGAATTTGGAACCAAAACATGTTTGATTTTGATCGAAATGACTTGCTTGCCATTGTTTTGAAGGTGAGCGACAAAAGCGATCCAATTGAGGTCAATGGACCATTTGAACAGCTTCATACTAGGTGTCTTAGGGTTTCCTGTCACAGTGTTTTAATGTCAAATGTCATAGTTAAAAGGGGGAGGGTAACAATAGAGACCCTTTGCTCGTGATTTACTTAGTGAGGGCTGTCAATCATCAGCTCGTCTCATATACAATAAACATGATAATTATTTTAAAACGTAAGTAGTATTTGTAATTAAGAGGAAAATGATTTTTTTTTAAAAAAAAAAATTACCATGCATGGGTGATTACATTGTAAAGGGACCCCTTCAAATAGCAAGTGTTTTATGGGCCATTTCCAAATCATTGACTGGAAATGTTAATTTTGCACAAAAAACACGTACTACAAAGACTTGTGAAATCATTTCCTAACAAAAAGAAAAAGACGATTGAAATGATATCTCTAACGCGGTTTTGTGTCCTGGATGGGTTATAATAGAAAGAAAAATAGTAGCAATACAGACTAATGATAGTTACTACTTTTTGTCATTATCAAGAAAAAGGCGAAGAAAAGAAACGAAAAGAAGAAAAAGAGCTCATTATGATTGTGATTTCTTAATAGTAATTATGAGGAAATTGGGAAAAACACACAAGTGGTGGAAGTTATTTTCTGATACTATTTAGTGTTTGGATTAGGCCTGTAATTACTACTTTAGTAAGTTTTAATGATGTTCGTAATCATAATCCATAAAAAAAAAAAAGAATCATGTTTGTTGTATTGAAAATACTATTCTCGATATTTCAACAAGGATTGTTTTATTAGTTGATTTCAAATACTCCATCTAGTCCTAATTACAAAGCATAAATTAAACCTAAAATTAGTTCAAATTTGAGTCTAATAATTAAAACTCGAGAAAGGAATATGACAAACATGATAATTACTTTGAAACAGTGAATACAAGACCCTCATTTTGAAACGTAAGGAATAAACGTTTTGATTAATGTAATACAATATGATGGACATGACTCTCATTTTTAAACATGGTAAGACATGTAGTATTCGAGCTTTGCAATATAATCATGAATTTAAAAGATCATGAAATGATTAGTAGTGATTACTCTTACTTTATCAGTTTTCTTTTTCTTCCTTTTCTATGTTTGCTTGTTCAACTCAACAATGTAATTATTGTCACACTTACTACTTATTGAAGGTCTAGAAGAGTAGTTTTATTGGGCTAACAGATTTTCAAACCATTTCAACAATGATGGTTTCAAATAAGCCCAAAGTCCATATAAAATCCTTCTGGTGCCATCAAAGCAGCCCAAAAGTAAAAAGTTAGACACCTCTCTTTTAAGTTTTGCCTTGAAATTGATACATGCATGTATACTCATTTCATACTCCATCCCCAAAAAGACTAAAACTAGACGATCATTTCGGGACAAAGTGAGTGCATTTTCAAACAAAACGGTAAGATAAGTTGGGGAATTTCTCAACAGCAGAAACATCCCTATATATGTTTACAGTAAGTTTCTGATAAAATCTACACAATAAACTCAATCAAGGTAAATGAAAATGTTACGGAGACCAATCCTCCAATTGGCCTTCTTTCATATTTCCAACCAGCAGAATGGAAGTTTCTTGACCAATTCTAAACGATCAAAAACTACTCAATCTTTCCTCCTCATTTTCACATTCAGGGGGATTTCTTTGTAGGATTGCACCTTCTCAGCTGCTTTCCGGGATGGCCTTCCCATTGAGGTCCTTTCTGATGATCTAGAATTGAGTACAGGATTCCGACTTCTGTTGTCATCGTTATTTTTCTCCTGTTTAGCTTCTGTCATGATCGGTGATGAAGGTGGTGGTGCTGGTTCTTCTACAGGCATTGGAAAATCAGTTTGCAACACCATGTCCTCGATCTCCAACAAATTTTCATTGGGTTCAGAATGTTGGATTTTGGGAGTGGCAGACTGCCTTCTCAAGCAACGCCTACGGTGCAAGTAACATCAGGAGTTAGAAGGTGATAGTGTGATAAAGGAATTTGGCATGGGAAACAGAAAGGAGAGTTGCAATGCACAACCTATCATGGTGTCTAAGAACTAGAACTACAATTGAGATTGTGCAGAAAATTCACCAATGATATGATTTTTTAACAATTTCCACATTCCTAAAATTTGCATGTGATGCCGAGAGGAAATACATGACAAACAGGCTAGCTGATCAGGTGCAAAAGTTCTTGATTACGAAAAAAAGTGTAGGAAAGGACCTAATGTAAGACTGGTTTGTAATGTTAGATCTGCAGATGAAAATGCCGAGGGGAACACACAAACCTTTTGTTTTCTGCTGCTGCCTCTTTGGCAACAACTTGCTGTGAAACAGTTGAGTGGCCCAAAGCTGCAGATAATCCACAGACACATTTTAGTTTTAAATCCAACGAAAGTGTCTAAGCTACGCAACTGAAAAATGGAAAAAAAACACTTACATTTACTTCTTGTAAAATGGTGACACTTGACCTTGCCTTTATCAAGTCTGGTTTCTTCGTCAGGAATGACATATACCTCCTACAGACCCCGGCAGCAAATAGCATAAACACAAGAATATCATTCAGACCTATCTAGTCAACTAATTTCAGGCAAACAAACAATCAAATGGGCTTTTAACATCAGAAACATGTCTTCCACAGGAATTAACATAAAATCATTATTTGAAGTGAAAAAGGGATTCCAATCTATCTCCTTTCCCCTTTCCTCGTTAGTTTCTCGGTCTCCACTATGCACCTTTTCTAACTGATAGTTTATGCACCAGTGCATCATTCCACGGACATCATACTCTTTTTTCATTTACATAAGAATGGAAGTGTTAGTTTGCCTAGTCCACAACATGCTTCTACAAGATATTTCATTTGACTTTTTCATCCAAGTTGCCTATTTAACATTTTGGTCAAACTGACATTCATCCAGTTAGGCATAACCTTTAACAGACAAAGATTCACCCATGAAACATTTCCCCTAAGACCTTTCTTCTTCTTTTTTGAGACCGCTTGCAAAGGGCATTCCTTTAAGAGAGACTAATTACGGGAAACTGCCTAGTGACTGGATCAAATATGTTTTCAAAATGGAAGCCAAACAACAGAATAGATTTTTTAGGCCCAAAGGACACCTTACCATTTGAGAACACTATCTAGATCAGATTTTCTAGACCAGAAGCTAAACTCAGAGTCTAAAACAGCATAACCAATGAAATTAAGGAACCACAACAGCAATGAGCATCCTCAATGAAAAATATATTTAAAGTGGTTTGTAACAAGTTACCTTGACCTCATTAGTCTTTGCTTTAATAAGTGCCTCCTTGCACGAAATCTCATGCTGTAGTGACTTCATCTGCATTGATCAACAATTGCTTAATGTACAACAACAACAACAACAATAACAACAAGCCTTTTCCCCACTAGGTTCTCAGTGTCACACGGAAAATTTTCTGCTGAAATTTCAAATTAACAAAATCATACCTTTTCTTTACTGAAATTAAGTTCCTGCAATTTGAATACAGAACCTATTATTAGAAGAACTGCAACAATTTCCTCAACAAATAATAACACAAATTTTCGTGGGGAACAGGAAACTAACTGCTATCATGAGACTGTTTGCTTGAGCAAGATTCCAATTCTGCAGTTGCATCCTCTGAATGTTGGTTCTCAGTCTCTGAAGCTCTGCTGTACTAAGTGCAATCACTTTACTAAAAAAAAAAGTATTCAAGTAATTACCAGTAAGATGAACCGTTCAAGTGTTCAAAATGGGCTAAAAGATGCACAAACATAGCAACTAAAAACATACTTCTTATCTTGAAGAAGTTTGACCAATGCCGTATTTTCCTGCTCCAAGGGAACCCAAAATAAAAAGGGTTAAGGGAAAATACATCAGAAAGTGACCCTATATGCGAAACAAAAACCACCAAGAAAAGATTTTTACCTTAACAAGGTTATCAATCTGTTCCTTATACGAAGAATCCACAAAGGTCTTTTCTACACTGGGTGGGGATTTAGATTGTGAGTGAGAATTGGTAATATCGGAAAGCCTCTTCCTCACAATGGTGCCAAAAGAAGATCTTTTTGCCATCATATCCCCTTTCATCATGCCAAATTTTAATGATTTACCGTGAAATGATCAAGAATCCAGGTGGGAAACCATAGAAACAGCGTCAGCATTCGAGACCCAGAATTCTTCCGCCTTCAATTCGCTTAACAGAATGTAATTCCGTGTTTACAGAGTTACAATCTCAAAGAAATACTGGGTTCAGTGGGTTGGATATATAGACAAATCTTGAACCATATGAAAACTATAATTTTTTTCAAAAGGGAGAATTCTTAAACACAGTTGTCTTGAATTGTTTCAATCCAAGATTATCTTTTTCTCTGCGGAGAGTTCAAACAGAATAAAGCAAAGTAAAAAGAAAAGAGATTTGAGAAAAGAACCAAAGAAGCACTAAGGGCAAAAAGAAAGGTTGAAAAGGCACCAAATTAGAACTTCAATGGAGGGTTTTAAATCTCTTAACGGCTCACCGAGCCTAAATCTGAGGCAGCCTTGGTGGTTCGGACACCTGCTATAGGTACGGAGTAACATTGTGTAACGCCCAGAGCTGGCCTTGGGTCCTAGCCTCGGAGTCTTTTTCTTTTTCCCCTTCTTGGTAAAAATCCAAATTCTCAAAAAGTTTATTAGTATTGTATTTCTGAAGCTTTACTAACAACATTTACAAAATTAAGTTCTTTTTTAAAAAAAATTAATGGAATCATAGAAATAATACATCTTTTGGAAAAAAAATTCATAACAGAATGTTTTTGGAAATGGTACTTGTATTAAGTAGAAGCACATGTACTATTACATATCAATATTATGGAGTTCCGATGCATCATTTTTACTTGCTTTAATTAAAAGTTGCACTACCTGTTGTGCCTCCACCGGGATTGGAGTCATCCTAAGATTCATGGTGGGGAGTTCACAGTCTGTGTAGGCTTTGATATGAGTTTAGTTGTCAATGATTCTCTAATCATTCTATAATCCTATTTGAAGAATTATTTATCGGTGTCTATTAGGCTCCGAAATGTTTTAGTTGTTGATGTTTTAGACTTTGGCCCAACAAAAGAAAAGCTTATACTATATGAAAAACTCTTTACTTCCTCTTATTTAAAAGTTGTGTGCTGCTGCAAACTGATGCACCTTCCTTATGGTTGGGAATTTAAACAAGGAGATGGGGTTTACTGCACCCATTATAGGTTACTATCAGCAATCCAAACTGCATCCTTTGTAACTTAAAAAGTAAAATGTCAAGAATCCCTGACAGTAATGGATGGTCTTTTGATCAATGTGCAGGGTAAAAGTACTTTAATAAGAATTTGGTTTATGAAGAAGAGAACCTCATTTGCCAACCATTACTTTCTTTCTTATGTACCATAAGAAGCCAATTAGTCTGAAGCTTTCTGTTTCCTACCCCAGTCCACTGCTACTCTAAACAAAAAAGTAATGATAAAATAAAATAAAATAAAAAATTGTCTATTAAGTATGATGTACTCACAAAAAAAAAGAAAAAAATGAACATGAGAATCAAACTGTCTAGGTACACAGAACTTAAATCCTCAATACAATCTCCCAGTGCAAGAGGGAGAACCACAGAAACACTTCTTCTCCTTGATGCTACCATCGGGATAACAAACACTACCGATCTCGTAGTTATAATCATACGTTAGTTCAACTAGTGCAGGTATGTCCTCAGTAGCAAAAAGCATAACATGTGGCAATCTTTCATCAAGATGATCGTAAAGTACATCTTGTGCATAAAGATTAGGTGAGCAGCTATGGTTGATAAACCTACTCACATTCCCACATTTTGCTGCATCAATGGCGAACACGTTACCATCACCTAGATCAAACAAATATTCATCATTTGCACAACAATCAGCTTCATGATCCTTAACTAGTTCTCCAAGGTATTCACAAATGAAGCTGCCACTTTTGATCTCTCGTCGTGATCTAACACCCCATCCGGTTGATTTAGTCTTGAATACCTCCAACGGTATCTTAAGACCATGTTGACTGACTCTATTATGGCAAGAGGGAGGGCATTTACAATTCGGACCACATTCATATATCATGTCCTTGGTTTCAAGTAGACGACCATATTCATTAAATGGAACCTCCCCATTATTCTTTATTACACAAGGACATTGACGGGAATCTGAGCATCCATCAGTGCAATCACAACCACTCAAAACAGAGGGCTCATGTGGAAAAATATTGATCATCTCAGTAATGTAAGTGAATGGTGTTGGTTTCTCATCACTTATATCATTGACAACCATGATTTCAACTTTCTCCTTCCCTTTGGACAGATCCTCAGCTATCAAAACCCTGAAGCTTTTCGAATCTTCAAAGGATTTTATTGGCTTGCTTTGATCCGACATTCGAATCATTTCAAACTTATAGGCCCTACCACCAGCTTCAGATATTTCTGGCCAATATGCATTCACGTAATAGAGGCCATCATACATGTAGAACTGCTTTTCAGATTTTCGCTGAATCTTACGAATAACACGCACTGGAAATTTTGCATCCATAGTATTCTTTAAGCCAAGATTGCCACCTTCTAGTTTTTGACCTCCTTGTTGTTGCTTAGTTTGAACTTTGGAATTACCACCTTCTCCTGAGTAAACAAGAACATTAGAAGATTTGGTCTCATTCTCATAGCGGCCTGAATCCACGACGCTAACAGCATAGATTGTCCCATCTATACAAGTGCAATTAATGCCACGAATAAACTCATGATGCAGGCCTACCAGTACAAGTTCAGCCCTGAACTGGAACTGATCGCCAATTTGGACACCAGGAATGTGACCAAAAGAGGGTTGAACGTTTAACCATTTGTTCTCTTTCTTCAGCATCATTACTGCTTTGGTAGGCACTTGTGATCTTTGAGCTCCATCTCTGTCATTAAGTGACTGCATGTTATCTTGGTAGAGCTTTAGAACCTCCGCCACCTTCTTACGACTAAAACTTTGGACAGCTGCATCATATGAAGTAAAAGTTTTCAGTTCCTGGACTCCTGTCTCTTGCATTCTCATTTCCCCCAAATTTCTTTGTGCAGCCCCAGAAAGATCAGCTCCTTTCTCGCTTTGCTTCTGCTTGAGATTTTCCCACTCCAAACTAGACATCAAACCAATGTCCTTAGATGCTTCTCCTTGATCACACAGGCACGAAGTCTCAGGAACAACGGGATCAAAAGCACATTGATTGCTGCTGCGGTCGTCATTGTCAAGTGATTTTCCGTTGCAGATATCAATCGACTTCACTCCAACAATTACACAATCATCTTCATCAGCACCATTCGCATCATCACCCGTTGATTTTCCCTTGCCAAGCATTAATTCCCTGGGTGGATTGTTTTGAAGAGTGTTCCAATTAGTATCATCCGCATTTGCAATCTTCATGGTTTCATACAACATCTCCTCCTTCCTGTCTTCTAATACATCAGCCTGGTGTTCATCTGGTAGAACAACCCTCAAAGGAGTGACGGTGGCAACATCAATGGGCTCACAAACTTTTGGAAAATGTGGGGCTGAATCAACAACCCTAGAACGCTTCTGTTCCGGAATTGTTGAACTTCCATGCCTGTTATCCTCATCTTGAACCGGTCGCTTTACAGGCGACTTGGAATAAGGGGTTCTTCCATATGTCAATAAAGTCATCTCTCTTTCAATATGCCCCACTACTGTTAGCCTTTTCCAATCAGAAGATTCAAGACAATTCGGAAAAATGGTTAAACCTAAAATGCCCAAAAAACAATAACTTCAATCAGTACTAATTTAAAGAAGAGAAGAACACGGGATTGCAGATAATTAAAAAAAAAAAAAAAAATCCCTGAAACAGAACAACAGAAACCAAATGAAACTTGCCCCTGATTCAAAACCCAAATACTAAGCTTCAATAAAAAGTCGCTAAAATTAATTTCTAAAGAGACCCCAAATACATGAAATTGAAACACATTCTATATGATTGGTCGATTTGATGACTAACCTTGGATAAAGATGTCAACTTTTTACTTCACCGGCGGCAGTAACAGAGTAATTCTTTCTTCAGCTGTCAATAGAATGATTTGTTATCAGGGAAAAACCCATAACAATCAATGGCAGCCAATTATGATTGAACGGATAGTGAACCCAAGAATGTTGCAAAGGCGGGAAGAATCCTCAACCTTGTTTCTTTATTTTTTTTTTTTTCGATGATTCCTAAACTAGTGTCAAAAGAATCTGGGATTGAAATGGCAGGATTTTGTTAACGGTGAACGTGGAGATTGCCATGTTGGAACAAGAAGTGTGTTCCTAGTGCGCCCATTTCCCCTCGTTCTACACTCCAATAAGGCTGATTGATTATTACGAGTATAATTCTTATTTCTTCTCTTTTTTTCTTTTTTTTTTTTTTGGCTAAAATTGATAAATTGATTATTAGCAGTACATTACCAAAATTAGGATGTTTTTGAGGTCTCTTCAGTTGAAAAAGTTTTGGAAATGATTTGGTTACATATAAAGTCTAACATTTTTGATATTGGGAATGGGGAGTACTTTGGGAAACCCTTCAACCTTTGATCACTATATTGAATTATTATTATTATTTATTTTTATTGAATTCAACAGTACTTCAACAATGTAGAGGAGGAGTTTTACCTGGTTTATCTGTTAACCGGGATTATTTTTCAAATATACTGGAAAATGTTTTGGACACGTTTTTGGTATGTTGAAACTCAAAATGTGTTTCAAAATACGAATGAAATGAAAAGCCGAAGTTCAGATATGAAGTAATATTGGCAGCTCTTAGACATAATAACCATCGGAAAAAACTGAGCACGAGTAATTTTGGAACAGAACTTATGTTACATGCTTAGAGCAGATGATGAGATGGAATGTGTTTAGGAAATCCATCACGAATCAACTGGGAAGAAAATGAGCCAGGATGCCGTAGATCCCTTTGTTCGCTTGCTGATGAGAATCTCTATTAGTCCTTAGGAGGGAGAGAATGTACTTTTCTCAGTCTACTGAGCAAAATGGGCATATGCTAGCTAAACGGGTCTTCACAGAGGAAGAGGAACGAACAACTGGAGAGGGGTCACCATTTTGATCATTTGAGGGAAGTTCCTTGAAGAAGATAGGAAGCTTTGCTGCGAACCTGCATTTTCAACAGAAAGTTTAAGTATGATTAATGAATAATTGCAGGACTAAAAAGCGAAACACAGGCACAAACAAAATGCATTGGGTACTCACCTTTGAGGCATGGGATCTCATATCCGTGCTCGAAATGTTACAAGAAAAATTACGTAAACAAAGACCCCACATTTGACAGATGACTGGTTTGTTTTTCAACAGAAGATCGTACAGAAGCCAATTCTCTGCCAGGCTCAAGTGTACGTACATTTTGTAGAAATCAGAGCTCTTATCCTTCACGTTAGTTGAAGTCAACAATTCCAAGATCTCTTCGGCATCAGCTTGCTTCAATGTGGACACAAGTTACAAACACCCCCCGACAGAAAAGGATTAGTGCCATTGAAATAAGAGTAAAAAATCTGAATTGCGTCTTAATGATTTAATACTGCCAAATGTCTGAAGCTCTAACCATTCCCATCCCAACTCTAGCACAAAATCCTAGAATTCATGTTTCAGGAATAATCGATGGTAAAAATATGTCAGCAATTGTGGACTTCTAAAGAAAAAAGTGTTTTTTCGGTTTAAAAGAATGACGGGTTTGCAGCTTTGGCTCTCTAAGCAATCATTGACAGACTATCTTATAGCACATCACGGACCATCAAATCATAATTCTAGCAAGGTATAGGACAATACAGATCATTGAATCATAATTCGTGGAAGGTGTGAGGCCGATTTCAGAACTTTCCATAAGTATGGTGAATGTACGCGAACCAAATACTTCAAGACAAAAGCTGTATATTACAATTTATCTTATCATTAGAACTGTGAATTCCTTTTTCACTACAAAATTTTTTTTGAAATAGGAGACAGTCTAAACATTAACAGTCTTGTAACCATGAAAACAGGTTTCTTTTAACACGATGTAGATATTTGAGCATAAAGCACAATAGAATAATAGGAAGATTTACACCATTAAAAGAATCATGAAACTGCATGTCAAACCTTCTTCTCGAAACATTTCAAAAGAAACTGAAAAGCAACTGCACTCCTGAGGTGCTTACTACGTGCATCCACACCAGAGATACTTTCTACTACCCTCAGACAATTTACATCATTTGGTAGTCTGTAATAACAAAATTAACCGTGTTAGAAGATCAGAAAAGAATTTGGCAAACGGTAAAATGAGAACAGAGAATAAAGAATTCGGCATACTTTATCTATGACATGAAGTTTCAACTTTGGACTCTTTACAACACATTTTAATGGCCGTTCCCCCCATTTAGTTGTTCAAAAACATTTTCCACTTCATTTTTATCGATTCTCTTAGACCCCCTTTTTGGAAAGAGAAGGACTTCACCTATAGTTTTGTTGGAAAAATTAGTATATACTTATACAGTAGGCATGATTACAAAGTCGGCCGTCAAAACCTATCCCAGGTTAGAGCACGGTAGGAAAAAAAAATGCCACAAAATTTCCTATACCACCTTGAAGCAAGATTTTCTGCAATTTTCTGACTGCTTGCTTGCCATTCATCATCTTTGAAGTAACTCACAGCTGCAATCAAACATTCATGCAGACAAATGGAAAGACCTGACAATACGCGGTCTAAGAACAGAGTAATAACAACAAACGTTAAATCCTCTGCCTCTGAAGTAGATAAAATTTGCCATGTTTCCCTACAAAGAACAGATCAGATCAATAAAAATTGCTATTTTTACCTTATTGTTAGGATTTTGTACATCTGGGGCTGACCAGTCACAAAGGTTATACAAAATTTAGTCACTTACCTAACTTGGAAGCAAACAGACGCATATTTTATCCAATATCGAATATTTTGAGGTGGTCCTGGGGACTCAGAACCTGAAAAAAAGAAAAATAAATTGTGAAAAATATAAGAATGCCATCTATAGCCTAAAAGACCAAATTTCCCTGGTGAAAAACAAAAATAAATAGTCATACTAATAGAGAGAAAGAGATCATAGACTAACTCAATGGAGGTAACATTAGTTACCTTCAGGATAAATTCAAAGCATTTTCTTTCAGCAAGTCAGAATGTAAAACGTGAAAAAGAAATCGTTTTGTAAACAAACCAGATCATTAATCCCAGATATGCGACTCATCTCCACAATGATGCAAGAAATCAGAAAAAACAGCTTCTACCAAATCAAGTTGTAGACCATGCCGAACAAATTGGTAAACACAGAGAACTTTCCTACAGTACCATGTAGGGTGCATTAAACATGAGGTTAACCATGCCAGATGAAACCCTAACACAAGCTAGAGAAGAATGATTAAGATTGCTAGGAAGCTTTGCTGAGTGAAAATCTAAAATATAGAAGTGGTACATTGTAACCTTAGCTTTAATTCAAACAATGGCTCAACCATTTTTTCAACCCCTCCTTGTATCAACTAAATCACAGGGAAATTTCCAAAATGTACTGGGTTTGGAGAGTCAAAGATAAGATAGATATAATACCTGTAGCATCCATCCCAACATCAGACGATAATCTGGCAGGAACGTCCAGCCCAAAGCCATATATTTCAATTGCTCTTTTCAGTTGATGATAGTTTGGAAGCCAATTTAGTTTTATCCTTAAATTGCCAGCCTGATTGAGAGTGAGGACAAATAACATTATCTCAAGGTCAGTAGAAATACATGCTACACTTGACTACATCGAATAAGCATGAGAAATGCAATGACCTTATCTTTGAGCCGCAGAACACCGGACCAAAAGTCGTATGCATTTCTTCTCAACACTTCATTTGGCGAATATAACACTAAAAAAGAAATAAAAAATTGTTAAAACCCAGAACTAAATTTTACATTGCATGAGATACTTACTACGTCTTCTACTTACTCAAGTAAAATGTCCATGCAGCTATGGGGCTTTCCAAATGATGACGTGTGGAAACCAAGTTCAATAGCCATCCATTTTTTAATAATCCTTCAAGAAAAGTTGCTCCTGCACAACACTAAAAGGTGGGTCAAGTGTAAAACGTATAAAGAAGGATAAGCTTGTGGATGAATATGTCTCAAACAAGCAAACTGATATCTTGTGAGCTTAACAAACTAAAAACCTCGACATCTAGGATTTTTAATAGTATCATGTCGACGTAAGAAGAACATCCTAGCTGATAGAGTTTGCTTTAGGAAATAATATCTGGTTCAATCATTCAAAGGACGAGTAAAAAGAATGAAACAAAGCTAACCTTTCTGAGCCTCCAGGCCTACCATAGAATTGACCTCATCGTTTCTTACACATTGCAAAAGCTCACAACTTTCAATCTCATCCACCTGAAGAGGAGGAAATGATTCCTGCGATTGGAACATGAAAGATAAAGCATAATTAATGGCAACCAAAAATATCAATCATCAACCAAGTTTTACTTTACAATGTAAACCAACCTGATTTCCAAACACTTGAAGACCCCAAACAAATGCATCCTCGTCACCACTTAGATGGCCCATCTAAAGCACAAAATAATCATGGTCAGCATTACTTCCAAACCAGTCACTCTCTTTATCCCAATAGAATGACATAAACAACTTGTACTTGTCTGGAACAGATCGTCCCAACATGAAAATCTCCAAGAATCACAAACGCAGCACTCAAAAAGCAATGCAAATGCAAAAGTAGAGGCTTCTATAGACACTTAAACTAGGCGGGAAAATGCACAAAGCAAAGCGTAATTTACAGAATTGAGAACCTAACTAAGTACACAACTACAAGGCATGTTAAAATTTGACAGCAGAAACAAATGGGGGAAGTTTTAAGAGCAAATTTTACTGTCTTTTCGATTTCATCAACTTGATCATGAAACTCTTTTTCTCTTTCATCCATATCCTCGTCAGAGTCATATTTTGCCTTCTTCTTGGCCCTTTTGGCTTCCCTCTCAACAACTTTACTTTTCTCCTCGTAGTAATCCGCCAATAGATCATCTAACCCTATGACCTTTTTCCTGCCAAACCCCAGATAACAATATCAAAAATAACAATAATACAAAGCTTCAAGAAAAAAAAAAAAAAAAGGTCTCACTTTTTATTGGCTAAAGCAGGTGGAAAATTCAGGGGCTCCTCAAATTCCAAATCCAGAGGATCATCATATCCAGTCATCCTGAGAGGAGGAAACAACTTTTTGCCGGTTGGTTTCTTTGAGGCAAATTCTCAAACAGATTGCCTTCACTACTGCAACTGAATGAAGAGTATTGGGCGGCCAAATAGAGGAGAGTTCCCCAAAAATAATGTTTTTAAAAGAATTTATTAACTTTTTATTAATTGCAATTTTAGAACATGGGACGAAAAAGGCGCGAAATGTTTTTATCTCTAAAAATCTTGCCTTTCCTTTTTATTTCTGTTTCGCCATAAAATTCTGTTGGATTTCATGTCTTCGGAAAAGCCCAAATTTTTTAAATGGGCCAAGTTTACTTCCAAAGAGAGCTAATAAGAATTTTCCGTTTGTCCCACCAGGCCCACTATCTTCTCCTTCTTTACGGGTTCAGACAATCTTCTCGATACATCTGACTTCTCGTCTGCCGGAGCACAGTTGCCGGAGAAGTGACCAGTTCATCAGATCAGAGTTTTACCGTTAGAGGCGTTCCCAGGTATTCTTGTTCCCACAATTACCCCGATTCCCTGTTAGAATTGGTTACTGTTCTCATTTAGTTCGTTGGCGGACTTTTAATGTGAAATTAACATATTATATTGGGTTTGAATTTGGGGAAAATTACAAGAGTGTTACTTTGTGCGCAATTGAAGATCTTTCATGAGTAATTGCTGTTGAATTTAGTAGGTTTATTATGCACATAAAGTTGGTGTTGAATTTAGCTCTTAATTGTTTTTGTTTTTTTTTAATCTATTTAGCTGTATTTTGATCTGGTGTAATTGGGATTGAGCTCAAGTTTGAGTCCACTATTGACTAGAATACTTAGAACTCTAGAGCTTCGGAAACTAAAAATTCGAGCTTTTGAGCTCGAGCAACCTTTGTGGAAAATGCCTAATGGGATTGATTTAGCACAAGCTTTCATGTTAGTCTTGGGTGGTGATGCCTTAGGATCTGTGGGTTAGGTTTTTAGTTCTTGTTATCCTGCAATTTCTCCGATGTTGTCATATAGTTTTTTCTTAATTTTCTGCCGTGTTAAACCACGCTTGTCATGTGTAGTAAATCTAATGTGTTTTTGAAACAACCGGAAAATCCTCGTGTATTGTATGAGAGGCTTTTACTTGTGCATAAATCTATTCTCAGCTTTATTTGAGCTTAAATGGCGTCACTCCTTTTTATTTTCAAGCCTAGGTTTTTGTTCTACTCGTCCCATAAAATTCTTCTGGTTACCTAGTTACTTCTCAAGCTTGACAATTTACTGCATTCATGGGATTGTGGTCTTTTTGGTCGAAAGTTCTAATATCTATGTTCATGACTGTTTTAGTAAATGTTAACTCGTCTACGTTTGAGGATCGCTGAGACGATGCTTGTGTGTTTCCTGAATAGGTGAAGAGATGAGTATGGAAAACCTAGAGACCGAACTGAAAATACATGTCCAGAAATTGATGGTGAAAGCTCAGGAATTGATTGAGAAGACACCGCCAAATCAACTTTATGCTGCCATTGCAGTAATCATATTCACTGTGCTTCTGTTTATAATCCGTAATGTCCTTCACATTGCTAATTTGTTAAATTGGGAATTGTCATCTTCCTCTCCTTGTACGAAGTTATTTGTTACAATGAACTTGCTTGATTTGATTACATAAGCAGTTTCGTTTCAAAGACATTGAGGCATCAAACTTAGAATGCTGAACATTTTAGTAATTTCTCACAAATGAGATGTTCGCTTGTTTGATTGCATGAGCGGTTTCATTTTAACACTCAAATCTTTTCTTGGCATTTGATAGAAGTCTTTTCTTGCCAGCTATTTGAAATTTTGAGTTATCTTTCCCACTTAAGACAGTAGATGTGAGAACTCTGTTTCTTGTTATTGCAGTTAGACTTTTCAAACGTGAATCTTCTAACACCATTGTTCTTACGGGGCTTAGTGGAAGTGGGAAGACTGTTCTTTTTTACCAAGTAAGAATTGACAATCCAATTTTAAGTGATACATTCGAGTATGTGGTTTGTACATTGTGGACGTCTCTGCTAACCAATTTTTTTTTTTTTTTTAACCCATGTAAGCTTCGTGATGGCTCCTCACACCAAGGTACCGTGACATCTATGGAACCCAATGAAGGCATTTTTGTGTTGCACTCTGAGACTATTAAGGTAATAATGCATCTGCGTAGGTGATTTAAAGTGGCCAGTCTTGTATGGTACATTTGTTTTCTCACAGAGGAGATTAATAAGATTTGCTTACCTTCGTTGCTTTATATATTCTGAACCCCATTCTACCATGAGTTGGTGATTTAAATGGGCCATCTTGTATAATACTTTTGTTTTTGCTTGATGCTCGGAAAATTGTTTTGTCTGCAGAAGGGTAAAATAAAGCCTATTCATGTTGTTGATGTACCTGGGCATTCTCGCCTTCGAACGAAATTAGATGATTATGTGCCTAAAGCAGCTGGTATTGTATTTGTTGTCGATGCTGTCGAATTCCTACCAAATTGCCGTGCTGCTGCAGAGTATGTATAATCTGCCTGTTAATATTTGCTGTTACGTTTGCATGCAATGAGCAAACAGCATTCTTTCTTCATAATACTGATATTAGAATTGCTTTCTGTAATGTCCCTAAGGTACCTCTATGAAATTCTGACTAGTGCAAGCGTTGTGAAGAGAAAAATTCCGCTTCTTATCCTTTGCAACAAGGTGGAAAAAGTCACAGCTCACACAAAGGAATTTGTTAGGAAGCAGCTGGAGAAAGAAATGTATGTTAATTGTATTCTCCGTTTTCTAATTGGCTTATAGTAAAATATTTTCTGTGTTGTAGAGTTTTCTACATTGATGAACTCCTATTTATTAGAGTCTTCATTAGGGTCTCCTTACTGTATAGTTATTTCGGATAAGTTTCAAAAGTTGTTCTTACTTTTCATTTTCCAATAAACAGTGACAAACTTCGGGCATCAAGAACTGTTGTGTCTGATGCGGATGTTACTAATGAGTTTACACTTGGGACCCCGGGGGAGACATTCACCTTTTCCCAGTGCCTTAACCAAGTGACAATTGCTGAGGCTTCTGGCTTAACCGGAGATGTCTTGCAGCTGGAAGACTTCATTAGGGGTGTTGTGAAGCTGTGATTCTTTTAGCTCTAGAGTTCTTTTTTCGGATTGTAGTACTTGGTGGCTTGAGCATCTTAATATTTCGCCTTTTCTTTCCGCAAGAAGTAGGCTAGGTCTTCTTCTTTTGTACTTCAAAACATGCAGATTTTGCAGATTGTGGTTAAACTTATCATTCTCTTGAAGTCTGGAATTCTAAAGCAACATGAAGAAGCCCTCTTTCACCTCAACTGTCTGTCGCATTTAACTTCATTTGGATTCATTTTTTGAACATCCGTTTTTGTTCACTTTCATCGATCCACTTCCATCCAGCATCAGGGCACGGAAGATACTTTGCCTTTCTATGATCTATCGTATACATCTTCATCTTTGTGGATAATGTGGCATTATTAAATTGCAAATTGTCCATGTGAATGTAAACAAGAAAATTTAACACATAGCACAAGTATCCATACCCATATGACGCATAAGCCTAAAAGATAAAATAAAAACACTAACAAACAAAGGATGACTCGCATTTCGATAAGTTCCGCCGCTCCCATTGCCTGCCTTCCAACGTTACTTGCATATTTCACTTCGAGTCAATCATTTTGTTGATATTTGCTAGTTTTCTAATGCAAATGGACATCAAAGTACGGCAGAAAACGTCAAAATTGACCAAAGATTGGACTCTTTGAGGTCACCTTTCTGTCGGATTTTGACCTAGTCATCAAGCAGAAACTAGTGAAACGGTTGCTACTTGCTAGGGATGAAGAAGATGATGAACTTCATGTTTTCTCGATCATTTTATAAATAGCAAATGCTTTACATAATGGCACTAATATTGGCCTTCTGCTTTCTAGCATTTTTTTTTCTTCCCTAACTTTCTAGCTGTTTTGGTGCTGCTAATGCCACAGGAAGTAAAAAAAAAAAAAAAAAAACTTCAAAATGGTTGATAGACCTTCACTTGTTAGAGCCATCCTTGTGAGAAGTTGGCAATGTCATCTCTGTATCAATAGTTTCTGCTTTCTCTCTGAACTTCTTGTAAATATCACCTCTGTAGAATTCTCTTGTTCTAACAACCAAAATCAATGAAGTAATTGCACCAAAGAAAGTAATGCTGGCCAGTATGATAAAAGGCAGCCTATAACAATGTGTTCCAATGCAAGTCAATTCCTTCACTGATGCTCTAGTCATTCCCTTCTTTGCAAGATCCTTTAATGCTTCCTTGTCATACAGAGGCCCTGTTACCCTCACATTTAGGACATAGGATCCAATAGGGCTAGCCAATTGGCCAGAATTGAACAATGTGGAGTAATGCTTCAGCCCGAAAAGCTCCGAAATGATTGTGAATATGAGTGGTAATTGTGCACCAAATGAGAATCCTATGATGACTGAAGCGATATAGACCGATCCCGGGACAGGAAATGCAATGAGGAGATGACCGATGCAAGACAAGATCAGGACTAATGTCATCATCAGAGTCCTAGGAAACTTGTACTTGACAAGCAGAGTTTCAGACACAAATCCTGAGAAGATTCTTCCAAAGAAATTCCATATGCTCAGAAGTGAAACAAAAGACTTGATGGTTTTTGTGGGATACCCTAATGATTCCCCTATCTGTCCTAAGTTATCAACAGCAGTTAAACTTGATCCTAACCCACAAAAAGTTGCAAGGAAAAGCACAAGCATATCAGTACTTAGAAGTGCTTGTAAGATTGTGTAATCTTCACCTCTTTCCGGCTTATCAAAAATGTTCTGGTACCAGAGAACTGGCTCTTTCTCAGCAGCCTCGATGCTTGAAGATTTAGCTGGTGATACTTGCTTTTGATCCTCATCTGTTGGTTTCTCAATGGCTATGGTAGGATTAGCTGAGATGAGTTGCTGCTTGACCCTCCAAATTTTCAACTCTTCCCTGATTGAAATCATCAAAGGAATGAATAACATGGCACAAGCAACAGTTGCACTTCCAGCATAGGCTGCTTGTGAGAAAGACCAAATCTTTTCAAGTATGGTCATAACCATAAGAAACAATGCAAGCACAATTGACACAATCAGGAAGTGGTAAAACACACTCAGCTCATTAGGCTGCCTAACAACCTTCATTTCCCTGATGGTGTACACAAAAACAACTGACAAAGCAGCTGGAAGCCAGGCAATAAGAAGAATCAGAGATTTGGAATCATTCCCATAAACAGCCAAGTAAATCTGTGTCATTATAGCTCCACTTAGACCAGTGAAACCTTTCAGAAGACCAATCATGATTCCTCTGCTCTCTGGGAAGTTCTTGACAGAAGTTACAAGTGCACCAGTGTTAGCAAAATTCTGAGAATTAGCACCAACACAGATATAGATGCACATCTGCCAAACTTTTGGCTTTGGGATTCTGCTGGTAACAGCAAGCCATATCATGAGATAACCCCCAAAATTCATGGCTGCACCAATCAGTAAAACCACCCAGGTTGGAGCTATCTCATCAATAAGGCCAGATAGAACTCCAACATTTGCACCTAAATCCTTGAAGAAGCCAAGAAGATTGAGGGTGGTTTGATCATATCCTAAGGAGGATTTTATCTCCTTGGAATAAACCCCAAAAAGATAAGTAGCACCTGCCCCTGCCATGATTAGAAATGATGCAAACAGAGAGAACCATCTGCCTCGAACAACATGAACAGCAAATGGGATCATCCCATTGCTTCTAACCAAATCACTGCTCAAAGAACTAGTCATTTTTATCTTCTCCCAAAGAAAGAATTTTTAAGGTAAACTGAATCTTCACAATGCATTTATATAAAGATGGATTTTAGAACTTTAGCCACCTAAATTGCCAGAAAGGAAAAAGCAGGCTTCTTTTTATGCAGACTTTGGGTCAATGTGGTGGGGGGATAAACCAGAAGCTGCCCTTTTGAAAGGATCACAAGATATGTGACTCTTGAGATGAGCTATATTCAAGGCCTAACTACTACTGCACATATGATGCATATATATACTTCTCAAACTATTCACAAAGTTACAAACTTTTATGACATAAAACCAAAAACTGTACAATAAAAGGCCAGTTTATTTACAAAAAAAAAAAAAAAAAATTGTACAAAGAAATATTGGTGAAATCCGAGGTTTTCGAATTCTGTTCCAGATTTTCGAAACAATTAAAGAAGATGAATCCCAGATTCAAAGTATTCAACATGAAGTCATTTGTTGTCTTTTTTTTTTCCCGTGGTGATAATCAATATTTGAGTGCAAATGTACCTAGGGGAAAAAATGAAAAGCAAAAAGCTCTCTAGAAAAGCTAACAAAATGGGCTAATCTGACATTTGGAGCCCCTTTCTATACAGAATTTGCGGTAAAAAGACAAGAATGTTTTATCATTTTATGAGCAAAAAACTGTTTTTTTTCCGTTTTGTATATCCTTAAATTTCTCCATCATAGCAAATGAAAAGCTGGCGATTGTTTTTAGACTAATCCTCCATTATACTTGTGGTAATAAGACAGCAGCACCGGATATGGACAATTTTGGGATATTAATCAGAGGGTTTTTTTTTTCAGTCTTTATTAAAGATGTACTCAGATTAAAGTGTCTCAAATAATAATTAAAAAAAAAAAAGTGTCTCAAATAACATAACTTTTTTCTAAGTTATTACTATAATGAAAGACGCAAGATCTGAAGTATCAAATCTATTTTGTGAGTGAAATACTCGTGTTTCAATGACCAGAAATTCCTTAGTTAGTTGTAGCTAAATTAATTTTAGCCAACTACTCGTCCATAAAAATTCAATTTTTTCAATGTGACAGGCTTTGATTAAGATAACCTTAAAATTGCATGGCTTCCTTAATATAAGAATATACCACATTATAATAAGGTTAGTTCGATTAATTAATTAACTTGGTTTGATGATTGATAAAGACAACTAATTCTAGTGATTAGCTCGATTAGGTCCAGATTCAGCCAAGACTGGAATTAGTTTATGTTAGTAAAGCCAAGTATCGGATTAGATATTTCTGTAAACCCGTGAGAAAACTGTAGAGTTTGCTATTTAAAAATTGTATCTTTTCCTCAAGTTGCTTCTCTGCATGTGACATGATTCAATGATTGAGTAAATGATCTTTGGTTTTCATTTTTTAAAAAAAATAAATACATATTAAGTTGCTCTACGGAATCATACATTATCATTTGCTCGGTTCTAAAATATTTATCTTTTTTATTATTTTTTTTGTACAAAAAAAAAAAAGAATAAGAAAATCATTTCAAGAAGGAGAGATGTTAATTTGTTACTATTGTCCCCAATTTTGAACTTGCGATTTACTCGTTTTTATCTTAAGTTAGTCTGCACAAACTGATAATCCCTAATTAAGTTAACGAGTGAAAGAGTTGAATGTATCATCTTGTATCGGACAATATGTAAGTTATGAAATAAAACAACAAGAATAAACAACACATTTTGGTTACGACATATTGTGCATCTTGATGAGATCACAACCAATTTTAACTTTTTCCGGAGGCCAATGTTTTACCCTAAATTGATGAAATCACTAGGCGTTGCGAATTGCGATGTAAAGTTGTAAACATCTTTGTTTACAAAAACGGGAACCCTAACCCATTTATGTTTTCCTCTAAAGGAATTTTATCCATTGGAAACACTAGGTAGGTTCCTTTAATCTGCTAAAAGCTTAAATCACTTAGAAAAGATGGAATTTTTTAAGGACATAAGTTGATTTAGAAAATCATTTGGAACATCCAAAACGTGCAACATGTGGAGTTGATCACACATTTGAGTGGACTTGTGGACCTCTTTCTAGTTATAGCCCGTTCTATTAATTTGAGTGCTTTTGGAGTTTTAGATAATGTTTAGGGTTTTTTTTCAAAAGTGCATATACTTAGTGCTTGTGAAAAAGACGTCAATGGGGAGTTAGACATATAAAAAATCTCTTTAGCATTGACTAGACGTGGTCTAATAATGATTAGATGATTCGTTTTCAGATTGTAGCCGGAACCCTACACAGTTAGTAGTTTACAAAAAACAAAAACAAAAAAAAAAAAAAAAAAAAGAAAGAAAGGAAAAAGCTTTGGAGTTAATTGATGCTCCATTCTGTCCCGTTCTTAAGACAAAAATTTAAACTAAATAGGACCAGAAGGAATAACTAAGATTGGAGGAGAAAAAAAAGATACAAAAAATGGTAGAGAATCAATCCAAAAACCTAGGAACGGCATTATCTGGGGATCGTAATGTTTAAACTGTAGTGATCAACAATCATTTAAATCTAGGTAGTGCGTAAGAAATGATTACATGTTTGTTTGGACAATCACTCATTTTACATTTTAATTTGCTTTTTAAATACAAAACCCAACGAAAAAGAAAACATCATCTGAATAACTTTCTGATTTACATTTTAAATTCTAACTTGAAATACTTTTTGTTAATGTAATGACCATTTTTTAAAAAGAAGTAGTTCAGTGACGAAATCTTACAAAGGAAAATCTTAGAGTGACAAATTTGCCAGGTTTTTCAAGTAAAACTCAGAAATTCATATTCCTTCCGTCCAAAAAGAATTGTCCAGTTTAGAATTTCACTTATAGTACAATTTTTTGTTCAAAAATAAAAATCTAAAGTGAACAATGATTTTGGGAGTTAGGACAAAAGAAATACATCTTTTCAAGATTTAAAAGATAATCAACTTAAATGATTTTGCCAACAATATAATTTGGTGGTGAATGTGCCATGAAATATTTCGTAATGTGAACGGAGAACCCCAAATAATTTGCATCCTCACTACTCAACATTCCCACTATATAGTGGCAGTAAGAACTAAATTGCAAAATGTCCACATTTGATAGATACAAGTTTAACAAATATGGGAGTTTTTCAGCATTGTTATTATTTGATGGTGTCAGCAGTTTATTGGCATTGACCGTCTACAAATATCCCCTGGATATGGGCTTGTAGTTAATATATGGACTATGGGCTGCATTTCCCTCGAAAAACACATCTAGTAATGGGCTTTTCACTACCCTCATCAGTTGTGCTTACTCCTCCCTCACTTTCTCCCTTTGTAAATCTTACATATCCACATGCTTATTTGTACACTAGAAATTAGAAGATTAAAAAAAAAAAAAAAGTGACATAGAAGAATCTTAGTGGCCAAATCATCCAAGAAAATAATATTCTATTGATTTCAAAATAATTGTCAAATTTAGATTTTAATTTTTTTAATATTATTTTAACTAAAAATAAAAATCGATAATCATTTCATAATACAAATTGAAGTAAACATTAATATCCAAGCCGTTTTGATTTTTTATTTTTTTCATTTATTCGTGTCATATGCTCCTTTTTTTTCTTTTTTTTTTCTCTTTTATATAATCGAGAACCTAAATGGCTTAGATTCGAAACATCCCTTTAAGGCAGAGATGATTTTAATCTATCAAACTTTAAAGAACCCTTGAGTTGAGACGGAGGAGTTGACAAAATATGTCTAACATATAGGCAAGAAAACCCAAATTTTGCCAACTCATCCGCCACTTCGTTTTGACTTCTTCGGAGGCATGGATCACTGATAACTGCCGCTGGAAATTTATCAAACCTCTAAGTTTACAAAAGATGTGGCTATTTACAATGGCGGATTCATAGCCTTTCTAAAGGTGAACTGCTTCTATGCAGTCCATTTCCAAAATAACGTTGCGAAAGCCAAGAGTCCAAACAATATGAAAGCCAAAATAAGCACCCCAAAGTTTGGGTTCCAAACTATTACAGTAACCTAAGTTAGCAGCAAAACCTATAATCCATTCTCCATTCCAGTTTCTGAGAATTCCCCTTGCAGTCGCCTTCTTTGTTTTGTCAAACATTGCCCCATCAGTGAGTAGTAGTAACACTATATTTTATATATATTTATATATACACATACTGAGGAAGCATAAAGCTTAGTGTACAACTCTTTAGGGTGGAGTTGGATCAAAAGCCAGGGAGTAGTAACACTACATTAATGAGCAAAAATCTGTATCACGTTAAATTTCAATGCCCAACGTAACACAAAATCATATGGGCCGTGCAAAATCATCTTAACAAAACCACAAACTATGGGCATACTATGTTCCCTTCTCGTTTTATTAAAGGCCATTCTCATCATGACTTCCACAGAAAATTTAAGTCAATAAATGAAATAGTCCCATAGGTTTGATTCTGTAGAATTTAACCCATTTCTCATTGCACAAAAGGTAATGAACATAAGATCGGTTCTTATTATCATTTTTTTTTCTTTTTTGTTTGTAAACCTTAATTATAGGCTGTCTTTGCTTTGCTAATTTTAGGTTTATTTTAGTCTAAAAATTTTTATACAAGAACCCAAGTTTACAGCATGGACTATAGGTCTTGTGCCATTTATTCTTAAAAAAAAAAAAAAAGAAGAAGAAGAAATTATGAGATAATTTTAAAGAGTTATGTGTCACACTCAAGACTAATCATACTCAAGTCAGATGAGTCATTTTTGGTAAGACAAATCTCTCATCTCGAACATTTTAATCTCCTTGCACACGAAGTAGTGGATCAAAGAAGATCCGAAGAATGAAAGAAGAAAAGAAATTTTACCAAAATTTAGAATATGGAATCTAAGCAAATTTCGTTCAAAAAGTTCTGGAGCCATAAATAGCCAAATGATTGGTTGCATTAAATTGAACTTGTCACACTCCTAAAAATGTCACCATTACAAAAGGGTCTCTCACAAGTAACATGCAATACGTGGCCAAAATGACCATACACTGTTCCCTTCTCCCACGGCAGAGGACACAATTCCAATCCAATTCCATTGCAATAATTGCTCACATGCTTTCCTTATTCTCCCATTAACAAAAAGGAAAAAAAGAAAAATGCATATACCCTCCAAAGTCCAAAATTCAAAGAATTCCATCCCATTCTCAGCATTATGCATGTGCATGCACAGCTCATTTCTCCACAAAACGGCTTTAATTTGTAGGGTCAACTGTCCTAAATGTTTGCTTCTGTGTTTCGGACCCCATTCGATTGTCCTTTGCTATACACTTTTAGGCTGGTTTTAAGGGCCCTCCTTTGAGTTTTCATTTCGTTTAATTAATTGCCAGTGTTTAATTGTAAAATGTGATTCTTTTGGTGAAATGATGCATCAGCGAAATTTTTCCCCGGGCATGTTCTTATACGGGTTTAGACATGGGCCAGCGTGTCCCTCACTTTTTGCTATTTGTGTTTAGTTTTGGACCATGTATGCACAGCATAATGTCATTCT